TGTGGCTCTCTTGCCCCCCCCCCCTCCACACACAGACACTTTGTCTGTCCTCTTTTGACTAAAGGCTTGGTTCCTGCCTCTTCCCGTCTCCTCTTTCATAGCGTCTCACACCAGCGACTCCACCAGTGTGGAAAGAAGTTGCCATATGGGTGATTTAATTAGCGCACGCCACAAGCACAATCAGCGCCCTCTCAAACCCAGTCAAGAACATGACAGCCTCTGCTTCCCTTTAATACTACTCTTAATTAGTGGTCACCGCTCACAGCTAAAGGCCTTTGCTTTTTATATCTGAAAAAGACTTTGCAAGAGATTGTAAAGGAGGAAAAATTGAAGCAAACCTTCTTCAAACTGCTCAGACTTGGAGAAAATTATACAGTTGATGCCTGACAGCCTGGTTTGCAGGATTCTATCTTCGGAGCAAAATGTGTGATTACAAGAGTTGGTCTTTCATTATACACTGTGACTTACTGGAAGTAAGCTGGCATGCTCCTAAGATGGTGTATGCAAAATAAGTATTGATACTCTTTACACTTTTGGGTGCCATTTACAACCAAAAACCTCACTGCAAAGCAAAGACATGCACTGATCTGTTTTTTCACTTTGATTATCACATTAAAAACTGAAAAGTCTGTAATGTATTTGTATTAATTCCCCTATATTCTGATACTTTATAGTAAATGTTGTTCTACCATGGAGTATTACCCTAACTTTATGAGAATAGAGCAATAATATTACGAGAATAAAGTCGTTATATTACAAGAATAAAATTGTAACATTACAAGAATAAAGTCGTAAATTTACAAGAGTCGTTATATTTTAGGACAACTCTTACAAGAAGCACTGTCTTCCCTGAAATGAGGAATGTCCAGCATCTTCTGAAGTCATGCTTTGACATCTTTTCACAAATAAGGACATATTAAATCTTGCAGCGCACCAGCATCAAATTATTATAATTATGGCGCTATAATTATAATTAACTTTGTAACGATTGTGAAAACGACTGTCTGTATCGAAGAAAGCATGTTCCTGTTTGTGGTAACTTCATTCTCTTTTATTTTTTAACTTTATTGTTGTAATTTTATGACTTTATTCCTGTAATATTACAACTTAATAATGTTGCAACATTTATTCTTGTATTAAAAAATAAAATAAAATAAAAAAAACTCTAGCCTGGCCCTAATACTCTGTCGTATTGTTCCAAGCAAGGAAGAGATTTTGTAAATTGAAATTTGAAAAAAATGCGTTCCAGATGAACATTTGAAAAACCTTCTAATAAAAAAAATATTTACTAGTAATACAAGTAACTTTCTTACATTTTTTCCCCAAATTTTATAAAATATTTGTTATATTTTACAGATTTTATATTTATATACAATTATTATTATTATTATTTTTTTGTGACAGACTTTATACTTTTTCTATCCGCTTGTTCATTCTCTCCACTTCAAGCACGAGAAACTCTCACTTTTTATGCGCACATTGACCAATATATTGTCCTTGCTACAGTAAGCTGATCAATAGAAATGCATCTCTACTCCTCACTCCTAAGGAAAACCCACCCCCAAAAGTGCAGAGAATGCAACCTTTAAAATGCAATTTGAAAATTATCGAGTTCATGAAACTCAATCTGAAAAGAGAAAATGTATGTAAAAAAACAAACAATTGAATATAAAAATAGGGATATTGGAAAAAATAAATAAATGTAAAAAAATTAAATATTACAAACCAAAACAATTAATGAGATAACCAAATGTGTTTTCTTTTTTAAATTTCCATTTATAAAACATTTTCTTTGGTTGCACCGATAATGGCACAAAATCCACTCCATATATTGCCACTAAATAAAATCCAGTCAGAGTGTTTTGGAAGTCATCCAGTTAGTGGATGCTTTCCAGCTTTGTGTTATTTGAAGGGATCCTGTGCTCTCTGGAAAACAGAGAAACAAACCAGACATGTTGGGGACAAGATATGGAGAAGATGAACATGGGGTCAGGAGATGGAGAATATCAAAGGCTTTAACTAGCTCACTGAACAATGCTTAATACAAATCCAAACCCGCTGAAAGTTTGGCCCTTTTGAAAATCTAAGAAGACAAGGACATCCATCGAAAGTCTAGAAAAGGAAATCATTAGTCAGCCTTCTTCTTCATGGTATCTCTTGAACAGCTGCGGAGATCAAAAGCTGAAAGGGGGGGGGGACAGCATCTGACGACACGACAGCTGTCAGTGGTGCACTCCACTTAAAAGAGTTGCAACTGGATCAGAGATGTAAATATACAGAGAAAGCTGCAGGGCAATTTTATTACTATAAGCCATATGGATCTTTTAGAGTGGCCTAGTCAAAGCCCAGCCCTGTACAATGATGTTTTCTATGAAATATGTCAAAGTAAAACCTCTGTCTAATCTGACAAACAGTAAGATAAAGAAGGAAAGGTAATGATTTCTGTTAGAAGACGTGGAAAGATATAGATTAATAATTGATTATTAAAAAAAAAATCAACTAATTTAGTAATCTATTAATCTTTAACTGGAGTGTAGAGACTTTAAAACATGCTATAAGCTGAAAGAAGCACCCATTAAGAGCAATAATTATACCAAAATTTAAAGAATTTTTAACATTTTGCATTGAAGATGAAAAGCCTTTTTTTGTCCACCAGTATTCTGTCCTGAAATTTTCATGTATTTCTCAATAGTTTAAAGTTCATAGGGAAATCATATTTAAATGGCAAATCGTTCTTGCTTAAACATTTATATAAATGTACTATTTATCAGATATTAGCCCAAAATTGAGAAAATGTGGCTAACTGGTTAGCAAGATGCTTCCGACAAACGGGCCACAAACAAAAAGCTTGCGAACCTTCCACCACAACAATCCCGCCCCCTTGATAAACGACCAATCAATTTCACTTTATTCACTCGTGTAAAGTCGAACAGCTGCTTCCCTACGACTTTAAGCTTTACCTGTTTTAAAATTCTGTAAAGAAATCTTTTGAGACTTTTGCCCAGGCTAGAAATGATGTAGTGTTTAGTATCACTTGATACGAAACCCTTGTCATGTAAAAATATGTTGCTATTTTTAGACTGCTGCTCATAAGCTCTCTGAAATATCAGTCTATCTGCAATGATTTCATATTGAAGCAGCTGTTGTGCATAATAGATCGAATCACCATCGTCATCATTTATCACCTCATATCACTTATGAGCAATGGCCTTGTAAATATATGTAGCTAAAAGTTTGCAGCTGTAATCTAAACTGTTGTGAATCGTTGAATTTCATTTTAATGAAAAACAAGGAAAATGCACCTGAGTCACCAGTTTTATCTAGAAGAATTGATCTTAATGTGATATGGAACTCATCTTTCCCTTATCTGTTGCTTCTTGCTGCTCATCAGCAGCTCTTCTTCATTGCATTTTTTTATAGAGGAGATATTAATTTGTCTGTTTGGGCGTATTTATACGTGATATTGGTTTTGTTTGGTGGGGATACTAAAGGATAATCTGTCATTACTCTCAGTTTTAGCAGTTTAGCTATAATGAGCATGCATTTAAAGCAACCAGCCACTGGGGGTGGACCTGAGTAGATACGCTGACAAATGGGGGCGTGGTGACCTAGTGGTTAGAGAGCAGGGGATTTAGCTCTCCTGCAAAGGCTGCAAGGTTGCCGGTTCAAACTTAAAACTGTTGGTCTGAGTAAGAACCTTAACCTTAGGGTGCTTCCTGAACGATGCAAGGTGCTCACTGCCCACTAAGAGAAAGAACCCAGCTAAGATCAGATCATTATGCTTGGGTTCCTTTATAAAGCACTGAATGACAAATGAGGAAGGATGTCCTGTTGAACAACCACCTGATAGCTACACCACAGCAGTGTTTACCTAATGCTGTGAATCATTACTGATATCTTATATGCCTTTATCAATGGTTTCTCAAACAAACTACTTTATTGGAATTTCATTCTGGTTTCATGCTTCCTGAAGGTATCGGTTTGGATAATATCCAATAGGCAGAATTGCCTTGACTTCCTTCTTTCATTCCAATTTGGCTGAAGTTTTAAATTATATTTGCTTTCTTCATACCTATATTTTCTTTTTTTGTATAAACAGATAAAAGCGTAAGCAATAATAGATTTGGATAGGGGTAAAAAGGTCACTAACACCGAGCCCCATTTAAATTGTTGTATATTCTTTGTTGAAATCATCACTTTGTCATTCTTGATCATCCATTATCCGCAATTATACTGAATTTCAGCCTTGGGGCATTTAAAACCAGGAGCCTGTCTGATGAAGAGGGATTCATGAATAAAGGTGTCCGTGGTTTGCTGATGGGATCCATGACCTGTACTTGGTGTCTGGAGATTGGACAGACTGGAGCAAGTTGATTCTGTCAAACAGTGTGATAGAGAGAAATGAGGAAGATCAAAAAGAAAAATAAGCTGTTGGCAGATTCACTTCCTGTCTCTTTACAATTTTCTCTCTCTCTTTGTCTTTTTTGCTTTTTTTTTTCAAAACTGCGGTTCTGATTGGGTGGCGTCAACAAATCAGCATATGATTCAACTTGATGTGGAACTTTTGGAGCTATCTTTGGGTGTATGGGCTGCAAAAAGAAGCAACTGTTTTGTTTTATTCCTCAAGACTGAATGCTCAGGTGCATCAGCTCCACTTCATGGATGATCAAGCTTTTGGTGCTTGGGGGGGCTTTCAAGGTGTTTATTATAAACTGGATGGTCCCATGACACCAAAGGGACAGTGATGCAACTGCTACAAAATGTTCTGTAAAAGACGATTCTAAATATGTGTATTTTCTTGCAAAGCATCTGACAGAATGTGTTTGGTACAGTATCTATTTCCTCAAAAAGAAGACATGCATCCTACATCTGAAACTTCAACTTCCTCACCATGAAATCCGTCTTGTTTTGTTTTTAGTGCCCCATGCATCTCCTAGGCTGCTCAAAGCTCCCAAGTAGTTTCATCAATGTAATTTATTTTTATTTTTTTTCCTCCACAGGCTTTTTTGCACAGGATTAGACAAATTCCAGATGACCAACAGTGTCTTTCCCCTGAACATGTCAAGGTAAGACTCGCTGAAAAGCAAAAGATAAAATGGAAAAATTGAGGTGCACCAATCAATCGGCCTCAAATCAGAATCAACCACTTCTTCATAATTCTGTTAAACAAATGTGTTGCATGTAAAAACTCTGATAAACACATCAGTCATCTCCATACATATTACCGTATTTTCCAAATAAAGTGCACCTCACTATAAGCTGTGTCCACTAAATCTTTTGAAAAAACTGGAAACGTACATACATAAGCCGCACCAAGCTATAAGCAGCTGATAACTACTGAACTGTCCCCCTCCAAACCTGTAGGGGGAGCTCTACATATAGGGACAAAGAAGAATGCTAGCTCCCCTTAGCTTGTTAGCTCGCAGCATTAATACCTTCTGTTGAAAGATGGGGCTTCGTCAGCTCTTAATTCCAGCTCTACAGGAGTTAACCCCAGTCTCTACATTAGTTCAGCAGCTTTAATGCTGCAAATGTAAAAAAATGTGAATTCTGGACATTTGTTTCCTGTCATGCCTGCTGCTAGCACGATATTGTGCTAAATAAAAATTAGTCCCTTATTCTTTCATTTCCAATTTTGACTTCCTTGCTGGCACTTAGGAAAAATAAGCCGCATAGTTCAAAGCGTGGGAAAAAATTGTTGCTTATAGTCCAGAAAATACGGGAATGCACTTGTTTGAATGCCATAAAAAATCAGATGATGGCATAAAAACAGCGATAATGTTAATATTCTCTTATATCGGATAAAAAAAATGTACCCCATCTAAAGGACCTGCAGTTGTTATCAATGTGTTATACTTCTTAAAAGAACAACAATCTGTCAACTGGTGTTGGCTAAAAAAAGCCTATTTTCAAAAATATACATCGATTTCTAAATTCACCAGATTAATTTTATCTTCTTGTATCTGTCAACCATCTAATTCCCTCTCCCCGTCCCGCCTTTCCGTATCCCATCTTCCTTCCTTTAAATCTCCTCCCATCATATCATCCTTTTATTTTTTTCTCCATATAGATCCTGTTTTCAAACATCGAGGACATCCTGGAGTTGCACAAAGAGGTGTTGTCCGCAGTGGAGGCCAGCTTGCACCCCGAACCCCATCCTAACCACTCGCTGGGTCACGTGTTTCTGCAGTTTGTAAGTGCAAATATCAGAACGCTGCTTAGATGGAGAAGCATGCAGTTCACATACCTTAACAAAGCCCCTTAGAAATAGAAATAAAACACAAACTATTTTCACGGGCCAGCCGTAACCACAGATGCAGGAAAAACGCCTGCTGTGAAAATACCCTTATAATTTCTCTATTTTTCCCTTATAAACCCCCTTTTTTTATCTAATGGTCCCAACAACCACCACTTTTACATGTTTCCCTCAGCATGGCTCTGGTTCTTCATCAGTTTATGCTTCTACCTTCTCCCTTTGTCTCTCCATCACTATCCACTCTGCGGCTCTAACACACACAGCAATCCACCCTCCCGGCTCCCCTCTGTATGAACTTGCATGGCCCCCGGGAACAAACAAAGAAGGGTCTGTGTCCGGAGAGGAAGACATGGTGTGTCCTCAGAGAGGGGGACAATGTTTCTGCTGGTAGCACTCAATCTCAAGCTCCGTATTTCTCTTCCCCCATTTGTCCCTCTCTGATAATCTGTCTTCAGTTCACTTTCACCAAGGCACAAAATACGCCAGCATTAGTATTCCCTGCCCGGCGACAGGATCACAGGCAAACACAGAGTGGAGTTTTAGTTTCTTAGGTGCAGCATAGTGAATCACAGGGAGGGGAGTTAGCTGTTGAAAAACATCTACGAAACTGAAACTTAAGCGTAAATGTCCCCTTTTCTGAAACTCTCCTACCCTTGTGAAATAATTTCTCAGTCTGAAACAACCTATGCCTGCTTGTGGCACGGATGACATTTCATCTCTGCCACAGATTTAGCTCATTGAGATGTACCTGCACACGTGTGCGACACGTAAACGTGCAAGGCCAAGTGTCAGGGTGCAGGATTGATTAGCTGAGCTCAGCGTGAGTTTTCTCACTCTGCTCTCAGATTGAAAATAGAAAAAAAGAAGTGAGGGAAACTGGGAGGGAGAGTTGGAAGTGAATTCATTTTACTTAAACTGAAATGAAGTTGATCTTTAGTTAAATCTCTGCCTGCCTTGCCCAATTAACCTAATTCAGGAGTTTAAAGTGAGGTTATGTTAAAGCAGTGGTGTGATAATACATAAAACTATTAGATGATATTTGGCCAAGGACATAAAACATTAACAGCATTTGTTTTTACTGATTGGAATATGTGAAGCCCATGGTACTATTAGCATCTTTAGCTGATTAGCTAGCTGCAAAAATCTAATGGCGCTTGATTCTCTGTCGCTGTTTAATACCCAACATACTAGCAGAATAAGCCAGTAAACTCTCTCTGGCTGTGTCTAAACGTCCGTCCTAATCCTTTCATAGGGCACTATATAGTGGCTACCCCATTTAAAATGAGTGTCCAAACATGTATGAAGTAGTAGTGGAATGGAAATATCCCACAATGCACCTTGAAAAGTAGTGATCATTGTCACTACCTGATCCGTCCTGCGCATGCGCAAACAGATATACATCCGGGTGTCCATAAATAATGTAATTATGGTACTCAAATGACTTATTTCTATCCTTAACTCACTAAAGAATGCAAATACACATCTATAAAAATAGGTTTTTTGACTTTTGTGAGACAATTTTGATGCTTTTTACATTTTCTTTCTTTAAACTGCTTATGTGACGTCATCATGGGGCATGCTCAGAGCAGTCGGGCAAAATATGATCAAACCATGTTTATCTGCATTTTAGTTGTTTCTTTCCTTAGATTACACACTACCATACCTTAATGTTAAGAATAAAGGAAAACATAAAACTCAAAAAGACTAGATTTTTAAATCCAAATCTGAAAAAGTTAGCTACCGGAAGTATTGTAGAATCCCATTTCTGGTGCAGATCCGACAGAGACGAGTGATAAAATAGGAGGATTTTAAGGCATTTATTTTCTCAGGAAATGCATTATTAACCTTTATCAGATTATATTTTAGTACTCTTACTATTTTAGGGAAGAGTAAAACAAATAAAATCGAGGATGACCTGCATGTATAGCTGGATACGCAAAAAATAGTGATCATCTGTCCGAACGGTCAGTTAACTGAGTTCACCATAAAGTCCACTATATAGTCACCACTCTGTGTTGTGATTGAGGGATCTAGGGGGGACGTTTTAGTCCTTTTAGTCGGGGCTCATATCATTAGCTTCGACCAAAAAAAACTATTTAGTAATTAATCGCCGCCTTTTGAGCCACAAGCTGTTCTTACACTCCTGAAGATGAGCAGGAGATATGTTAAAGCGATTCATTTCTCAAAAACACTGTTGCTGTTTATGAAAAAACAACCGTTATAACCCACAAAGCATTATCATCACTTTAATTAATTTACTCAGAAATCTTATATTATTTCCATGGAAAACAGAAGTAAGATACAGTACATGGATGGTTGTCCTGTTGTGTAAAACATACCGAGAGTGTGATGTTTTGGTCAAAATAAATGTCTTTAAAATGAAAAGCAACAATATTTTAATGCTTTAACTTTTTAAAAATGTTTATATGTTGGTTTTGCTGCTATTTTGATCAAAATGCTTTACATGTTTTGTTCCCACATTGAAAAATAGTTTATGGCGCAGTGTGCTCTACCTCCACTTCCATGTAAAAGATCTTTAACTTCTCTGGAAATCATCTCCCTTGAAGTACAAACGTGACCACATTCCCTGAAGTAGAGTTTGCTTCAAATGCTCTGAAAGTTTTTATTTTCTAGTTTTTAGTTTAATTCAATTCAATTTATATATATAGCGCCAATTCACAACACATCATCTCGAGGCACTTTACAATTCAACCAGATCATACAGTCAAATTGATTCAAAGTTTTCTATCCAAGGAAAACCATTTGATTGCATCGACTCATTGACTCAAAGGCAATCCCTCACACTAAGCATGCTTGTAGCGACAGTGGAGAGGAAAAACTCCCTTTTAACAGGAAAAAAAATCCAGTAGAAACAGACTCAGACTCCCTCCTTTAAAGCTAGATGTTGCATCTATATTAAATGAGTTTAGAAAAGGGAGCTATCTTCTCAGAGGAAGGATTTAAACAGCTTTTAGACTTATAGAACCTCACTTTAAATATCTTGAATTATCCCTGTGATTATTTTTAAAGGTGTAAAAAACACAATTTATATATACACATACAATTTATTTTAAAGGCTGAAATTTGGTAAATTGAATGACTTTGTTGTTCAGAGGTCAAGGTGAGTCTCTTTGTCCTGGCCTTTGAAAGGATAATCTCAGAAACACCTGGAGGGAATTTCATTACATCTGAAACACACGTCTGGTTGAATCAACCATGATATGATTGGATTTCTGGGGACAAAGGTCATTCAGGCTTCCAAAACCCATTTTTGGCCTTAATTTAGGATGTCTAACCCTTATTCATACAAAACAAACAAAATCAAATGGACTGAGTATTTTTTTTTTTTCTGGTCTGTCGTTTTCCCCCCATTTCTGTATTTGATTTCTGTATTTTGCCGGTTTGGAATGGGATATTTTATGACCAATTCAGAAGTATAATTTTGTCTTTGGCTCTTTCTCCTTGTAGCAACCAGAAGTTTTTGTTTTTTGCAACAAACGGCATCCTAAAGATTTCAGGTTTTTCATTGAACAGCTTCCCACACAGCACCTTTTTTTTCTTTCATGCATATCCATTACACTTCCATGACCCTTGTCTCCTTCAACACTGACACCTCTCGGCCAATTGCTCGGCCCCGTCTGGCGCCCTCCAGCCGTGGCCCTTGACCTCCACCAGAGGTCAACACCATGACTGGGATTTGATTAACCTCCTGCATTGTTCCACAGCCCCACAGTGAGGGAAGAAAACGGAAGATTTATTGCTATTTGAAGTCATATGCTGGGAGGCAAATTTAGCACAATCAATGGTTTAGTTATTTGCAGTGCAATCGTCTGTATAAAATAATAACAATTATCTTATCTGAGGAATCATCTTTTCTTTGCCCGTTTTGCAAGCAGAAATATATACTATGAAATGCTCTACTTTGGGACATTTAGAGAAAACAATCATCTTATTATGCATTTTCTAAATTCTCTGAACTACACCCAGTATGCTCTGACTTGACGTGCTTCCCTGCTTGATCCCACTCTCCTATCCAAGTCTCCAGAATAACATTCCAGTGACTAAGAATTTAAATACAGATTTGTTTATCAAAGGAACAACCAAAGTCTTTGAGATATTCTTGGCACAAATGACGTCTTTCACAGTGGTCTTGAAGTTCAGGAATAACTGCAGAAATTAACTATCAAGTGTTTTTTTTTAACCCTGGTCTCACAAATAACCTACTTTAAGGGTTCCTGAATTGACTATTTAGCCATTGCTACCCATGGTAGGAAATGCCTTATCATGGCTCTACCAACAGAAGTGCTATTTTTGTATGTATAAAGGTCCAGTTATAAAGGATGACTAAGTGTAATTGTAATGGCCATTGCCAGGATGATAAAAAATGTTTTTAATTATAACACAAACTGAAGTTTTAATGCCAACTTAAATCTTAGTAGCATGTAACCACTGCGTTATTATTTTATTGCTGCTGTGGTTAAATTTAAAACATGTCTCACGTGTTCAGCCATCATCTAAGCAAGAGGTGGTGACGTTTTGTAGCTATTATTTCCAATATTATCACACTTTCATACCAGCACAAGCTTTAGCAATGCCTGTTTTATCTTGCAAGGTGTAGAAACGCTGGCCCGTATGAAACTTGAAACTTTTTGTACTAAAATTCATAGACATTCTCTCTCCCACTTCTCTTTTTCTGTTTGGTGTACGTCATAGTGGAAATGAATAAACAGCATCCCAAAATGCAACACTTCCTCATTTTTTATGTTAGATGATGCATCATGCTGTGCAAAAGGAAGGCAAAATAGCAACTGATGCAGAACCTTTTATCAGACCGGCCTTTTAGATTTAGTTACAAGGTGAAATACAACACCTAAGCCCGTGAAAACACGCTGGAGCTTCAAATGTATTATTAAGGCAGCAGAGTGTAGGAAACGGCACAAGCATCCTCTACCAGCTGAAACTAAACACACAACCTGTTGCTTGTTAAAGCCCATTATCCAGCCTGAAGTGTAGGTGATTATTAGGATGTGAAACCATGTGCAGAATGGATTTAATTTTGACGTCTAGAAACTGAAACTGTCATCTGAAACAACCATGTAAGTGAAATCCAAACCGGCAGGTGCTCGGCTGCTGCTTTCAGCTTCAGCAGCAATACCCCGGCCAGCACCATGGTTCGACCTATGATAAACAATATGACAAAATTCAGTCCCAGCCAAACATCTCAACTATAAAGATAGGATAACTTCACAATAAGGCATTTGGTATTTGATCTTTACAGCAAGCTTTGAATTAGGGTTGGCTTAAAATGCTCTGAAAGTTTTGATTTCCTAGTTGTTTTTAATAGTCTTGTCCCCTTTTCAATTCAATTCAGTTTATTTATAAAGCGGCAATTCACAACACGTCATCTCAAGGCACTTTACAGTTCAACCAGATCATACAGTCAAATGGAATCAAAGTTTTCTATCTAAGGAAAACCAGTTGATTGCATCGACTCATTGACTCAAAGGCAATCCCTCACACTAAGCATGCTTGTAGCGACAGTGGAGAGGAAAAACTCCCTTTAACAGGAAGAAAGCTCCAGCAGAACCAGGCTCAGTGTGAGCGGCCATCTGCTGAGGCCGACTGGGGTTCAAGGAGAAGCAAAGATACTAAAACCAACTGTAAAAGGCGGCCCCGTCCGGGAAACACACATCTCCCATGTCAGAGGATGAAGAGAGCACATCCAGTTAGTCACAGTCAGAGAAACCGGACTACACTGAAAAACAGGCGGATCTCCAACATCTATAAACAAAGGTGTTGATGGCAGCAGCACAGCTGATATCTGTCTCCAGGATGGATTTACAGCCAAACAGGAACAGACAGGCTTTGCCTTGTCTGGTATTTTGCAAACCAATGAAGCCTTATTGGTTTGCAAAATATGCAAAAACATAAAGAACTCCTCCTTTCTTGTCAAAAAAAAGTTTCTAATTTAAGCTTAAATGGGTTAATTGACAGTCAAACAAACTAAGATGGGCCTTTTTATAAATGGTCACATTCATAAAGTGAGAGAAACTGTTTTAAAGGAGCGAGAACCGCTTTTGCACACTCAAATGTGAAGATTAAAAAATTTTTACTTCACAGGCAGGACCAAGTCTGGCAGAAGATCCTAGCCTAAAGACAACACATGTGTTGCAAATCCACAGACGGCATCAAGCTCATGTTATACAAACCTAGCAGAAATATATCTAATGGCTTCAAATTGATGCCAGTATGGTAACGTCTATTTTACCTGATTTTGAACTTTTATGAATTTGATATTAATGGCTGTCCAAGTCAAATCTGACATCTTTTTTTTTTCTTCTTTTTTTGCTAATTAGTCAATCAGAAAACCACAACAGCCAATTCAGCATGATCAGTGTACCCACAGCGACTTTGCCGGGGTTCTATATTTTGTCAGCATGTATGATCACATGACTTGTATTGAGTGTGGGAATTTTACATCTCCATGTTTCTCAGTACATTTTGTCCTAAAGCATACTTTTATGTTGGTTCTATGCTTTTGGTAGGAACATTTAAAACAGGAAAATGTAAGTTGTTTTTTTCATCTCCTTAACAGGACAAGAACTCCTGGGAAAAAAAACTCCAACGGTGTCGATTTAAACCCTTTTTTGTTTTTTTTGTGTGGGAAGAATTGTTTGGTCAAATCTTAAACATTAATCCAATGGAGATTTTTGTTTGAGAGAACCTCAATAAATCGCTGTCAGTGGATGCTCTCCATCCAGGCAGACAGAGCTTGAGAAATACGTGCACAAACTGTTCCTTAGAAAACTTGCAGCTGCATCTGCAGCAGAAGTGTCCGACTCAAGGGCCTGAATACAAAAGGACACTTTTCATATTCTCATTTGCGAAGCACTTTCTGAAAAGCATGTCTCCTTTTCCATCCTCTCCGTAGCCGATTATTTTGAGCTGTAAACTAGCAACTAAAATATGCTCTCCTTATGTCCCTAAGGGGGAGTTTTAAAAGTGTTTTCTTGCTTTTTGCAGAGGCAGAGTTTCTCAGTGTATGGCGAGTACTGCAGTAACCACGAGAAGGCTTTGCGGCTTCTAATGGAGCTAAACAAGATTCCCAACATAAGGACATTTCTACTGGTAAGATCTACTTACTTCTTTCTTTTCAAATCTTTGGCTTTGTTCTTGCTTTTACTATTTTGACTGTAGCTCTTTACAATATGATGCATCTCAGTTAAACAGACGTGTTTTCTGGGTCCAGTGCAAACAATGGTGCTCTATGTTGGTCTGTAAGCACCCCAGAGAAAATTAGCTATATTAGATATATATATATATATATATATATATATATATATATATATATATATATATATATATATATATATATATATATACACATTTTTATTGTCATTACACTGTCACATGTGCAGAGCAAGGAAATGAAATGAACTCTCCGCATTTAACCCATCCCTTTGGGGAGCAGTGAGCTGCCATTGTGTGGCGCACGGGGAGTAGTGTGGGGTCAAGGGTCTTGCTCAGGGACCCAGAGTGGCAGTCTTCTGCAGCGGGGCTCGAGCTCAGAACCTCTGGATTCCAAGCGCAATGCCCTCACCACTAGTGTGCCACTCCCCTGCAGAGTGTGGCCTGAATCTCAACACTATCATGCTAAATTAGAAATATGTCACAACTGAGGTAAAGATAAGTAAGTGACAGTTTTACTTTTGTAAGGCATTTATTGACTTGAATAATATTTTTTTTTATGTATTTCTTATATATGAAAATATAAATCCTGAGTTTTGAAAGATCTGTTGGTGCTGGAATAATATTCATAAATGTTTCCTTCTTTTATTCAACTGTTGTTTTCCTTTGACCTACATTTGCTTCATATCCTGGCTTTTTTCCATGTTTCTGCTTCTTTTTCTCCACTTATATCGCCTCCATTTCCGTGTTAAAGCTTGAATAAGGGCCAGAAACCATAACGAGGTCAGGGGTCTCTTCCTGCCAGGACAGGATGCAACCGCCATCAAGGTTACTTTTGTGTATTGTTACACTTGTAGTGCTTCCGCTGCCAGCTGCTTCCATGTTTTGACACCCAAACCTTTGGGCACCGGACAATGAACTTAAAACGGCGCCGGGGCCCTTGAACGGGGGGGTCCCAAGCAGGGAAATCATCCTTGTATCAGCCAGCTGTGGCCTTTTGGCAGCTTTTTCTGGATAGGCGATGAGATCTGAACCCCTGTGTTTGTCACCCTCTGGGCTGCTTCCATGACATTATTCCTATCCTGGGGACTGGGAACAGCAATGCTGCATCCGTTCGCTTTTTGCTCCTGTGGGTCCAGGTTTGCAGCTGTGAACCGGTCGGGTTCTGTGTGATACAGATGCTCCCCCCCCCTAAAAAAAAGACTCCTTAACATCTGGCTATGTATCAAAACATTTCATCAGATCTGCATTTTGTTAACACTGAATATATGCTTCTTTTTTGTGGGGCAGAATCCTGCCAACTAGTGACAAAAAAAGAACACAAAGATAAAGAAAACTGTACGGTGAAAAGTCAGGGATCTTTTTAGTATTATAGAATAAAAGAAAATGTCACCAGTGGCTCTTTTCCACTTGTCAAGATTGGAATTTTTCTGTAAAATTTGTTGCTAATTGATTATTTCAACTGTGATTGTTCTGAAACTGCGCTTCAAAATGAAGAGGTAATTGCACTGTTGGCCACGAGAAGTAAAGTTTAAAGAAAATTAGGTCAGAAGGATGAGCGGAGCGACTTCTGGCTTCAGGCTGGTGGATTACAAATACAAAAAAGATCAGAGAGGAAAGGAAGCGGGTAAAAACGGGGGTAGGATTGAGGGTGAAGGAAAGGAAAAGCCGTTAGAACAAGAAAATGAATATAGTAGAAAAATTAAAAAACGCTTCATTTTTTTTTTTTTTTTTTACATCAATGAAGCTCCGCTTCTGGGTTCAGCCTCTCCTGCTCTGTTTAGACTTGAAAAGAATTGCCATGTGATCATAATGCTTCAAAGTGATCTCCAGCCTTCCTTCCCACTGGAAAAACACTTCAGTGGTTTATCTGCATGGTTGCTTTTGATCTTTCTCCTCATCCCACAATCTCATAGTGTGCATGTACTAACAGGCTGGCTTCCATCTAAATACAAGCCAAAATGAAACCAGTGCTGTCACCATGCTGCTGCTGGTGAATAAGACCGAAGTTTGAATCGATTCTGGGGACGAGGCTACATTTCAGAGCTTAATTACTCCCTTCGAAGAGGGGGCATTATGAACTTTTGAAAGGGACACTTATTGGTCATAGGTTTGACAAATAGCAGGGGAAATAAAAGAGGAAAACTGTCTGAACAAGCCATTAAAAATCGACAAAGCTTTGTTTCTGGCATAAAAAAGGAATTTATTGAGACTGAGTCCACTTCCCTAATACAAGATCAATGTCATGCACTGATGCCTGAAAATGCTGGAGCTTTTAAGTGCAATAAAATAACAGACCGCATTTCCACTCACCGATCTGTGATGTTCCTGATGCTGCACTTTTGTTGTCTACCCATAGAGCTGCAATCTGCAAATCTTTCTCCTGTTAAAAAGGCTTTTATATAGAGCCATGCTAAACGAATGCTAGTATGTTTGCTTTTTGTTTTTGATGGGACTTCTGCATATCTGGTTGATAAAGTATTCTAAATACCTTTATAGCTAATTTGGAACCAACAAGACATGGGCTAAAAACAACTTCTCTGCTTCATAAACTGAATATGATGCTTTAAACACCATAAAATTTGATGATGACTGTTTCAGCTGCTCATTACACAACTTTCTCCTTACCCAGATGGCTGTCGGTAACAGATCAGCTCACGTGACTCAATGACAGGAAGTGTCTCTCTGTGTTAGAGGAACCCAAGATTGATTAGTTCAACACAATAATCTGCACTGTCCTCTTATCGGGTTTTGCAAGTTGTGCAGACGAAAATAGGTGCCTATAGGTGTGGCTGATATTTAATCCCAAAAAGTACAGAGTAGACACCTTTTACGAGTTGAACTTATAAAGTCTAAACAGAAATGATTTACAAATATCTTGATCAGCATTTATATTCAATAGTTCTCACTGGATAAAGGATCAGTGTCACTGGCTTACAGAATTAAAGAAATAAAATCACCAATCAATTTTCCTTTGTAAGAATGCCTCATAAAACAACAATCTTATGTTGATATGTCCTAAAGGCAGTTTGAAATAAGTGACTCCTACGGTTTTATTAAGATGAAATGACACATACCTGATTAAACTGGCCATATTCAGTAGCAAAGACAGAAAGAAGTGCCAATCTGATAAATTCTTTATATTAGGCTTTCTGATGTTGTAGAAGTCCTTGTCCGACATTAAGGTAGTCATTGATTCCCTGAGTTTGGGTTATGACCCCATTTGGGTCACAGATCAGCATGATGCGGAGAAATATAAAAAAATAAAAATGATAATGAAACATTTAAGGATGATAGAATATCACTTGAAAAAAGACTAAACCAAATGTACATTGGTTGTTAGTGATTTTTTTATTACTATTATGTCTATGGTTAGAAATGTTGGTATTCTGACCAAAGGTTTGGGTCAGGAGAACCTTGACTGTAAAAGATTGTTCATTCAGACTTTATACAAAGCCTAAATATGGTTTGAAATTAGTTTGCAAAGTTCTGATCTGATTTTCTTTTAAAGAGAAAAAACATTTTAAACAATCTAATACTATGTAACTTTGCTGCTATTAACCAGCTGCAGCGTCTCTGCCTCTAATGGTCGGCATACGCTGCTGCTTTGGGCCGTCGTTCACAAAAGAACCCGATTGCAGGAAAATTCAGGGCGAAATCTTTGGTCGTGGTTCCAAATCTGCAGTGTTGCATCGCACTGTGACACAGCATCAAGAACAGACATGTTTAACATCTTGTGACCAAAAATAACCTGATAAATATTTAGTCAACTATTTAGACTATTATTTAGATTGAATATCCCACTGTGTGACAGTTGCTGCACCCTATGTGTACTAATCAGCCTAAATAAATGACATATTCACTTAAGTACATGTGGATTTTGCAAAGATATATGTAGTGTTTGTGTGTTTTATTTACTTATTCTTTATTTAACTAGACATATAAACTGAGATATAATATAATGAATCATTATAGATGCTAATGAAACAGCTCCATCTCTTTCTGTTAGAAAGTGATTTTTATTCATATAGAACCTTTCACAGACATAGAGGTGCTTCATAAAATTAAAATACAAATAAAATACATTTACAATCACAAAAGACATGGTCATAAAACAACCCTTAATCTACGGGAATTATAATGCTTTTTTAAACAAATAGGTTTTCAGTTCACTCTTTAAAACATCAACAGAATCAAGTAAGCGCAAGGAAAGCGGAAGATCGTTCCAGAGCGCCGGAGCGACCGCCTGAAAGGAGCGATCTGCCATGGTCCTGTAACGAGTACGAGGGACCATGGGCAGGATCTGGTCCTGAGACCTCAGGAGAGGGGGTATAAGGACACAACAAGTCTCTAATGTAAGAGGGAGCCTGACAGTAAAAAAGGCCCTGAAAGTTAGCACCAGGATTTTAACTGGCACCGAAAAGGGACTGGGAGCCAATGAAGAACTTTTAGAATCAACGTAATATGAGCCCTTCTGTTTGTACGAGTCAGTAACTTCGCCGCCGAGTTCTGAAGACTGTAAGACTGGCCTTTTGAAGTTGACCTCTTTTCCTGAGCCGTGACCTCGTCCACATCCTCACTATCCTTCTCCTTCTTCTCAGATTTGTTAGATTGCACTGATATGCTGCTATCAGAACGTCTGCATTATTTGTTGTGTTGGTGTCTGACTGCACTGATAGCGTACGCTGATGTGGCTGCTTACTGCCTTACATCACAAATTAGTTAGTAGTGAGCATCGATTTGCGCACATCAAAACTGACTTTGCACCAAAGTAGATTATATTTCTGCATAGTGTATCTTGGCCTAGTAAGATTACTGGGATTGGGTGTGACTGATTAAAACAAAGTGGCACATACTGTAGTTGTAAAGTGAAAGAAACCGGATCATTTTTTTTTATTTTCCTACCCCTTCACTCTGATGCTCCTAAGTAAAATCCAGTGTAACCAGTCGCCATCATGAGGCATGAGATAGAGGCCAACTTTAAATCAGCTGTTTTTTTTTTAACTTGTTTTAACTTCCTCAGCTGTGACGCATATTTGTTTAAAGGATACAGGAAGCAATGTACATCCTGTGAACAGAGCCGGACTCACTGGCTCTTCTTCTTCTTCTCTCACCTCTTTGCTCTGTTGCTTCAACAATAATTTTTGTAACTCGTTCTGCTTCTGTTTCCTGTGAAGCACTGCATGCTGCTTGGAGGAAAGAAGAGCACAGACATTCCCCTGGAGGGTTACCTTCTCACTCCAATTCAGAGGATCTGCAAGTACCCTCTGCTGCTGAAGGTACTGTTCCAAAGCTGCTACAGAACCAAGCATTACCCAACAAGAACACTTGCTTTGCTCAATATGTCTGCCCAGAAAATCTGAAAACGGAACAAGCATGTTTGAGTTCAGGTCATGAGTCATTTATAGACTTAGTTAGATGGGCACACATCTACCTACTCTGTAGGTTGTAGCTTTGGAACGCCAGACAGTAAAGGTCACGCATCTAGATAACCTCTCTTTTTCACCTCCTTTTGAAAATACCACAGTTTAATTATATGAACTTCCTCTTTCCATGATATAGGAACTACTTAAAAGGACTCCTAAGAAGCATTCAGATTACCCTGCTGTGGAGGAGGCTCTGCAGGGTATGAAGGCTGTTTGCTCCAACATCAATGAGACCAAGAGGCAGATGGAGAAACTGGAGGCTCTGGAACAGCTGCAGTCCCACATCGAAGGCTGGGAGGTGAGAGAAGGAGCGAAGGCAGCCGTCATGACGGCCTGTAACACCTAGAGTGGAAGGGAATCAGAAAAGGGGGCTCTATTCGAAAGGGTCCCTGTGATAAAACCACAACAAGAATGTGTTTGAAAGACCTAAACTAAGCTGTCCTCTAGGTTTACTGATTTAGAATTAAACAACCAAAGCACTGCTTTTAGAGCAAGGGGGCCAAAGACACCAGTGAAGGGTCCGGTGCATTTTTTACGCCTCCCTCACTCACCACAACAGAGTCCTTGTCTTAGAGGGCACCAGTGGGGACAATCCACCTACACAGGGTGCTGAGTGGGATGCCAACAGGCTCACTGCTCAATCAAAAGGGACCTAAGAAGCAGAACCTGCATGTCTGAGGAGGTTTATATGTGCTACCTTTGGACATCCCTCTGTTGCTGACCACACTGCATTCCTGCCCATCACCACCCTTCCTCTCATTCTTACACACACAGGATCAAAATAATCTGTAAAAATGCATCATCCTGCAAGGCTTGCTAGAGAGATGAGGTTCTTTCAAACAGGGCTGTGCTGATTTAAAATGTTAAAAGATTGTAGTCTACATTTTAATTTCCTTTAGAGTCCCATGTTGGAGATTAGCATGGTCACTCTGGCTAGCAACATTAAAAAGGCATTCTCTATGATCTGTAAGAATGCAAATCCTAACTTTAATCAGTTGAGGTTACTTTACGGCTCCCAATGTTTCCAGATCCAACATGTTCCATCATAGAAGTGTGTTGAAAAGGTCTAAAGCAGAGGTCACAGATTAGCGGTCTGGATCCGGACCCAACCTGATTTAAAACATTTATAAATTACCGCATTTTGTCCGAAGGCAGTGTCTAATTTCACTTGTGCCGCTTCTCCTGTTAATATGGTAAAGCCCTTCAAAGCATCCGGGACCAGGCTTTTATTTCAGTGTTAAATTCTGTTCAAAGTAAGAGATTATAATTACAAATGTCTCCAGACCTTTACTGGTTGTTGATCTTCTTTATTTGGACCCCACTGATTTTTAATTGGTTACCCCTGGTCTAAAGTTGATTGATCTAGCCTTCCTGTTATGGCTTAAGGTTCGTGCTCTCCTTCAACCTAAAGGAGGCGCAGAAATGTATTGATGCAGATGGGAATGATTCATTTGAAAAAGGGCATGTTACGTCAGCAGCTGTCTTCTTCGGCTTCTCTAAATGAATATTTTACTCCTTTGTAGAAAAAGTTTCTGCCAAACCAAAGACTTTATTTAGAATTATTAGTTGTAATGCAGAATAAATCTTATATTTAGCTAAAACAACAATAAAGCTGTGCTTATGCAGAGTTAGTAGACTCCAAATGTTCAGATTTAGTTTACTTTTCAACAACAAAGCAGAACTTTAGCGAGGCACTTTACGCCGACCCTGCAGCCTCTGACCTAACTGCATTAAACTCGCTCTTCTTTCCCCTTTTGCAGCCACTCTCTGAGGCTGATCACCTCCAGCCCTAATGGAAGAGGCCGCCAGTCGTGCCGAATCAGGCCCAGATGCATTACTGGCACTTGAATACCCTATGCATGAAAACACAGGCAGCTTCACACCCAACCACATACATTGAACTTGCCCAGTTGAAGACGTGTCTGCAGAATGTGGGACATGCATTTTGTTTCTGTGCAGATGCAACCAAACCACAACAGTTTCTTTTTATTAGTTTGGTGGTGCTGATCTGAGTTTGAATAGCTTTTTGAAATAAGTAAGATATTCATTGAAATTTAAACTTGGAAAAACTGAAACATAAATCAGAGACAAGGTAATGCATTGAATTATGGAGGCTTCAGAGCGTGTCTAGCTAAACATAGGTGACAGGGGCAAGGGGTGAATCCTGGCAGGGGTCCCCGTTAAGATGACTGAAACAAGTCCGGGTTTGAGTGTGGGGGATCCACACATGGAGGCGTTTAGTTCCAGATGATTTGGAGGCGAATGAACCATTTAACAATGAGTAATGAGCAGTCTTTTATCTTTATTATCTCATTCGTTCGCAGCCTTGCGTCGACATGTTTTTCAGTCGGTCCCCTTTTTGCGTTCGAATAAATGCCTTCTGGTTTCGCCGACCGTTCTGCTTTTGCAGGAGGATGTTTTATTATTCACAACTTTGGAGGGAACATGTTAATGAACGACTGCTTGTGTTTTTATGTGTGAAAAACCATTTCCAGTCCCCAGCTGAAAACGCTGAAAATCACTTTCTAAAAATAATTCTCTTCCATCACAGCAAATGGTTTTGCAGTTCAAACCACATAATAAAAAAAAAATGATTAGACACCATTATGCAGGCAGCTGGTCAAGTGAGAATTCAGAAACTTCTTTGATCCTAATTGACAGCCTAATTTATTGACTTTCAATAAGCTTATTTATCTTCTACGTCTCTCTTTCATAATGTTTATGAAAATGATTTCATGCTAGAATGTGTTTAACAGCAATCTACCTTCGACCATCTGATGTGGGTATGGTGATTGTAACAGGATTCTGGGCTTGCCTTCAACAGACTGTCTTAACAGGTTGTGGTTTATTCGATAGTTTACAAGAAAAGGCTTTTATAATGCGATACAATCATATCCTGTGAAGGTGCAACGCTGCAGAGTGTCTAAATAGATAGATCACAGCTGACTGAGAGAGTTTTCCTTCTGCAGTAAAAAGGCACCTCCCTAATCCGATTAAATATATATTATATGATATATATTTCTGCTTAATTGTACTGAGAAGACTTTAGATTTTCTTAAAATTTGGCGCTGTCATTTGTTTTGTTCCATTGTTGTTGAAATATTACATTTAAATATGAAAAAACTGGAAAAAAAAATGTAATCCAGAAGTTAAACTTTTTAATTCAAAATGGTTTTAAGATTCCCTTTCCTGTTTTCTCAAATTTGATTTAAATAAATATATATTTTTTTGCGTATTATGTAAATCACATTCTATTCAAATTGTGATTACAGATCACAATTCTTTTAACTTCAAGCCAAATGCAAACGTTTTTTTCAATACTTATATGGATAAAAATGTTGCTGCTAGTATAAAATCTGAGAAAACCGCAAAGTTATTTTGAAAGTCTTTTATTTCGGTTAAAGAATTCTTTTTTCATTTTTTGCAAATTCTTATTTATAAATTATGATCTTTGCTTGCAACAAAAATGGAACAAAGCTAACTCCATAAATGTCATGCATGTTTAAACACTGATATCTAGGGAGAGGTAGAAAAGTGCTTTGCTTTGATTGTTGAACTATTCCCATCAGACTGTTTACAACCATGAATTTTGCAAACTGGATAATTTTCTTTTAGATTTATTATCTGAAGAGGGCAGCATGGATTTGCATTGACCCTTTAAAGATACACCTACACTGAATAAATGCATTCTGCAGTTGCTTCAATAATCGAATCTAAATGCTGAGGGGCTCTCTGAATTTTATAAGGTATGTTTGTAAATGCTGTAATCTAAAGCATTATGAAGACCAAGAACACATTAGGCAGTTCAGGAATAGTGCTGTGGAGAAGTCTGAAAGATTGTTAGACTGTAAATCAGTTATCCAAAGCTTTTGATGCGTTAGAGCCTCTGAAAATGAGCTGAGAATGGCAAAGCTCCCAAAAATGTCCGTCAAGTAATCTAACAGGCTATCTAAAGCAAAAAGTGACAACTTTATAGTAAGATGCACAACTCAGGTAGGAAAAAAGCCTTTCTTCTTAGATGAGAGCCGAATCAACAGAAACAACTGGGAGGCTGGTCAGAGCTGGTCAGCTGGAAAGCTTCAGGTGTTTGGCTACTTTTTCAAGGATCTACTCAAAAGGAACAGCTTTGGTTGAGCCTTCCCCCTTTTAATAGAATCAAATTAATCATTATGATTTGATCACACCCGTTTTTGAGATACCAGAATAGTTCTTCTTCTGTTTTTTTCTTACCAGCAGCAATGCACATGTCCGAAAATAGAACAGCTGATGTTAAGGTTTTATCTACAAGAAGCAAACGATGTAGTTGAATAGGGACAGCTGCGCTCAGCCTTTCCTATCATTCACAACAGAACAAAAACAAGTTGCTGCGGGTGTCAAAGTTTAATTTTCATATTGTTCTGTTGAGGTTGTGAACTCTTTAGGTTTTGGACACATGCAGCTGTGTTGTGGCGCGCTGAAATAAACCACAGCTGCTGACAGTGAGGTTTATACTGCAGATCAGTTCTTCTATTTAAATTAGTCATTTATTTATTTGTTCTTCTGCAGGGAACCAACCTGACAGATATCTGCACGGAGTTGCTCCTTCATGGAAATCTTCTCAAAATCTCAGCAGGCAACATCCAGGAGCGAGTCTTCTTTCTGTTTGACAACCTTTTGGTTTACTGCAAAAGGAAGTCCAGGTGAGATATTCAGAAAACTGGAAGACAACAAGAAAGTGTTCAGACCCGTCCAGACATGAATAAAAATCCGTGCAAATGTCCGCATTAATGCACTCTCTGTATTTACCATGCAAGCAAAATATGCACCTCCATGCATATGAAGCTCCTACCACTGCATCTGCTTGAATGTTTGTATTTTTTGGGGAGTAGTATAGTGCATGGAGTTGTTTCTTCGTACGGCATAGTTCTGGCATCAGCGGACGTTTCCCCTGAGTGTAACCGCAGTGTTGTCCCCTCTCCAAGGGTATCTGGAAAGAAGTCCACGAAGAGGACCAAGTCTATCAACGGGCCTCTCTATGTGTTCAGAGGTCGGATCAACACAGAAGTGATGGAGGTGGAAAATGTGGAAGATGGAACAGGTTCGTGTTTGCATAGCAGAGCATTCGCTCTGCAGAATGTTTGTAGATCTGTACGTTATGAGGATGTGTTAAACCATCTATCAGGAGTTTCTGCTCTTTTTGCTATGCAGTACAAACAAATCTGTTGCTTTACTATGTTTCTAGAGCGGAAGAAAATAATTTAAAGGCAACAGCCTCTCCTTTCAATTTGCACACAGTGCCCTCACTTCTTAAATTTCCATCTCGGTTCAAGCAACCGCTCTGTTTTTAGCCCACTGGTTCGATTTGAATCGGGGCTTGTTGACAGTTTGGGTGGAGTACCACACTTGCACCTAGTCTTGAACAGGATGTAGCTTGCAGCTTTCTGAACCTTTTGATCTCACTTACTAAGCAACTGGTTCCTGAATTGATACGTATCTGCAAACCTTAATACAGTCTGATAAACTCATGTGCTTCAGCTCAGAAGGTGCAGCTCCTCAGGAAGCTGGTAGAGATCCGGTCTTCTCTCCTGCTATTAGCTACTGTGGTTTGCAGGGTTCGATGCAGTTCTGTCCTCCGGTGTAGAAACACTTGATCTTCCTCTCACATGTTTCCTCTTTTTTTGTAAAATCTCTCTGTCTCTCGGTCTCCTTTCTCTATGCTGGCAGTATGTTTCTGCAAGCTCACATGACTCTTTCTCTTTGTCTTTGTGCTGGTGTACTGGCTGTCACATTCTGGTTTCTGAAAGGCAAACCACAAAGAAAAACAAGCCTTACTTGCAAAGTCCAAGGGTCCCACATTCAGATTATCAGATCTCGGAGCGTGAAAGTTGTGAAACAAGGGTGTGACTGGAAACAGAAATGAGAGAGAGAGAGAGAGAAAAAAAGAGAACTTAATTGTCAACTTACTGGATAAAGTTTTTGAGTTTGCCTGATCTGTTTACTGAGAGTCTAAGAGGGGAATCCATCCTTTTTTCTCTCTCTCTAGAAGATCACAGTTTCTGCACAGCTTCTGTCATCCATGCAGAGCAGGAGCGACTCCCAGTAGGCCCCAACGTATCAAATCTATTTATATGACCTTTGAGCACGAGACTAATGCACCCCATTACCAATGGCCATTCATTATTCAGAGTCCGCTCACCTGCAGCTCGATGGATGGAGGAATTAGAAAGGGCTACCAGGAGAGATTCTGATGAGTCAGTGGAAGAACAGCCCTTTACTGCTTTTATATTGCTTCCTGATTATATTTTTTATTGTCATTTATGTTCATCTCTCAGGCTTAACAGCTCTTCAAAGATCCTTTTTATGTTTAGATCATTAGAAGCATCATTTGATTAGTCACATTATTTTCCTTACTTAAACTTAAGGCAATGTTTGCATTGGAAATATCTTTTGGAACTTCATTCTCTACATCTCCTGCTTTATAATGAAATAATGCCTCATTTTTATGCTATACGAGTTTTTTTTTTTTTGGCTATATATATATATATATATATATATATATATATATATATATATATATATATATATATATATATATATATATATATATATATATCTCACAGTCCAAAAAAGTCCAACTAACTAAGTCTTATGATCTTAAATAGTCAAAAAGTCTTCTTGATCCTTTTTTCAGATTGAAATACTAATCAAGAGCAGATTCTATTAGATTATTAATAGAAAAGTCGCCTAATAAATAAGTGCAATAATCAGCCTGTGCAGTAAGACAATCGCACTTGAGAAGAATTATTGAAATCATCATATATGTTGTGTCAAAACAAGAACTTTTAACAAGTTTGATTATCTTACAGTAGATGAGTATTTGCATGGGTGTTGCGATACGATACATGTCACTATTCTTGGGTCACGATACGATATTATCACGATATTGCTATATTACTATATATTACAATATTTTTTCCCAACTATCAAATTACATGTATATAAAACAGAGCAAGTGCTGTATATGTTCATCAGACGATATTGATAATTTATATATTTTGGTATCCATGTTGTTTGGGGTTGTATTCAGTCCACATCTTGCACAGTGACTGCCTCAACTAAAGATATGGTGCAGCGCCGCACAGCAAAAGGGCTCCATGGTGCTTTAATTAAACCCGAGTGGCGATGCAGAGGTAGCCAATTTTCCCTCATTGTTTTAGGTAATATATTTTGTTTTTAAAATCAATACTAGGAAATGAAAGATCAATATTATATCGGGCACCCGAAATTCACGATATATCGCCGAAACGATTTTTTTCCACACCCCTATCTTACAGCCCTGGCAGATAATTGCACTTCCTTCATAATAGAACGTTATGAAAAGAAGATTAATATTCTAACAGAATCTGCTCTTGGTTAGTATAGAAATCTCAAAACAAGATCATGAAAGACTTTTCGGCTAATATAAGATTGTAAGATCTGATTAGATTGGCACTTCGGTTATCCTAGCAATGCAAAAGACTGGAGAGAAATATAACACAGTAGACAGGGCTTTGTTAAAAAAACAAATAAAAAACAATCTATTATTCCTCATAAAACCATTTCAATTTTAACATATTTTGTCTTTTTAAATCTATAGACTTTATGTGATTGAAATCCGACAAGTTGAAGGAAAATTATATTGTTTATAATTGTTTTAATTTCTACTAATACAATCTAGGTTGGTGTCCCATTCTGTTCAGACCCCTTCCTTAGTGCTGTGTAGAACCGCCTTCTGCTGAGCTAAATCTGATAGCATTTTAAGGGTTGCCTGTCTAAAACTGCTATGTTTGCCGAATGCTGTTCAGGCAATAGCTCATGCTCAGTCAGATTGGGCATCTGGAGCTTTAATTAGCAAATCTTACCCCAAAATCAGATCAGAACGTGCTGCAACATGAACATGCTTCAATATACAGCATTTCCTTGTTGATCTGACTGGATGTTCGGTGGCTATTGTCCTGGAAGTTTATCATCCGCTTGAATCTCATGTTCTTTTGCAGCTTCTAACATGTTTTCCTTGATTATTGTATTTCTTTAGTTTCCTCAGTTTTTTTGTATTGTTCGGATGTCTTATTTTTTTTTTATTTCAATAATTTTTATGGCCTAATGGTAGTCATGTTAACAGATTATTCTACCTGAGCTGTGGATCTTTGCAGCTCCTCCCAGATTAACAAAGGCTTAATTTTTTTACCTATCCCTTAAAATTCCAACAAACTCCTTTAAATGTGTGCTTCTTTTTGCCACAGATACTTTATAAGTATTGTTTTTCATGTTCGTCTCTCCTTCTTCTGAATCCCTTCATCCTCTTGCTTTTCAGCTGACTATCACAGCAACAACTACACAGTAACAAATGGCTGGAAGATTCATAACACAGCGAAGAACAAGTGGTTTGTCTGCATGGCCAAAAACGCAGAGGACAAGCAGAAGTGGCTGGATGCCATCTTGAGGGAACGGGAGCAGAGAGAGAGTAAGTAATGATTTTCTTCATATTTTATTGTCTTTACAACCATTTTTAACAGCACCTTTGGTTTTTATTTCTTTTTTCTGCTGTTGATTAGAAAATAGATTTTTCCTCAAAGATGTTTTAAAAGAAACGCTGCAGCTGTGATTAAATATTAATTTCATTCGGCTTTATTGTAGAGAGCGTACCAACTGTTTTTTATTTTTACTCTTATTTCTGAAATTTTTGTCTTGTATTGTTTTATCTTTAAACAGATTCCGTAAATCCTTTGCTAAGAATGCAGCCGACATCTTTTATGATTCTCTCCTAAATAGACTCTTATTAAAACAGTTTCCTAAACTGTTATTCTTCTAAAAGGTAACCTGTCACTTTAAATTAGCTGAGAAGAGGTTTAGGTTCATTTTTCAAAACATTTTTAAATACTTTTTGTCAGCATAATTTATAAAAATAGAATTCCCTAAATAGACTTTTACATAAAAAAAAATCTAAAACTTCATCCAAGGCATTTTTTTTTTTTTAACAGGTGTTGTTTAGAGGCAAAAATGCTAAAAACTCTTTTCAAATGCTTAGAGGTAGATTCAGCTCTTCAACACTTGTCGTGTCATATTCATTATTGCCCTTTAATGATGCATTTGAACTGTTCTTTTCTCGGCGTAGAAGGATGATTCAACAAACAACTTGAATTTGCTTTAAAAGCTAGAATAAGCTACGCAGGTTTGAGTATGTTGCAGATTTTTTTCTTGTGCACAAATGGTTTAAATTATGCATCTCTCTTCAAATATATACAAAGAATAACAGAACTTGTATAAATGTGCCTGATAAGTTGCAGAAAACTTGTCAGAAAGGTCCTGGCATATCTCTGCGGTCTGATCCACCTGTTAACTTCACAGATGTATGTAGGTAGCATTGGCATCCCTCATTCCTAATAATCCTGTTTTAATGTTTTTCATTTGGTTTGACCTTGGGTAAAATAAACTTTTTAGAAGAAGTTCCAGTACTAAAAGCAGTAAAACAGACACTACGGCGTCTTTGCATTCTCTGCAAGAACCAAGAAATATTGTTTTTGTTCTGGAAGGGGGAAAACACGACAAAAATGTGTTTTCTCTCATAATATTCATAGTTTGAGCTCAAGTTAAATCCACAAAAGAAAACAAAAGCAGCACAATGGGGGGAAGAGCCCAAAGCTTCATTATGCTTAGACGTCGTTTCATACTAATGTTAATATTTTTCCTCCTGCCTCTGCCCGGTCATGGCGGTCATGGGACAGATTTCTACACCTGAAATAAGGTGGAAATATACAAACATGTTTTTAAGCAAGAAAGTTCCCCTTAAAAGGCCATCAGTGAGTTTATCAGGACAATGATCCGACTTCTGCTCTTGTTTAGAGCATCATTGTGAAAAGCTCTCTAAAACCATCCAGGGGATTTTCTGCTGCTTTTTGTAGCAGCTCAGAGAGAATAAAGTTTTTTTTTTAGGTTGAGATAAAAACTGCAAGTATCAGAATATATAAAAGCAGGTATTTTTTCCAGGCCAGCTTGACATTTTAAGTTAATGTTGATATTTATAAACTGTTTTACAACAACTCTGTAAGAAAATATTTGTAGAGTAAGATCAGATCACTCTTTATCACTCTCTTCATACACACACACACACACACACACACACACACACACACACACACACACACACACACACACACACACACACACACACACACACACACACACACACACACACACACACACACACACATATATATATATATATATATATATATATATATATATATATATATATATATATTTATAAAATACATTCTCCTGCATTTTTTTTGGTAAAACAAGTTGAATTCATTTTTCATAGTTTTATGCTGACAGCTCTTGAGAAGAAGAGATCACAGCTTCCATGTGCTGCATGATACCCAGACGACTCTTGGTCTCACATCAGCTTCTTTGATTGATTGATGCTCAATGTTCAGCTTTAAAAATTCCAATTTCCCAACTCTGGTGTGTTTTGCTCAACATGCACTCCTTCCAGTGCCGGAAATGCTAAAAGACCCGATGCCCCTGAAACGGAAAACATGTTGCTGGACCTCTAGGCAGTCTTCCATGCTGTCTTCCATAGAATTCGCATCTAAGGCCCTGACGCTCAAAACACGTTTGGTTTGAAATCAATTTTAAACCCAGGTCCATATCAGGAAACCTTAAATTCTCAAACCAAGCTGCTGCTGTTTTTGTGGAAAGTGGTCCAATATCAAGCTCAAATTTAAGCAGGACATTTCTGTATCCACATAAAGTGGATAGTAGGCGAACTTACATCCAATGTCTGAGTTTGAACCTTTCTCTGAGTGGATAAGGTGAACTTTGAACTGAGCTAAAACTTTTGCACACAGACCAGTTTGACAAAAGAGGGAAGAAGAAAATCCACCATAATATACTTTACTTTCATTAATGGTAAACATGAGGCATTTTGTGCTCGTTTGAGATTAGTGGTGTAAGTCGATATGGTTGTTTCTCCTTTAGCCGTTGCTTTCTTTCAACTTTACACCTCCATCTTTTACCTCAAATTGAGTCCCCACCTGTTCAGCACCAGCCATCTGTCTTTATTATGTCCTGTGCGTTGGCCGGTGAGAAAGCCTTTGGCCATATTTGTGGCCACTTGATAGCATTGATGCTAAAAATCAAAACCGGATCATCAGAGTCAATGAATGCAAAAGTTTCTGCTCTACTCTGCCTCCCGTTTTACTGAGAATAGTTTTCCAGTTAGCGCTGGTAAAATCAGGTTTTTCTATCTTGTGCAAATGAGAAATTTCCGCTGTGGTTGAAGTTAATAGTATTTGATCTCACTGAAAGGGGGCTCATGGTAGAATAAGGTCTGAAGGAGTTTTGCTGCAGCTTGTGGTGTTATGTTTCACCCCGGCGGAAATTGACCCGAGGCTAACAGATGCCAGATCAGTCACAGAGCCCAGTTTCTCTGCTTGCTGCTCCTCTGTTACACTTTTTTCCATATGCATTACTTCCAGTGTACCTACCCTATCTTCTTCCCCATGTCTAGATGGCAGCAACATTATTTTTCTATGCAATAAATCAAGGTATTTTCTACCTATTACCCCAAATGCCTTATTAGCTTTTAGCAGAAGACTGATTGGGTGGAACCTTCTTCACATATTGCGGCAGTTTATCTCTCCTGTCTTTTGACATATGGGGCTCATCTCATGGCCCTAAGGAAAGTATTTTATTGTTCAGGAGCTTCCAGCTGGCGATACTTGGTCTCATGGAAGTTTTAGGGACAACACGCGGCTCACTTAAAGGGTTATGGGTTTTTTTATCTTGTGCCAGACAGAGCAGGAAGATGAGGGGCACCTTAAGACGAGCTCTGACAGCTGGAGCAGCAGGAGAGGCCCTGTCTGTTGTTCAATGACACTTATTGTTTAAGTCTACTCCAGCTGCTGCCAAATGTAATATAACTCCACCTTCATCAGAGAGCCAGGGCAGTAATCTAAAGTCTAAAAGGGAAAACATGGGTAGATAACTAGCTGCAGAACTTATCAAATTCAACCTCCTTCCTTTGGATTGTTGAAAGGTACAAATTTTTGCACATTGTTATACGTGTCTGAATGCTTCGTATACCTTTACAACTTCTAAGTCAAACGTTAAATTTACACATATGGGGCTGCAGCTATTTATTATTTTAGTAGTTGATTAATCTATCAATTATTTTTTGTTTAATCGATTATTCTAACAGGATATTTTTAGTAATTTACCATTTATAAATAAACAAAAATTTTAAATATCTATTGGTCTGTCTGTCTAAATACACATAAAATATATACATATATATTTATATTTAATTTCTTTAAAAGACTTGCCTTGAATTGGTTTTCTTTATTGAAGTTTTTATTCAAAGCATAAAAACCAGTAACCATGAATTAGCTTCAGTTAAACCAAATAAAACCAAATAAGTCTAGTTTTCCTTCTCTATAAAATCAACTCTAAATTCTGCTTTTGCAACCCAAACATCCAGCGTTTTTTTTAATAATAATAATAATGAATTTTATTTGTAACGCACTTTACATTTGAATTCAAATTTCAAAGTGCTACAGTTTAAAAAGGGAAGATTAAAACAAAGGTTAAAAGACCATAATATTAAAACAGAGTAAAAGACAATCATTAAAAAAAATCATCATCATTCATAGCCTAGACAGATTTGCCACCTGATGAGGATTTGCATTTTGCCAGATCGTCAAATGTAAAGTCTGCTATTTTATGAACTGTATAAAGCCTGTTGAAGGTGGTAAAACTGAATACTTCAGTCTGAAGTTTAAAAGCTTGTTAGGCCGTTTAGAAGATTTAAGCAGATTAAGGAATCCTATTGAAATTGAAAGTCCAGTTGAGAAGTTCATGAAATCCCACTGTAGTAAAGCAGCTCAAACACTGAAGTGGTTTTACAGCGGCGGCCAGGATTACAGTGGGCCCTCATGGGCTCCTCAGCTCAGTGCAGGAATAATGGCTGACAAATGAACACTGAAACCAGATCAAAATCATCATGCCCTCCTGAACCTCTCTGATCCTCAGAGCTTGGAGTTTGTGGTATTTCCAAATCTCAAAACTTTGTTTCTGTGAAGAACCCAACATCACCAAATGACTCAGGGCTTGATTATGTCCTCTAACAACACTGGGATCCGTCTTTGCTTTTATGCATTTAGATAGCCTTGGAAATCTAGTTGAACTCTCTGGATTGGGTGTATTATCCTTGGCTGGACTCTATTCCCAGCAGCGTCCCACTCAGCTGGGGGTAAATGTGACCAAACCAGTTGGATCTGTCTTAGTTCTCTGCCTTCTCTTTCAGGTCTGAAGTTGGGAATGGAGAGAGATGCCTATGTGATGATAGCGGAGAAGGGCGAGAAGCTCTACCACATGATGATGACAAAAAACAGGCACCTGATAAAGGATCGGCGCAAGAAGCTCAGCATTGTGCCCAAGTGCTTCATGGGAAAGTGAGTCTCTTTGGTTCCTCAGTGTCTGGTTTCCTCGAGTTCCAAGAATGTGACTGGAACGCAATGCTGTTCACATGGGGATCTTTACAAAACGTTACGTAAGTTTAGCAGGCTTTCAAAAGAACTGGAATCCAGTTTCCCCCAGAGCCCTGGCAGAACGCCCAAAATGCTTTATCCCTACATCTTCTTCTCTATAATGAGGCCCCCCTCACAGCCACCTCTCATGGGTTATAGAAAGGGCCAACTTGGTCCCTGCATCCCCACATTATCTGGCAAACAGAAACACACCAATACTTTTATTGGAAGGGGATCTTTAGCTGAGATTTTTTTCAATAGGCTTTTCAGTGGAGGGGTGATTAGAGATTGACTAAAGTTTCTCTGACTTAGCTGTTGGATCCTGAACAAAAATACTAAAATCATAAGGCTTCCAACAGAGGGAAACAAAACAAAACAGGTTGGGATCACCATAGGGACAGATGACTTTCCACTGGAGAGAAACGGTGAGTCAGCTTTTAATGAGGATTGTGCCCATGTGTTAAATGTACAGGTCCTAAACCGTTTACTTAATGTCAGGAAAATAAACAGGACATATCCGATCATCCACACTCCCAAGATGGAGCATTAATGAGCTTTTCAAAATGTTTTTATATATTTTTAGAAGAGTTTCTTATCATTTTCAGACTTTATCCACAATCCCTTTTAAATATACCGAATCACACCGTAATGTTTTGACATTTTTTACCTCAAAACCATAAACATCAACTCAGTTTTTTAGTCTCTTGTTGTATAGAAACGTAGAACAGTGGATAAGTGCAAAGTGAGACTGTTTGCTCATGTTTGTGCTGTAAAGGGTTAACTTTCTGTGACACAAAAAGGTTTAGATTAGGCCAAAAAGTTGGATTTTAAGTCCTGCAAACAGAATGACGTGGATTTCTGGCCGAGCGTCTAGAGGTTTGAATTTCTGCAGATTCTCCAGAATTATTAATCATTTTCAAATAGAGAAAAGTATTTGGAAAAGACGGATTGGAATTAAATCCGTCATGTAAACACACCAATTGTAATATTAGGTATGATTTCAATGGGGATCAAATTATATTCCACTTAAGTGAGTGGTTTATGCTGATTCATAATCGGATCAGTGTTTTTCTAAACACGCAGGCAGCCCAGAAAGTCTGAACTAATTTCCTCTCTTGCTGTAATCCTGAAACTCAGCAATACCTTAACTTTCTGAGCCTGTAGCTTTATTTTAAGGAAAAAAAAAAAAAAAAACCTTTAGAAAAACCCAGAACAAACACGCTTCCACATTCGCTGTTTTTTATTTTCACACGAGGAAAAGTAAAACATTTATTCTGCTGTTGTTTTGGGGGAAAATCTGTTTACTCTGCGCATGTCGGAGCGCTTCTGTTGCGAATGAAACCTGTGCCGTATAAACACAGATATGTTTGATTTTCAGCCTTTAAACCGTGTATTTGGATCACAATTTATTTTGGTTAATCTGACCCAGTTCTATCTAAACATAGCCCACGTGTTTCATGCTTGGTTCTCCGACTGATTCTCTTCTTGACGTCCATTTCTTGGTCTGTTTGCTTTTAAGCCGTTTTTGGTGAGCGAGTTTTTCCAAGCCTGATAAATACTGTTTGTAGCCTAAACCCAGTTAGCTCTTCTTCACAGCTCTCTTCCTTTACCTGTCTGCTGTGTTCCTCTTTCTTCATGCTGATTGTTCTCTAATGTTCACTAGCAAATCTCTGAACAAAACTTAGTAAAGCTGGATTTAAAGATGACAGTAAACCCACATCATTTAGTTGACATCTGAAGGCAATTGCTTTAGTGGATTTAATTTAAAAGTTGTTTTTTATCTTGCTTACAACCTTTCACTTCTTTGTGTTTGTATATGAAACAGTAAAGCTGATAAAAAGCCATTAAAGTTGTTTTGGTGGGTGTTAAAATTGAGCATCAGACACTCCTGCTTCCTCACAGGTTTAGTCTCATATTCTTCTCAAATACCAGATGTAAACTTTCTTATTTTTAGAGAGTTGACTTCATTTTGACCCCATACATGTTTTTCTTCCTTTTTTTCTCCTCATCCTTAAGGTATAAGTCTAACCTGCCTCACTTTACGCTGCTCACTTTCTTATCAATCAACCAGATTCCACTTTTCTCACTATCAGTCATTTCCTGTGGATGAGTGCTCGCTTCATTAACTCTGCATTTGTCTTTCTGATCAAATTAACAACAAGCGAATCTTGAGTCCTTATTTCATTAACAGAGGCTGTCTGCCAGTTTAAAAGCCACTGCTTGTCTTTGTCGCCTAATCCCATTAGTTATCTGCTGTCCACCCCAGAAGATCTACGATTTTAATCCACTTTAAATGTATTTCAGCTATTTACATGACATTGTAGCCACACTGTAGTCTTATCATGTCTTTCTTGTTTTTTATTTATCTACTCCATCCTTTTCCGTTTAATATGTCTTTATATATAGCTTTATATATCATGTGTTCAGGTTAATGTCATGGTTAACTTCTGTTCCTTCGGCTTTTCTAATGTGTTTCTGACCTCATCGAGGAGAAATATCATTTGCACCTCTTCCTCGCCAAATGTTAATTCTAAGAAGGCTGTGAGTTCCTGTCAATAAATTAGCTGCAGAGATGCAGGAGACAAAACCGTCTGGTTATAGTTGGATGCACAGAGGAAATGGAGCTTGAACAGTTCAGAAACGGTAAAGAGAGATGGAGAAATGGCTCAGAAACTTTAAAACATTCTCATTTGGACTGGACTAGCAGGGGAGGAGTAAATCTTTCATTCTTATAACTTATTCTAACCTGTTTCTACTTTAAATGTAATTTGAAACTTAAGAAATGAGTTATTTTCTGCATAGTGCAGAATTTGTAAAGCAATGTTGGTCTAAACCTGGACTCAATCAGTAGATTAACCATTTATTTTGAACATATGTTTTGCTTTCTAATGTTCAAATACACAACACATAAACTACAGTACTGATAAATGTATTAAATAGCTCTTATTTTTCTCATCTTAAACACAAATTCCACAATCTTCCATTGTTTTTATATCAAAGGTCTGAAAAGGAAATGAGAATGAAGACAACGGACATCTAAGGAATAACTTTAAGAAACCTAAAGAAATCCCCAAGAACCACTGATTATACACAGGAGATATAAGGAACTTTGGCTTCCTGAACATTTAAACATTACTGCAGCTTCAGAAGATTTATCATCTGCTGATAGTCCCTATGAATCCATCATCCCCATCTTTCAGCTCTCATATCTTTAACTCTACTCATCAAATCTGCTCTCATTACATCTGAGTCCAAAATTAACCTGATTCTTACATAACGCGCCCCCGGCTTTAGGTCGTTCTTCCCGTCAACATTAATTAACTACCCCTGAGTTGGATGTTTGCATGAAAAGAGATTCTGAGATAAAATATTTAAATATATGTTTTATAATAATTACTATAAAAAGTCAGAAACCCTCTCTTAAAAACATATTCAGAAAAAATGATTCTTCCACCCTTTAGGCTAATATTGTTTTATGGTGTAGTTTGTCAGGATTAAAGATCAAAGGCACAAATACAAACCATCTCACTGTGATTCACAAGGATTTATTATCTGGGGAGGTGATTTCACCCAGACAGATGAGAGGCGGGGGAAGAGAGAGACTAATTTTCTCCCTCAAACATTTGCTCAGCCTGGAAGACAAGAAAGCGGGCTGCAGGTACCTAAATCTGGACAGTTCTACTGTGTGTCCAAGTAGATCTGACAGATATTTCTAGAGGAGATCATTTGTAGAGTCTGCTGCACCTGTAACTTTGGTCAGAGTAAGCCATTAAAATACTGTAAAAATCCTCCATCTGGAAGAGTAAACAGCCGGGGTATAAATACTCTTCCCCACTTTGTCAACACACAGCATGGATCAGCGCTCCCAGAGGACCCTGGGGCCAGCTCCGATTCAGAAAGGATATGTTTCACTGGTTAGAGCTTGTGGGCGAGCTGAAAACAGCAGAGACCTATGAGCAAACAGCTCACTTCCCAGGTAGCCTCGATCATTTGGCCTCATGTTAGCCTCAATGCCACAGGCAGCCTGGTTTTACATATTTATTGACACATTAGGAGGCAGACAGAGAGCCAGGCCAACAACAGGATATGTTTATTTACATGTAGGTACATTTTCAATTCTCGGGTAATAACTCTAAATTGATTGTTTATTTTAAAAAAAGCCACTTTTGATTGCAGACTGGCGACCCTGAGCAGAAAAGATGGAATAAAAAAATAAACTGAGTGTATTTCACATCACAGACATTTAATTAACATAATTTCAACTGGAAAGTTCATATTTGGTGCCAGTTATTTTACCACATTATTGTTTAGAAACCTTGCAGATTTGGTCACCTACCAAACTTTTTCTGAACCTTAATAGAGCCTTTCTGCCACGGGAGGCTTACAGTATAAGGCCCTTTCATCGAAAGTGTTTGTTCCTTCTGATAAACAATGGTTGATGTTAAGCTGTTTACCTTTGTAATTCTATAAAAGTATAGACTATAGAAATTCTAACATTACGACAACCCCTCTGTAAAAACACAGTGATTTCATAAGCAAATCCTTTTAGTTAAGTTTATTTAAAAACATGCATTAAACATTGGACTCTAAATATGCATTATAGCCTAGTGGCTAATTTCCAGTAAAAGTGGCAGTTTGGTGTCAAAGATATGATAAAAATCAGAAGAACAGGCAGATGTAATTACTTTTAATATTTAAAGGGAAGTGTTCTTTCTGCTGATAGTAAATGCGAAGAATATCTGTATTATTTCATATGTAGTAATGTTATAATTAAAAAGAAATATATTAAAGGAAGTCCCACAGTCTTAGAAATGGCTTTGTAACCTTTTCCAAACTCATCGTTGACAATAACTTTATTGTTTCAGCATTTTTCAGATTTATCCTCTAGTGGAAAATAAAGAAAATATACAAATACACATTCTTGCTTTTTTCCCCCCACTAAGTGTTCTTAACTCTCTTCATAGTTGCATCTACTTTAAGGAAGAATAGCTGTCTTACTGAAATGAGTTAAAAAGGAGAAGAGGGAGACGGCTCAGCCGAGCAACAAAAGAGGGTCTGTTTCAGACACCTGTCCTCATATGTGCCTCCTGTTTTTTTTTTTCTCAGTGAGTTTGTGTCGTGGCTGATAGAAAGCGGAGAGATCAGCAACGCTGACGAGGGAGTGAACCTGGGACAAGCCTTACTGGAAAATGGCATCATTCACCACGGTAATGCCCACACAGGTGTTTTCTTTTCCTTCCTTCCTTCCTTCCTTCCTTCCTTCCTTCCTTCCTTCCTTCCTTCCTTCCTTCCTTCCTTCCTTCCTTCCTTCCTTCCTTCCTTCCTTCCTTCCTTCCTTCCTTCCTTCCTTCCTTCCTTCCTTTTTTGACATATTTTTGTGATTTGTCTTTCTCCTCACCCCCAGTTTTTATTGTCCCATTGACTCAGATTTTTGTTTGTTTCATTTAATTCACCTCCGGCCTCTTCCATGTTACAACCTGCCATGACTTCCTCTGTTTATTGTTATTTTCGTAAAAAATACATCATTATTTCCGTTTTCCAGCTTTTTTTGTCTTCAGGATGACACTTGCTGACTCTCTAGACTAAATTATGCATTAAGAAGCAAACCTAGACACACACACTCTTCATCCCCAAACTTGTATAAATATTGTATGAATGCAGTTGTCCAGGCTGTTGCTGAAGAGAGGCATTATTAGTGCAAACCTCTGTCAATGTATACACCCCACACTCTGGAGGAAGTTTGCTCAAACCCAGCATTCACGCTCCTTACAACCTCTGGAAAATCCCCAGAGATCCTCCCTGACCGTCCCTTACAAACAGAGTGAGGCAGAAAGGATGTGGAAAGGTTTGTGCCTTACAGGCATTATACAAGCATCCCAAGCTAGTCATTGAAAAGACATCATTTATGATATGTTGTAATAATAATAAAACACAATCAGCCTCCTTCACACTTCATTCAGATATGTGTTGAAACATGACTGTCATCTGACATTTCCTTTGCTCTAAGGATAATTCAGCGACCATTTCATGTCCTGAATAAGTCTCACATTTGGCTCTTTCTAGAAGCTGATTTTCTGGTGCATTCCTTTGGTTTATAGGGGCATTTCAAGTCTAGACTGAGAGAAAAACCAGCAGCTTGTTTGAGTCAATGCCAGCTTGTTTGCGGTGGAACCAATCTGTCTCTGTTTGACTGATTCTGCTCTCAGTCGTGTCCTTGTGGATCATTTTCCCATTTCGCTGTGGTGGGGAAATCATAAACAGCAACTTTTTTTTTTTTTCTGGAGGTGTTGTGTTCATTTTGAGGCTTCATGAGAATTGGCAGCTGTTTGCTTTGTTAAATATTTGAATGTTATTGCTTCTTCTGCAGACACAGAATCACAGCTTTCCCCTCTAATGTTTGGCCTAGTTATTACCCTGAGGAAGTGAAATATGTCAAATGCTTTCAAACAGAATTTGTTAAAAGCCTACATCTGGATAACTGCAAATGTTTTCATATTGTTAAAAGAAATTTCAAGGTTGAATTATTAATAACCGTTTTGTCTTATATTTGGTCATATTTTGTTCCCCCCTGTTGCTTCGGTGCTGTGTTGCACTGTTTAATCTTTATGTGGCATCCTTAATCTGGGCGTACAATGTGCAATATTTTCAATTGTGAGCTACAGCTCACACTGGACAAAAAAAAAATTCCATTTAAAAGTTCATTATTCACGATGTATGTTCTCACACTGTGCGACCTGATGCTCTGATGTGATCTACTTGCTCACACTGTACGACTAAAAACCACGTTGGACTCAGCTCTGCAGTGAGATGGTGCTACTCGTCTATCTGGAAGCCAAACAAGTAGAAAAGGCGACGACGTATTTGGACAAAGACATGGCTGATCAAACATATGCTACTACGGTCTGTCAGTTTTACTGAAAGAACTCCATTTCACTTACACCCCCGCCATGCTTCTGCGTTTTCTTCTGAGAGGAAGAAGAAGAATCCTTGTTTGCCCACTGAGCGATTTGCCCAAGACCACCTTAAGGTGGCTGACTGAATTTTAAACATGTTTGATTTTCTCCCAACCTCACGATTACCGATCAGGAGGTGGTCGTAAGGGGCTGATCGCCCCTCGTTACCCCCTGTACACTACACGATGCACGATCAGGGTGAAAGTCGACCCGATCGAAAAATTCTTGCAAAGCTGTAGAATCAGCACCAAAAGGGCAAAAGAAATCGTACATTGTAAGCTCTGCTTTAGCTGATGTGATTTGAAAAAAGAAAAACACTCCCAGGCAACCTTACACTAGATTTTAACTACCTGTGATTTCAGAACACAATACTAACAAAGCTGTCACCATCACCTGGAATCATTCCATTCATGCGCCATCTATTAGCAAGTCAAAACAAACACGACTCATTGCTGTTTGCATTTCTGAACCCAAATGATTTAAAGCCACAGCTTACATTAATAATCTTTAAACAATCAGTCCCCTAACTGCCATCTGAAATGCAAAAACTGTTCTAAAAATAGGTAAAACATCTTAAGATAAATGCATTTGACCTTAGTTTGAGCAGGTAAATAAGATAGTCAGCCAAAGGGATGAATATTTCTGCCCTTGAAAAAAAAATTATTAGACATTACACACTTGAAAATATATTGAAATATTTTGAAAATAAGCTTTTTTTAATAAAAAATTGACTTGCTTAGATGGGAATTTTTGCAGATCATATGTGACGCTTTCCTTCCTCTGATGCTTTTTCAGTGTCGGACAAACACCAGTTCAAGAACGAGCAGGTTTTATACCGCTTCCGCTACGACGATGGCACCTACAAGGCCCGCAGTGAGATGGAAGACATCATGTCAAAGGTAAATGACATATCTGCTCAAATTTTTTCCATTTTTGTCTTATAAAAAAGGAAAAGGTAGCAGTTCAGTGTCTGAGCCCTGAATGTTTTTAAGATTACCGATTACTGTAAATAGTGAATCTTTACATAAAAAAATTAAGGGGGGTATGATAAACACTGTTAAAATAGTATTTAATCTGATTGTTTAAGTTCTCCTACTTACAAAAATGGTCTGTAATGTTCATCATATGATCACTAACTACTGTTTAAACAATTTATTTGTAAATTATGGTGGAAAATAACTATCTGGTCACCCAAACCAAGCCAGAGTCTCACCCTCACAGACCCACACGAACTGGAATCCTAACAGTTGGTGGGAATAAATCAAATTTAGGAGCAAAAGGAAGAAAATCAAAAGTCAGAAGTCAAAATGATCCTGAGCACGTGGGAGAAAAAAATCTCAGAGCTACATAGAGAAGTCTGATGGATGACCTGCAGAGAGCTGGGACCAAAGGCTACCATGAGTAACACACTACGCCCAGAGGGACTCAAATCCTGCTGTATCAGGCATGTCCCCCTGCAGAGGACGGTACATGTCCAGGTCTGCCTGGAGTTTACCAGAGAGCATATGGATGACCCTGAGGATAATTAGGAGAATATCCTGATCAGATGAAATCAACATAAAGCACAAACTCAACTGTCAAGCATAGAGGTGGAAACATCATGCTTTGGAGCTGGTTTTCTACAAACGAGACAGAATAACTGATCTCGTTTAAAGGATGAATGAAAGAGGCCGTGTTTGGTGAGACTGATGGAAGGAGGTTGTCCTTCCATCAGCAAGAGAATTGAAGATGGAACTTGGCTTGGTCTTCCAGTATGACGATGATCCTAAACTCACCGCTGGGCAAATAGGGATTACGTTAAAAGCATTTCTGGGTCCTAGAGTGGCCTAACTACTCCAGTGGAGCCAAGTCTCCAGACCTCAGCTCCATTGAGAATTTGTGGAGGGAGCTGAAAGTCTGTGTTGCCCAGCAGCAGCCCAAAAACATCACTGATGTAGAGCAGATCTGAGGGAGGAAAACTGATGGTAACTTACAGGAACATTCTACCTCTATCATTGTCAAAAAAGTGAATGTACAAAGTATTGAGCTGAATGCTGGTGAAGGTAATCAGTCATCCAGGTCATAGTCATTCCAAAAAAGTTAAAAATAATCCACCGGACTTGGTTTCCAAGTTTGAGGATGTTTCGCTTCCCATCCAGGAAGCTTTTTCAATTCAAAATATCAGAAATAGCATTGAGTTCGAGGTTTTATACAGTAGCACATCAAAGCCTTGTTTTTGTTTTGATCTGCAGTTTTGTTATTGACCAAATGCGTATTTTCCACCATAATTTACAAATAAATTCTTTGAAAATTCTACAATCTGATTTCCTGGATTTTTTTAATCTTCACATTTTGTCTCTCGTAGCTGAAGTGTACCTATGATGAAAATGACAGACCATAGTCATCTTTCCAAGTAGGAGAACTTGCATTATCAGAGGTCGACTAAAAACTTTTCTGCTCCCCTGCATTCATGGCAGCTTTTGCTGTGTGAGCAATATTACAAAAAAGCTTCTCAGATTTGGTCGCCTACATCATAGGAGTCACACCTTTAATCAAACTCTGCGTGCCAATAACATTCTTAGGCTGTTAGATGGACCTTGACTCACACCTGAGCTAAAACATTGTGACACTGGAAAATCAAATAATGCCTAGAATATTATTTTAAAGAAAATTGTGTTTTTTTTGCAAAGCATTGCAAAAGTAGGGGATTTATGTCCTTAGTCAGAAATCCCTTTTTAAAAAGAACTACTGCCTTACCAGGAGAGAATGGGGAGTGGCGGCCTAGTGGTTAGGGCTTGGAATCCTGAGGTTCTGAGTTCGAGGCCCACTCCCACAGACTGCCACTCTGGGTCTCTGAGCAAAGACTCTTAACCCCACGCTGCTCCCCAGGCGCCACACAATGGCAGCCCACTGCTCCCCTAGGGGAAGGGGTTAAATGCAGCGTTAATTTCCTTGTTCTGTTCCTTGTGTTCCTCTACACTCTGGCATTTCTCTCCTAATTTGATAACCTCAGGCTAACTCTTTTCAAACTCCAAAGATCTCATTCAGTTCATGATGATACATGTTTATCTAAGGTGTGTACTACAGTATGTGTGACTCAGCAGCGCTGTTCCTCTCTTGCAGGGCGTCAGGCTTTACTGCCGCCTTCACAGCCTCCACACTCCCATCATCAAGTAAGTACCTGCCCCCCCATTTTATGCTAATCTTCCTGCCCTCCAGGTGCACAGATGCATATTCATGGTTGGGGTTCACATTCATTGAGCTTCAGTCCTTTGCTGTAATGACAGGCTGCTAACCTCTCTCTGCTCTAACCCAACCTCCTCTAGGTCACAGTTATTCCTTTATGTTCACTCCATGCTATTAATGTCAGAGTTCTGGGACTTTTAATTGAAGAAAACCCTTAAAGGAGCAATTATTTTAGAATCAAGTAAATTTATAAAGGAGTTAATTATACAATCTTACAAGAAATGCCAAAAAAATCATCTTTTTATTAATTTTTCTAATGAGATAGTCCCCCCGTGTTCGTACACATGTATTTGTTTGCTTTCAGCTGTTTTCTCTATTAGATATGCTGCGTAAATTCTGCTCTCCTTTAGTCCAAAACACTTAACTCCTAGAGCAGAAATATGTTATAGCATTAACACTTGTCTAAATATTAAAATATGCCTTTGCCTGATAGGGTTTAATCATAATTTTCCAGATTTAAAATTTGTCCTGTGACGTGAAAAAAAAAAAAAAACATGCTTTCCACACTCGTCTGCCGCCACGCCGCCGTCCTCCCTCTTATCGTTCCCTCCATCGCTCACCCACTGATTGAAAAGCCCAGGGTTGCCATCGGAGCAAACAAAGAGCTTTTGGTCTGAGGACAAATCCTATTAACACACAAAGGCAATTCCTCAGCCTGCCAGCCAGCTATTATATAACCCCCTCTTTATTTTATCTGTGACTATATTGGTGCTGAGGCAGTAATTAATTTGAAGGTTTAACTGATTTATTGATTGATGAATATTGATAATGATTAACCTTTCTCTGCTTCACAGGGATAAAGCTGTTCCTGATTTCATTTGTGGATAAATGAACTTATAAAGATAATCACATGTTTCTTTTTTTACAGCAGTACTAAACGCAATTTTTAGGTATCTTTACTTTGCAGATATTGCATTTGTTGTTTTTTTTTGTTAGTTTTAAATGGAAGAGGAGACTTTAAAAGCCGCAAATGACAAAACTAAAGAACCTTTGCAAAATCTGTTGAACCTTCCTGTTATCTGCATTAATCTGAAAAGACCTGAATAAAGAACAGACGTGTCAAAACTTGGCAGAAAATATCTTTTGAATAGTTCCTAACATCACTGTTTCCACTGATGTAATCTTTCTATCTGTCTACTTTGTCTGAAATTAGTTTTACTTTCATTATCCCCTTCACTAACCTGCTACTGCTTATATGCAAGTTGCTGCTTATTTTGACTTTTTGCTTGCAATATTAAGAAGGGCTCAATTTTTCAAGTGCCTTGCATTCAATCTTGAGTTGAGGTTTATTTTATTATTATTATTATTAATTTATTATGTCAGCAAAATTGCTCAAAGACAAGGCAAAAATTATTGTGCCCCCTTTAGATTAAACACCATGTTTTTTCCCTGTATTTGCTCCTTTAGGGACAGAGACCACCACTTGAAAACCTTTAAATCTGTTCTGCCTGCTTCCAAACTGGTGGACTGGTTAATCTCACAGGTAAGAACGTACCTATTAAGCTTTAACAAAGCATCAAGCAGTAGCTGTTTAGGTAAATTTCTCCAATGTAAGTTCAATAAAGTTCAATTTAATTATTCTTTAGGCCGTAGCTTTCTCTATTACATCTCTAAATGTGCCTTTGAATTAAAAATAATAATTTAATTAATGGTTTTGCAAGCAGTTACAACTTTCTAATGTAGATCAGTATATGTTTTTTTTTTATAATGGTACAAAAATACTTCATCCCACATATCTAGATGAAAAATACCAATAGGCACTCTCATGTGTGAAGCAAATATGAACCTGTGTTGGTCTTTATTAAGTATAAACCTGCCACTCAGACACGGCTGTCTGTAACCCAGGTTCTGCAGCAGTGCGTTGTCTGAGAAGGTGTAAACAGGCATTGTGATTGTGGGACTGACTGTGTGCGTCATTGATTTGGTTTCCCAGGGAGACTGCTCTAACAGGGAGGATGCGGTGACCCTGGGCGTGGGGCTTTGCAACAGTGGCTACATGCACCACGGTCAGTACAGTTCACTGCACATGTAATAATAACTGCTGCTCCTTTTTTTTTTTTGCTTTAAGGGACTTGTTTAACACAGTGAATCATCAGTGTATTACAGATGTTATCTTCTCACTCACTGAGCTTCCATTTTGAACACAAGCACTTGAATTTGAAATGTTTCCTAATAATCTCATCATTTTTTATCATATTTCCTCTCAGCCTACAAGTACATATTGACCCCACCTACATACCAGGGTTGGGTTTATTGTCTTAAAGAAGAAAAACTGTTTCCTCAGGATAAGTGAAAGAAACTGGGGGAAAATTTTTTAATTTTTTTTTGTTCCATTTCTTCTGGAAGAAAGTCCTGGTAATTGATCATTATTTGGAGAACTGGGATAGTTTTATTGAAAAGTCAACTCACTCTGTTTACCAGGCTACATAAGGAGAAATCTTTGAGAATACACACAGTAACACAAATTACCCCTTTGATGCCTGTTGTTGCTAATAAGCAACAAACCACTTGTATTACACTACAAAAAATGTAAATCTGAGTCAGTTTTTTTTTTTAAATAAGAGCAATTATTCTTGAATTGATCAGGTTGACTGCAGGTGACTGCAGTCTCGTATTTTAAGTGCATAATATCTAATTGTCTTATTTTAAGGCTAAAAATGCTCATTCCATTGGCAGATCATCTTATCTTCCTACTCATATTAAGGGTAAATACACTTAATTAAAGACATTTTTACTCATTTTCAGAACATTTTTGCAGTGTAGGCAAACAGACACCATAGCATTGCATGGTGTCTGTTTGCATCACCCCATGCTAGTCACAGTATATGTTATTATGTAGTTATAACTGCTGTTACAAAATATATGTTAACTTCATTTCTATTTATTTAGTAACATTAACTATTTTAATTTGGCATCTCATTGAAGGGAAAAACACGCACAAAATCTCTTTTTATATGTATGTATGTATATATCAAGTCAGGCTTCAAGGGGTTAAGAATTTAAATAATATATTTAATGCATGTTATACAAATCTAGATTAATGAATAACTATTGTTCACAAAACTTGCAAAGTAAGAACCGTGTTGCACATACAGAACAGCAGCTATATAGCAGCAAAATACAGTTCAGTTGTCCAGCTCATTCTTGCCACGTTGCATTCGGAAAAACAGAATACAAGTTTTGTAGCCTTTCCCACACAAAGGCTATTCCTCAAATTTTTGTGATCATACCAAAGCTTGAGAAAATCTGTTCAATTGGGGCAGAGGAAGCACAGGCTGTGTGGCAAATTGTAATTTCTTCTTCTTTAATTTCTTCTCCTATTCATGCCCCCAAACCACCCTGATTTATAGATATTGAACCACACCTCAAGGTTATTACCAGATTTGGGCCTGCTTAAGGGAAAATATAAACTAAAGGAAACAAAACCTTTCAATAAATTTGACCTTCCAAGTTTCTTCCGGAAGAAACTTGTTTCTTCTGGCAGGAAAAAAAAACATGGAAAAATCCTCGGAAAAAAAACACCAACCGGAAGAAACTTCCAACCCTGCTTCATACTCTGTATTTGTTTTAAGGAAGACGGTAATTTGCATAGACTGTCTGATTTCTTTAACCTTGCTGACCACAATGTGCCGGAGCGGATTTGTTTCCAGCCCAGAATGTTGAATGTAAACAGCCTTTGCAGTTTACCCTAACAGAAGGTGTTTGGCTTCGCTACACAGCCGTCTGGGGCAGTCCTGTCAACTGTGACCGATGGTTGGGACCTATAACTGAATAGTGCCACATTCTGAGCTGGGTGTAACTGGTGGAAAGTGAAAAGCTACAACATGATGTGTCAGAATAGAAAAGAAGAAAAAGTGATGATATAACTTCCTGATTTCCTTACTCAAGCTGGGTAATTTAACTATAGAGGATCAATGTCGCTCATTTATGACTGGGCAAAAACGTTTGGTCATCACAATTCAGTCTGACGTAATAGAGAATTTAAGGCTAATCTGTCTGACTGTTTAAAAGACAGGTTATCATTATGAAGATACAATCCTTCTGGCTATGCAGGCACTGCACACATATGCAAGCCCTGGCATGCACAAATTTGTACAAAGGAGAGATCGACTCAGAAATGTTTTATTTCTTTTTTTATTTTTTTTAAGGCCTGATGTTGATACTAATTACTTTGGCACCAGTTTAACAATTTGCCCTGCAACCTTTGAAATCCAAAGAGCCATTTTGCCCTGAGGTGCAGCCATTAAAAATGGTTAAAAGCTGCAAATTTTACATGACCTTTAAGTAAAACACAACTTATTCATTTTGTGAAAGGTTTGCTTTAAAATAATTGTGGCCATTTATTTGTAATTTTAGGTTTTGACATGAGGAAATAGATACAATTATTTAAAAAAAACAAGCAAACTAAAAAAATAGCTTCTAAGCTAATGATGATAAATTTCCAAAATAAATCAAAAACGTATTATTGCTTCTGTTTTCATTCTGTTTCGAAAATTCAACTCAGACATTTTTCTAAAAAAACAGCTAAAACTTCCAACATGTACATATTCTACTGTATTATACAAGATGAAAAACCTTCAGTTGGTTCATTATAGAGGCTCCAAAGACCCACTTCTGGCTCTGGAGCTGCTGTGACTGATTCCTGATACCCACTATTATTTTCCAACATGTGCTGCTGAAATTTTTGGTTTTTCTTTCTCCATTTACATTATAGAAATGACACTGTTAAATATTACACAAGTCGCAGTTTAAGCAAAAAAGAAACATTTATTAGCAAATCAAATGAAACATTGACAGTTGATAGACAATGGAGGGAGCAGCAATGTATGTCCTTCATTCATCTCAATAGATGGCTGCTGAATGCACTAATGAATCTCTGAGGACATGCAGGTATCCCCCGATACAAACAACAATACAGAAAACCCCCCAAAAACTTAATATTGGCCAAAAATATCAGCTAACCATTGTATTAGTCTATCTGTAGTACTAATCCTAATTTAATTTGACACCCTTAAGTATGCATTGTAATTAAATACCTCCAGCAGTCGCCTAATCAGTAGGTTTAAGGACTTTCACACCAGAGCTGTTTGCTACCTTGGAGAATCCGCATTGTTTAAGTTGTTGTTGAAATCTGTGCTGACCAAACAATCAATCTCTGCTCTACTGAAAATGTGGGTCTAAATTTGCTGGCAAGTGAACCTTAGTGCAGTTTGTTTTGCTGTGGTGAACCAAATGGTTATATAGGCATATTTATGGGTCGTGAAAAACCTTTGGATTCTTGCAATGTTTTGCACCACAGTATTCTATCTTAGTCTCCTTCCTTCCTCCTGCCCTTTTTGTTCTACTGCATTTATCTTAAATGTACAGAGCTCATACACCAGGCTATCCAGCCTCAGAGGTTTATTTGAGGATATTATAGAACAAAAATCAAGAAGAGCAACAGCTAGTTTAATGCAGGGTTAGGTTAAAGAACTATATCCAACACACTCTTCTTCTCATAAGAAGAATGAAAATGTTTGTGAGAAGCACAGGTCTACAGAGACATGGCTGCTTGCCAAACCCCATCAATGAGTGCATTAATGGCAGACTCTGCTAAAAAGGCTCATGGTAACTCTGGAGAGGCTGCAGAAGTGAACATCTCTGTTTGGTTAATCTGCAGACAAGACGAACGTTATAAATCCTGTTATAATTGAAGGGTGGATGGAAGTAAAGGAAAGTCAAACATTTTTAGAATTTGTATGGACACAGTAAACATTTGATAGAAATGCACTGAACAGATTTGTTCAAAAGGAAATATTTTAACCTCAATGGAATCAAAATGTTAGGAATGAAAGGTTAGCATTGCAATGATGGTGCCTCTGTCTTACTGTTTGGATGTGGTTGAGAATCACTGATCTCTGTTTATTCACTGAATTGCTGATTGCCCAAAAAAAAATTAAGTCACCGTCCTCCATGTTGGCACTCCCCTCTGCCACGGAGACGCGCAGTAAAAACACCTACATGTGTAGCATTTGGCTGCAAAAACAAGTAGTTTGCCGGCTGTAGGAAGTCGATTTAACAGGTAATTTCACTGTCAGTGTGTGCATACATACTTGTATGTATAGATTTTTTTCTTGTTGTAACTAAGAGCAAAAAGCAAAATATGTACTTAATGTTGCCTATTTTACCAGTTTTATGTGATTTTTGCTAGTGTAGAAACTGAAGTTGTGTGAAGTTATTAAATTGAACACAGGATAAAAGTATATGGCCTCATGCAGGCACAATCTGCAAATAGGAAATAGTATAGAAGTAACAGACATGTACTTGTAATTCAGCCTTTATCTAAAATCTTAAAATTATATGTAACATGTAATTACCATAACCGTTTAATAAATACATGTACATCATCAATTTAGCACTTTTGGAACATCTGTACTATGATGCTCCATTAACACAGTAATTTTATTGTTATTGATTTGGATTATATGTTGTATTACATGATTTAGTGACATCATTGACTTCATAATGACTATGCAATGGGATGTGCCTATTTTTTTTATAGTCAAAATACTCTACTTATGCAATGAAACAGCCAGTGTGTGTCAAAGTGATGAATTTATCTTTATTTTAAAAGTCTTAAGTTCTCCTGAAAATGAGAACACCATCAATGTTCGATGCTGTAGCGCACATATTGTTTACATTGCGACCGGTCTAACTAGGGAGTACCAATATGGCGGCCGGTGGCTTCACTTCAACTCCGTTCTACCAACGGGCAATCAGCAATCCAGTGAATGAATAGAGATCAGTGGTCAGAATCAATGGGAAGATAGATAAACTTAAAATCTGAATTATTCTGTATTTAAAAAAAAATATATTAGAAGCTTTAAAAGAGACTAAACTGGAATTAAGGTTCTATTTCCAGCAGCTCAACAGTCCTAATCATACAACCAAATCTAAAATGCTTTAGTTAAAAGCATTATAATGGGCCAATGGTCTAGTCAAAGTTTAGAACCTAATCCAATTGAAATCCAAACATCTACACACATATGCCAATGCAAGCCCAAACATCATATTTAAGAATGCTTTAGAATAAGGTCATAGGTGTTTAGACATTGCCTTATTGTTCAGTTTTTCTCACTTTGTCTCAGACAGTTGTCCTCCCGTCACCATCTGTTTGAAGGTGGCCACCTGCTCTGACTTCTCTCTGTCCTACTTTACCGCTGTGACCCATCTCCACCCATCCTGTCGGTCCTTCTTACCTCCAATCAATTCTTTTTGTCAAGATCTTAGTCAGCACATCTGCGGCTTTTTTTTTTTTTTTTGCTGTTCTTTTGAAGCTCTCTTCTTTTTCCCGTCCCCATTTCTACTTTTCTGTCCTTGTCTGCTTTTTCTTTGACATTTTGTAACACGCTGGTCTTGCTTTTTATGAGATGAAAGCCTGGAGCACAAAACATAACATTAAAAGTTCAAACCCAAATACAGGAATTTGGCTGTATTTGCTGTATTTTGTGACGAGTTTAACTAGATCTTGAATTTAAATGTCATTTAAGAAATGTAAATGATCACTTTTAACCCCATGGAAGGTGTTCAGCACAAATGATTCAAAACAGAAATGTAAATAAATTCAAAACACTTCTCTCTGTCTTGACTTATGTAAACATATTAATATTTGCTTGTATAACAAAAGTCATTTTATAAAAAAACTTTTTGTAGATTCATAATTTAAGGCTCAGCTTATTACTGCTTAAACGTTTTAAAGATGATTTAGAATTTAAAGATTTCAGAGTGTGTACAAAAATGCTAATGTGTTACAGTTCACTAACCAGCACTCCATTCAGTACAATAGGTTGTAAGAAGGATTTAAAGCATCCAGCCTTTATGAGTCAGAGGAAATAACTCTCAGAAAATGGTTTGTGTTGGAGTGAGGCCAGGACATGATGGGGTGTGGTGTGAGGTGTGCGGTGAAGCTGTTAAAGTCGTTGTTCATCTTTGGGTGGCAGATGTTCTCTAAATCCCTGAGCAGCTGGGTACCTAAGTGTTCAGATTTGCTTGCACAAGATCCTTTTTAGTCACCTTGAAGCTTCGAACACATAACTCACAAGATTAAGAAACTTATACGCTCAATCAGCCACCTGTCTTAACTTTCATATTTGAACCTGATGGTGTATTTTACTCCTGTTTGTATCTAATAAAGAAATACAAATTCTTTAAAACGTGGTAATGTTTTTACGCTCGCTTTACATTTCTCGTAACACTTGGGGCTAAAATGAAAAAAGACATTTTAAAAACAATAATGTAATAAACAGGTTAGTGATTATCAAGGTTTTTACCCGCGCTCTGCCCCTCCCCACATGTATCTGTGCATCAGAGTGTTTATCCCACCATGAGAGTTTCATTATGGCGTTAGCTGAATTATTTACCCCCTAATATATATAACTGATGGCTGTCAGTATCTGCTGAAGCACAGAACCAGCAGATCCACATGCCTCAAACCACTGAGCGTAATAAAACATAAACACCTTTGGAGGTAAGTCCAGACTTTTCGATAAATACTCTTTATGTTGTTTAGGTAGCCATAGAGACAATAAACGTACCTAAATAAATTTGTACATGCTGGATCTTAGGTATAGTGAAAAAGATTACATTTTATCAGAATATGAAGCACGTATTGACCTGTGGACCTCTGATTGTGTTCATATATATACAGATGGTTAAAAAGATCAGGATAACCACATGTCAGGGTGTATTACCCAATAGGGGACTTCCATTGCCTTTTAGGACCTCAGATTTTCTGTTTATTCTGTAGAAATATTGGCTCTTTTATGTTTTTAGAATAGGAAGGTGAAACAAAATCAAAGTCCTGTTTAACCTAAGAGTGTTTCAGTTCCACAAGACAAGATATTTTATTTAAATTGTTGCTTTTACACACAACACTTTTCAGAAAAGAATGTTAACATTCACTTTTTAGGTTCCAGGTCTAAAAGCAGAATGAAGCACCTAAGAAAATTAGCAAAACAACCATTAAGGAAAGATTATATTGATTTTGATATGACACTTGGGAAAAGTGAAAAGGTAAATCGCTGACATGGTTTAAAATCGCACAGGGGCAGCTTATGTCAGCAGAACCATGGGGATTTACTTTTATTTAGTTTAATTGACAATGTACAGAAAGCAGCTCCAACGATGCAAAAGAAAAGAAAACAGTGGCTGATCGTATTATTTTTGGGACACAGTCATTAACGTGATGCATTAAATAAATAAAAAAGTAAGAAAAACAAAGAATTGCCTACCCAGAAGTATATATATATATATATATATATATATATATATATATATATATATATATATATATATATATATATATATATATATATATATATGGTTTGGCCTTCTTCACACTTCTGTAGATATTTACCAAAACTGAATGATTTACACCTCTTGTTCTGACATAAACATAGTTTCCAGTGAAAGAAACGGGAAAATTTAAAAGCTTTTTAGAGGTGGAAACTATTAGAAGCTGCCCTTTCATTTCCCGCTTTCACCCAGGTCTTTCTTTAAAAAGTTAACACATAAACTGTAAAGACATTTAGTGAGAGAAAGTGCTCTAAGTGTTTAATATTAGTAACTAAAGATCATCAAATATAATCCAGCCGGCTTAAACTGTGCAGCAGCCCTTCAGCTTAGTGTGGGCAGCAGCTTTAGCATTTTTAGCAGCTTGTATCTACCAGGTTGCAGTTTCTCACAGTGTTTATAAATCCTTTCTGTTTTGTAGTTTTATGATGATTTTCTCTCTTTCTAATTGGAAATAAACACAGTTTGAGATCTTTGACTCCTGGTTTGGTCACAGCTGGGCAAAAAAGCATTCATTGGTATTTCACTATCAGTATGAATGTAGTGTTTAAAAATTATTTAAACAGTTCAGTAGCTATTCAGTACGTATGTTGAAGCATGTTTTAAGCCTTAATAAAACATATAATTTAAAACCCATGTAATATAATAAATCTTTGATTTAAATTAAGTTTTTTTAATGAATCGTTTTGATCATATAACAAAGTTAACATCTCATTTGGATGGTTTTGACAGCATGTTTATATGTTTATATTGTGTTGGGCCTGGATAAGCATTAGCCATGTGCTCACCTGTTAAAGCATCACTCTGCCCAGAGGCAGGATTTCCCAGTAAAAACTCACTTATTTATGCTCTCTGGAGAGCTCCACAGGCTGCTCCCCAGATGTGTTTTGGCTCCAGATGTTCCAAATTGGCATCATTGTTTTATGACCTAATCGACCTCCACTTTCTGTTTTGAAGACTGCCTTTGTAACTACAACATGCTCCTCTTTTTATCCCTTTAGTTTTAGAGAAGAGCGAATTTAAAGACGACTCCCAGTTCTTCCGCTTCTATGCCGACGAAGAAACTGAGGGAACTGGCACCAAGAGCAAGCAGCTCCAGCGAAACGACTTCAAACTCATAGAAAACGTCCTAGCCAAGTCCCTTGTGGTGAGCTGGAAATCATGTTTCTATTTTACACGCGGTCATTGAAATACTCACACTTGGCTGATAGTAGTAGCTTCACAGACTGATTTCTGCATCATCTGGAGGATATTTATGTAAAGTATGTACTCTAATGTTTATTCTCAGCAACAATAAACCTGCTGCAGATTTACTACATCAGACAGCTTTATCTTCGCCCGCAGAGACACACATAAAACATTGTTGAAACAATGAGGTTTTAAGGATTGAGGTTAAAAACAACCCGAGTCTCTTTCTCCAAATAAATCCACATTTTGCTTCACTCTTTAGACCAAAATGTGTGTCTGTGCGTGCTCAGTCATCACTGTACTCTGATTTAATTCACTTCCATTGTGTTTGAATTTGCTCAAATCAGCGTGTTTCTTTTACAGGGCTGCAAATAAAAAAATATTTTGCTAATCAATTAATCTGTCAATTATTTTCCCAGTTAATCATTTGATAAATAGATAGAAATTGAGCTTAAGATACTTTTTTTTAGAGGATGTGAACTAAATAAAGCTAAAGCTTTGCCAGTTGAGCATAGTTACAGACCAAGAAGGTTTTAATCCTAAATGCTAAGCAAATGGCATATTTTATCTGTACACTTCAGTTATTGATTATTAATAAATTAGTTTATTTTTTATTAAAGTTATCACCTGGATTAGTCTGAATGAAACATAATAGGGTTGGTGGATACAGATTCAAATTCCCAGTTAAACAACACAGATGTTAACATTCTCATCAGCTCTTTATTTTATGTACAGATAACATGGGACCGTATATACCTTCAATGTGTTAAAACTGAAAACAGGCGATTTATTGATTTGTGTAGCGATTGGAGCATTTCTATAAGTGAGAAAAAGCATCTTTTACGATCTTGCTATTGATGCATCAAATCTTTTTTTTTTTACCCTACAGCCAAAAAACTTTGATTTATTTGGATTTTAAGATACAGACAAACACAAGATTAAATTCAATTCAGTTTATTTATAAAGCGCCAGTTCACAACACATGTCATCTCAAGGCACTTTACAATTCAATACAGTCAAATTGATTCAAGGTTTTCTATCTAAGCAAAACCAGTTGATTGCATCGACTTTTTGACACGAAGGCAATCCCTCAAGATTAATTGTAGGTGTTGATTAAAGGGAAAAGAGGCCTTGCTAAATATATGTTTTACTGTAAAAGAAATATGTAACATATATACAAGGATCTATGGTTATATGGGATGAAGACAAATGCATACTGATCTCATATTACAGTAGGATAAATTATTATAAATTATTGACTGCTATTATAAAGCATGATGCTGCAAAACGTGTGAATCTGTAAATTAAATTGTTTGTAATCGCGCTCCAACATCTACAGACTCCCTAGTAAACAACTCGCCATATCTAACACTGTCAGCACTTTTATAAGATACTCTGAAAACATTTGTTTTCACCCTCCATAACTAAATAAAACTCTGCCTTTTCCTTTAAAAGTGATGTATTAAAAACAAATCAGGGTCTAGCTCTGTGTTTTTACTGTCAGTTAGAGTAAAAAGCATCATAAAGATGAAGCAACACGGGTTATTCAGGGAAAAAACAAAAATGGTATTTTAGACGTACTTCAACAGATTTGCTGCTGCTGTTGCATCAGGCAGATGGTTCTATTAAGTATTTTCCAAGCACGGTTAATACAAATTTTTTTTTACAGATTGATTTTGTCCCTATATCTACTACGTTGAGTTGATTTGCTGCATCAAGTCTAGAAAGAAAAAGCATTAAAATGAAAATTGATTTAAATTTGTGGTTGTATTAAGAAGAATGAGCAAACATTCTATGGGTATAAATCTTTCTTGCTAATGGTATATATGTACATGAATAGGTAAATATCTATTTTAACATCTGTTTATAGCGGGAAACGGCTTTCTGGACTAAAACTATATATTATTCAACTTAGAATCATTATTGTCTAAGTTACAAACGATGTTAGGATTGTGTTAATCTACATAGATTATGCACATTGCGCCTCGTTGATCTATTACATATGAGGTAGGGTCGGTATTAATTTGCCAAATGAAATTAGGTCACTGGAGTAGCTCCAGCAGACGGCTTTTATTCACCAAGGAGCGACAGAAAGGGGATTGTTTATCTAACGGAAGCCAACAGGAATCGCCAGCATCCCTTTTTCTCATCCGAGTGGGAAGTAGGCGTGCTCTCTGGCCTTCCACAAGAAGTGGTCCTAATCCCTCACTACTCTCGCCCCATTTTTGAAGCGGAGTGCAGGAACTCCTTATTTACCGCAGTCATCTCCTCTGATATAACAAAAGAGATCAGCATCTTATCAGAGCTGTGCAGCAGGAAGATGGCCCCAGCAGCAGCTTAACTAATGGTGGCTACTAATGGCTTTTAACGCTGCTGAGCCTCTATTCACAAGGGGAACGGTGATATGACAAAGGGACACGAAGCACCTGATGCAAGATTAATTCTATAAACCTCATGTAGATGTATACATGTGACATTTTTTGGGGAAAAAAGGGAAACTTTAGAAGTGTGTAAAAATGATCTGCCAAGCGATCAACTCGTGTGAATGTGTTATTTTTATTTTTTATTCCCTGTGCTAGATTCACCCCGAGGAGGAAGACTACGGCTTCGAAATCGAGGAGAAAAATAAAGCAATTGTGGTGAAATCTGTCACCAGGGGCTCACATGCGGAGGTAACGGTCAGCACACAGACAAACACACAGAAGGCGCATGTTCTTCCCGCCACCGGGCATTAGTTCCAGTCAGTAATGGCTGTCCACTGTTTGGACGGCTGCTGTCGGTCTCCCTCTGTTCTTTTCTACTGGCCAGGCTTTTTTCACACTGACTGAATAATTAGACAGACATTATTTTAATCATTTAGAGAAATTTGAATAAAAAAAACAGACATTTTTATTTGAATTACCACTTTTTTTAAGATTAATTTGAATATGAAGCAAACTTTGTATGCTTCTTATTATGAAGCCTTTTTCCTGCTATTGTTGCTGTATCCATTTAATGTCAATCCTTTGGAAAAGAATAAGCTTTAAGTCAAATTACTAATACAAAAATTGGTAGCTGTTAAGTGGAAGGGAAAATATGCCCCATCCATCATCCATCCATTTTCGGACACGCTTAATACCAAGTGGGGTCGCGAGGGGTGCTGGTGCCTAACTCCAGCTGTCTACGGGCGAGAGGCGGGGTATACCCTGAACATGTCGCCAGTCCATTGCAGGGCAAGGGAAAAGACGCATAGTTTTCAAAATCTTTTAAAAGTGGCATCTAAACGTTGTGTTGAGCATTTTTTTTTCCACTTCCCAAAAATCTCATCAATCGCCTAAAGTCTTTGGCAAAGAAAAAAGCAGCAAAGACATGTGGTGGTGGTGGTGGTGATGATGATGATGATGATGATGATGAGGATGATGATGATGATGATGGGGAGATTCGCATCAAGGGACCATTACTGATGTCATTGCTTTGTTTTAAACAGAAGCAAAAAAGAAAGTCTGATTTGCAGCTTGGCAACAGTCATATTAAAACATATGGAGGGAATTTTGTTCCATTATTATTGCAGGCAAAGAACAGGTTTTGTTAAAGGAAATTTGAAAAACTATTTTTTTTTTTTTATTGTAAAGTGAAATTGAAAAAAAAAATGCAATCCAGAAATAAAACTTTTAATGGAGAAAATGTTTTTGAAGTAACTGCTGTTTTTTAATATTATTTTTTTTGTCTCGCATTTTTCTTCTTTAGATTGTTTCATGAATGGCATTCTTTAGAAATTGCGTTTTACAGATCAAATTCTCTTCACTTCTTTGGGGGGGCTTTCCTTTGCAGTGAGAAGCAAAATGCATTTCCATTGGTCTGCATGGACGTTAGCAACATTTTTATTGGGCTGAAATGTGATTTGTAAAACTCAGTTTAGGAAAAGAAGAAAAATGAAGAAAAAAAAACTGAGTACGAAATATGTAAAAAAAAATTAATAATACAAAAAGTATCTATAAAATGTATGTAAACTTGTATAAAAGATTTGAATATTAAACATCAATTAGAGAATCAAGAAAACAGCTAATTATCATTTAAAACCCCTTTTTTATTAAAAACTTTTTCAGAGTTTCAGGATTGCATTTTCCCCCCAAATATCAGTTAAACAAATATTTTCTTTGCTTGCAACAATAATGGAACAAAACTCAATCCATAAAGGGACGCAGCAATGTTATGACCAAAGCTGGAGTTTTGGGACTTGCAGCAAAATGTAAGAAAAGCATTTCAGTTTACGTCCAACCTAAAACATTTTATTGTACACTGTCAGATTAAAGATAGTCAGACACAAATATATGCTATTGGTTTTTTAAAGTCGTAATTAATAAAGAAATGTATAAATATGTGTTGTCCTGCTCATGTCTCCGCTAAGATTCACTAAGGTTTGTGCTTATAATGTTACAAATGTGAAAAGGTTCACGAGATTTGATTAACAACCCTGCAAAGTTCTGTAGAATAAAGCTCAGTCTCCAACATTTTAAGTTTGATTATCCTGCACAAAAGCCCCCATCCTATTTTATCTCATATAATTGGGTTTCATGGTTTTCTCATAAAGTTGGTTTCTTTACTTCTTGCAGTTTTTTTTTATTGCACAGAAACTTCCTTCATAGCGTTATTAGCTGTCCTCTCCCTTATTCACCACAATTAAGCCCCCCCTTCAGGGCTCCTCGATGCTTCCTTTTTCTTAATTTCTTCCTGCCGTTAGTCTGCGTTCTGCTGCTCCATCCCCCTGCAGTAACAGGATTGCTGGTGGTGACTCGGCCTGTGTGCCAGCACACTGAATGAAGCTCAGCTGATTCCCATGGGGCTCTGAAAGGGGCTGAGAGACTCACACACACACTGAGCCCTTTCACTATATGATGCTGTTATAGAAATTCACGTGTATACCAGCAGCCAATGCTGCACAGTCGCATACATCCTTTCCTCATTCAGATGGCCGCGGCTCCTCCCTGTCTTCTCTACATCCATGGCGGGCTGTAATCCAGAGTCGGGGTGTCTGGCTCTGGCCGAGGCCACCCCAACCGGATCCGTGTCCAGGACACTGAGCTCACACAGCCACCAGACAGAGGCAGCATTATTCTGACAACGTGACTGAAGATGTGAAGGATGACTGCATTGAATGACATACAGCAGGCGCAGCGCTACATGAATAGCTTATAGAGGCGCATTTATGACAGATTTGGAGGCTTTACTTGTTAGTTTCTCTTGCTGCATCGTCACATACTTTTAATCTGGCCTGCAGAAGGTCATTGACACAGACAAGATGTTACATGACGGCTGGTAAACGGGGAGCTGGGAGGTCAGTGTGGAAATGTGTGATTTCCTCCAGCATTAAGCAGATGTAAGCTGCGTGTAGCACAGTTTTACACCATCCACTCCATTTGCTCGTTTAGTTCTGCTCTTTCTGGAAACTACATGCTAAAGCTTGAGCAGACTGAAGATTTCCTCAAGTGCACATATTGATTTTTGTCCCGTATGTTTTGTCTGCTTCCGCCTTCCTCCTTGGAGGCACAATTTGCTGAATGCTGATTTTATTTAGTTCAATCTGTACAAGTTGGGCAAAAAACTTGAATCAAGCAAAGGAAAAACAGCTGAGGTCTAAGGCAGACAATTTGTGAACCAAACGTGGAAGACACTGAGGCAATCAGCAACCTATAAATAAGAGCCTTCTGTCTGCTGTCTGTCCGTCTGTCCTCCCAGATGGCCGGCCTGCAGGTGGGCAGGAAGATCTACACCATCAACGAAGACCTGCTGTTCCTCAGGCCCTTCTCAGAGGTGGAGGCCATGATCAACCAGGCCTTCTGCATACGACGCTCTCTGCGGCTGCTGGTCGCCACCAAAGCCAAGGAGTGAGCATGATTATTCACTCAGGCATACATCCACAGCAGACAGAAAGCACAAGCTGTTCTGACTCGACTTTTTTTCCCCCTCCTGTAGGATCGTAAAGATCCCCGACAACCCAGAGAGCCTCTCCTTCAGACTCTCTGGATATGAGCCGCCACACGTCCACGCGGTGAGAAAAGGTGAGAGTCGAGCATCAGGAGCCAAATCACTTCCAGATTTCACCTTTTTTTTTTTTTTTTACATATATAGACTTGGAAGTAAGTTACCCTCCGTGATATTATGGTATGGTATTATTATGGTATGAACTTTAAAGGGAATAAAAACAAAGAAATGGGTAATTGTTTTTGATAAAAAGTCCTCCATTTTCACTGAACTCTGTAAAACAAAACAGAAACTGAGTTATTGTTTTATTTTTTTATTATTTTACCATAAATCGACGAAGTGTGAATTGCATTTGTTGCACATTTGTTGAGTTAGTGCTTTGACCCCTTTCACTGCAGCAGCTTTCCACATCAGGAGACTTTTTGCCCATTTTCTTTGCCAGATAACTTAACCTCAGTCAGTTCAGATGGAGCAAGGCTGTAAAAAATCTATTTTAAAGTCTGGCTGTATACTCCCGATTGGATTTCTTCTGAATTTTGTCCATAACCTTGTAACAAACAAATTGGCTAAAGCTTTTAACTGCTAACAGGTTTTAATAGAGGATTCTCCGGCATTTAAACAACCAGATCGCTCCATCATGATGGATATTTCTCCTACATGGCATATATATGTACATATATATATATTTTAAGATGTTTTGATGCAGCTTTTTTAAATCTAAGCCTTTGTTTAAAAAATAAAGATCATTTTTCTCTTGTGAGAAACGTGCCATGAAATGTGCTAAATGGGTTTTATGATGGTTAAAGGACAAATGAATCATAGTGAGCCTTAATGATCGGTGAGGTAACTGTAGCCTCCAACCACCTGTTACTCTCTGCTTTTAGCTTTAAGGCCGCCTGCCGAGCAGATGACTTTCTTAGTGTTTAAACTCTTACGGAGCGGCACCTTCAGCACTTCATCTTTCATATAATCCACCCTGCATGCAAGTGTGCTTAGTGATCAGAGCTCAAGGTATAAGAGGAGACAACAAAACGGCTTATCTTTCTAATCTGAACCCTCCTACTTTCTGCTTACAGCTTCCTAATTAGATGTTTGCCCTTCTTAGACTGACTGAAAGTGGAATAAAGATGGATTTACTGTACTGTTCACCATGATAGATGATGGCTTGATCTGTGTGAAGCAAACAGAGGCAAGAGGATAAACATGTTGAAATGAGAATCACTGATTTGTGCAGCTAAGGAATGGGATATCTAAGTTGGCTTTTCTTTATTATGACTTCTCTGCTTTCACTGCTCCCCCTCCCCATTCTCTCTCCTGCTGTGCTTTATTACTTCTAGCTCTCTGATGGTGATTGAGCTGCAGTTTTTCCAATAAATCTATAAGGTAGATTAACTGTTTTTTAATTTGCTTGTGGCGTAGCCCCAGAGTCAGGTAATTGCTGACGCCTGCAGTGGAAGTGATGTGATCGCTTGTATTTTTAGATCAGAGAGGAACGATGATGAAGGTGTTGATTGGACTTTCAGGCTGTGAAGCCATTTTTACCATCAGAGGTAATGCCACTGAACTACGATGGAGTATTAGGGCCAGGCTGGAGATTTTTTTATTTATATTTTTTATTTTGAGGATAAAGTCGTAACATTATGAGAATAAAGATTCAAATTATGAAATTAAAGTCATCATACCACAACCCGTTTCAGAAAGAAAGCTTGGAGCTTTATGACGGTCGACCAGCTCCAGCAAACAACAACCTGAGGCCATTTTGACATACAAGCGAATTAAATGCTGATGTGCTAAAAGATTTCCTTATTTGTCAAACCGATACCAAAGTATAACTTTCACATGATGCTCCACATTCCTCATTTTAGTGAAGAAAGTGTTTCTTGTAAGAGTTGTAATAAAATACAACTTGTTTCTCGTAATATTTGGACTTAATTCTCATAATATTACGACTTTATTCTCGTAATGTTACGATTTTATTCGCATAACATTTAGACTTTTATCTCATAATATTGTGAATTTATTCTCGTAATATTAGGACTTAATTCTCAAAATGTTACGACTTTATTCCCGTAATGTTACGACTTTTGTCTCGTACTGTTACGACTTTATTCTGGTACTTTTATGACTATTCTCATTGCAACTTTATTCAAAGTCGTAATATTATGAGAGTAAAGTCATAAAATTACGACTTTATTCTTGAAGTAAATAAAAAATCTCTAGCCTGACCCTAACACTCGTCGTACTGATCAGTCTAATACATTTTGTTCCAATAACTTGGATTGATTACAAGGAGTATTGAAAAACTAAGGAATAGTATTTGCTATTTAAACCCTTTAAATGTGTTAAATTGCATCACTTTACAACTAAAAGCTAATAATTGATAGGGATTTAACTGTCAAATTACTTTTTTTAATTGCAGAGTCTTTAAACAACACGTAAAGTGGTGCAATACAGGGAAAGGGAATGGAATTGAATTGAATGAGACAGATTTTTGTGAAGTTCAGAGGAAAGGTTTTATCTTGGTAGAAAGACCTGGAACGTGCTTTTATTCACCCTTGTTTGCTTTTTAGCAATAAATAAAATCTGATGCAATTGTGTGCCTTCAGACGTCACCTGATGAAATTTGTTGATCTGGTGTAATTCAGTCCAAGCAAACCAACGGTTATGCAAACTATGAACATCTATCAGCTCTGATCCGTCTCACAGTTCAGGCCAGAGAATCTTTTAATAGTGTCTTAAATATTTTGACCTTTGTGGAAGAAAACTCATAGTCAAACTCGGTAGTGGTCACGTCATGCTGTGGGAGGCCCTTACCTTTATTTTTCCTTTTTTTTTTCACTTCGCAAATATGAAAGACTTATTTTTGCCAATCTGTTAATCTTTTGATTGTTCTTTATCTATTAAAAACCAAATAGATAAAGTTCAAGGTAAAGCTGAAAGACTTGAGAAGCTTTGAATTCAGCATGTTGATGGATAAAAATGTCTATATACTTTTTACAGTAGCATAATTCATGCTGGGAATGTTGGGAAGTTGGATTATTACTGCATGTTGCTCTTTTTATAGCTACTAAATGAGTTGATCTTTATTTAAATAATGGATAAATTAGGATGAATTCCTCCAGCCCTACTTTACACATTAAAACACCATAAACACACACAGAAGTTTGAGGCACTTAACTTGTCAAAATGTGAAAAATTTTATTCTTTAAACCCTCCGACAGGCTGGGAGGCGGCTGCTGCAGGTCTCCAACCAGGCCAAGTTGTCCTGAAAGTCAATGGGAACAACGTGAACCGCAGTGATCACCAGGAGGTCCTGGAGCACTTCAGCGCTCAGCACTCTCACCAGGAGCCCCCTCAAGCAGTGAGCGCACACACCCAGATAATAACTCTGTTCTTTTAACAACCTAAGTTATTTTGGACAACCTGTGCCTTTTGGTTTGAGAAGATCTTTAAAATGTGTCACTTTTTCTATTTTTTTAGACCTTTGGATTCTTAAAGGCTTTTTCTCTCTAATCCTAATAATATAAATACCTATGAAGGCATTTACGTATACATGTTTGTTTTTATTGTTCTTATTGACACAGACATTTCTGGAATCTTCCTTAAAACAGTGTTAGCCTAACAGCAGGATCTGATTTGTTAGTGTGTTAAATTGTTATTAGATATAAAGTAAAAGCGGGGTCAGGTCAAGCTGAAGATACAATCATGCCTGGATTGGAAAGACGGTGTAACAACCTGTCTTTTCCATAGACTTTCTATCCGTTCCTCTTCCGAGAATATTTGATTTAGATTCCTGTGTTCTGACTCATAATCAAACTCTTTTCTTATACTCCATACTGCATGGCCGCTGTCACACATGCAAGCTCTTCCTTGCTTGTTTTTGCATTCCTGTTGCAGCACTCGGTGTCTCCAGGCACTATTTCACAAGGCTGCAGACTGAGCTGATTGTCCTTCATATGGTGTTAAACTGTGTTTCTTTTAGTCTTTTTTTTTTCCATCTCTGTCTCTTCTAAAAAAAAAATTAAAAAAATCTCAGCCTGGTGAACAGGCTGATTATGGTCTAATTCTAATATTTGCAAATATTTCTGCTTTCTTATCAAAATAGGATACGAATAATAAGTTTTGGCCATTAGTGGGAAATAATCCTCCCTACTTACCTTATATTGATTAGGGTTTTTTTAAGGTCTTAATTCAGACCAATCCTTTTCTCCAAGACAGTTTTAATCTTAAAATCTGTTCTCCTTCCTAGTGTCTCTGGGTTTATCGTGCTTTTGAGGATGTGGAGGAGCTACAAAGACCAAGCAGTGCAGGTGAGAAGGAGGAGAGCCCCTTTAGGCCTTACCCCGTGGAGAACGGCTCAAGCCACGAGGAGGGTAGCACCGCTAATGGAACAGGTGAAACATGATGCTGCAGACCGTGCAGTTATTAGTTTTACAACATGTAGCTGTTCTACTCTGAGCAGAATGCATTGTGCTTTGAAAGGATTGTACTATTTTAATAAATGGCAGATTTGAATCTTAGTACCGTATTTTCACGACCATAAGGCAGTCTCAGTTATGTGTGCTATTACTGTATTTAACACACACATAAGGCGCACCGGATTATAGGGCGCGGATTTTATATACAGGAACATATCCTCTACTGCGTTTAAATACCTCTACTGCGTATTTAAAAATAGATTGGGAGCAAAACTGAGTATGATTGTGCTTTATTCATGTATTTATTACAAAGTATTAATCAAACCCATCAAAGTCATCATCCTCTGTTTCTGAATTAAACAGCTGCGCTAAATCAGACATGCCAATTTCCCCTTCTTCGCTGTCAGAGTCACTTTCCGTGCAGCGCGGCTCCTCGGAAATGATGCCGGCTTTTGCGAAAGCTCGGACAACAGTGCCAGCAGACACGTTAGTCCCAGCATCTACAATCCATCCGCAAACGGTGGCATAACTTGCCCGGCGCTGCCTTCCACTTTTCCTGAAACTGTGGTCTTCATCGTTCATCCATCGCTCCCATGCCGCTCGCAGCCTTACTTTGAACAGCGGGTTCACACCGATGTCGAGCGGTTGAAGTTCCTTTGTCAGACCTCCCAGAATAACGGCGAGCACAGTGTTCATTTGTTTCACCATGTTTTTCACATCAGCTGTGAGATGGCCACGCATGGAGTCACAGATTAACAGCGATGGTGATGCGTGGAAAAACCACCTGGTCTCCTTACATTCACCTCCCTCAGCCACTCTTTCATCGTCTCCTCATCCATCCAGCCCTTTTCATTTGCTTTAATAACGACTCCAGCTGGAAAAGTCTCTTTAGGCAAAGTCTTTTTCTTAAAAATCCCCATAGGCGGCAGTTTCTGTCCATTTGCGTGGCAGCCAATCCACGCCCACACTTTCCCCTTTAACATTCTCATGGCGGTCTCAACAACGTACGCCGTAACAACACACATAGGGCGCACCGCACTATAGGGCGTGCCGCACATTTTGAGGGGAAAAAAGACGTTTATATGCGCCTTATAGTCGCAAAAATACGGTAGCTGTCAGTAGAAAGCAGTTTCAATGAGCATATTTACATAATGTCGTGTTTTTCTAGAATCAGGGGATCTGTACTGTACCAATTACTGTAGTTTTTATATCTCGAATATTGAAATATATAATTTTTCCCTTAAATTCTTTGATACACCTCTAAAAGAAAAGGAGACTAACCAGTGTAAAACTGATCTACAGATCACAGGCTCTGTAGACTTTCCCTCTCCAATGATCTGCCTCTGGTCAGCCTGACTGTTGATAATGTCCACCTGGAACATGGAGTGGTTTACGAGTACGTGAGCACTGCAGGGGTAAAGAGCCACGTCTTGGAGAAGATGGTGGAGCCCAAAGGCTGCTTCGCCCTGACTGCTAAGGTAGCTATGAGCCGCATAATTCGGTTTTATAACATTTGTTGGTGAGTTGAGACTCTGAGCCGAATGTCACCTTCAGTCAGTTTCACCTTCTGAGCAACACGCCCAAAACTTTCTCATTTTGTATACTCAGAGGGTATACAAAAGGACATTTCGATACATACAGCTTTCAGACGGTAAATGAGCAGCAGCTTAGCAGTGAAATCTGTTCTTCCCACTGATGGGTTTATGCTTTATATGGATGATAAATTTTCATTGCAAAGCCTACATAACAAGTACATTTGCAAAAATATTCAACCCTTATTACTTTTTGTCTCTTTATAACATGCTGGTGAAGATTCTCAGTCATCCAGGTCATAGTCATTCCAAAGAAGTTAAAGACAATCCACTGGACTGTGTTTCCAAGTTGTTTCGCTTCCCATCCAGGAAGCTTTTTCAGTTCAAATGTCAGAAATAGTGTTGAGTTGCTTTATACAACATGCAAATTGAAAAGGACAAACTGCTTCTTTAGTTAGCCTGCAATGCCCCATATCCAGTACTCAGGTTCTTCCTTCTTTCTGGGACGGCACCCTTCTTAAATAAATCTTAAAAAACACCCCGTACGATCCCGTGTGACATTTGATTACTGAATGTGTTAAATTTCTACTATATATCAACAGTAATGTCAATAGTATTGCCCTTTGAGCATTTGGCGGTCTGTGTGCTCATGAGTAGCCTGAGCAAACTATACTTTACAACTATACTTCTGCCCATACCTGTCTGTGTCTTTATAACCACAGTTCATATCATAAAAAAAATTTATGTGTAAAATTTAGTGAGGGGGAAAAAGGTTTTCTTTTAAAAAATGGAAAAGTTTAATGTGTGATTAGTCTGTTCATGAGTTACAGCTAAATACACATTAATCTTTTATTTTATAAAACACAAATACCTATCCTTAACAGAATGTGAAACATCAAAGAGGAACAAATACTTTTGCATGAAACTGTATGTCTGTTGTGTTTGCCGTTGTTTCGCCATCAAAGATATAAATGATGCAAAATAGCTGATTATTGTGTTTAGAGAAAAAGCAGGGTTTTTTTTTCTCCAGTAAAATCCATTCAGGTTTAGGGATTTTCCTTTTCCAAACAGACAACATTTCCTAGGCTATCCCTTCTTATACTGCGGTTCTTTTTTTCTGCAGATCCTGGAGGCGTTTTCTGGTGACGACAGCCTCTTTGTACGTAACTGCAGCCAGCTCATCTCTCAGAGCGATCGAGTTGTTACCATGCCTCAGTACGAGTTCAGACAGATCTGTGACACAAAGCTGGAGAGCATCAGGCGGCGCATCAGCAGCTATCAGCAGGTACTTACTGTTGGTTTGGTTGTGCAAACATGTATAAATACTAAAAGGTCTCTGAACTTTTCAGAAATATGAAATAAATACACATTTGCCAACCTTTAAATGCAGTCCAGGCTGTAGTGTGTTTGCATATCATCATCATCCATCACCCTGTTAGGACCAGAGCCGACAAAAGGCTCATAGAGTAGCTCAGGACTAAATAGATGAATATCTTTCTCCCTTCTCATGTTGTTTCTTCCCAGTTCGCCAAGGAGCTGAGAAATAAGGTGTGGCCCTCCTTCAGACAGGCTGGCGTTCGCCCTCACCCACTGGGCTGCATGGACTTTGTTCCTACCAACTGCCACGTGAACCTGATGCAGGTTTCCTACCCAAAAAGCACCACCTCCGCCGGCAGGACTTTCAGTATCCGCTTTGGTCGCAAGAACTCCCTTTATGGCATGGACCCAGACCAAGGTAGAGCCAATACACAGACACATCTTAATTTAAACAAAACAAACAGATTTTAACTGCAGTGCAACCACTCATCCTTATTATGTCAGTGATATCTACGATGATACAGTCCAACACTCAGCTCAGTGGTCTTTTTTTTTACCACTTACCGCTTGTGTCTATTTAATTCCTTGGTAATCTTGAAGCGAACATCAACTGCAGCTTCTCTCTGTAAAAATAAGACCCTCCCTCCCAAGTTTTCTTACAGCAAATTAGATGAGTGGTTCTCCATTAGTACTCCATTAGCCTCCTACTATTCTCAGATTGAAATGAAAGAATGATGTCAGTGAAGGAAGTGTCAGGTTCTCTCTGTGCTGGAGAAGCTTAAATTGAGAGGAAAGAGGAGGAAACTCAGCTGAAATGTAACCGTTGCAAAGAGGATCTTAGAAAACCGGCCTGTTTGGAAGCAAAACATCTGTCTTCAGCTGGCGACATAGATCAGCTCTGTCACGACGGCACTCTGTATTAATTAGGAGTTTTTAAAGTTTGACTGCTATGTCTGTTCATCAGCAAAGATGAAAATTCAACCCAGCTGTCTAGACAGCAGACTGTGCTTTTTTAGAGGATGGCTTTCTTCTTTTCTCCTTTAAGCTCCAGCTGCAAGGCAGATATCTGCCCAGCGGTCGTCACCCTCAGTTGATCTGCTTTCTGACGGTTGAAGCTGTCTGCAGTGAAAAGGAGGGAGAGTCCTTAGCTTTGCAGATGGAGATATGGGACTTTTCAAAAGCATCCATGCACTTTGAACTTTTCCACATTATTTTTAGGTTAAAAACACAAACTTAAATGTATTTTTGTTGGGTTTTAAGACCAAATGAGGTCAGAGTTGTCATCTGCAAGATTTTTTAAGTTTCTTTGTTTTCTGACATATTTTTACAAACAATGATACGTTTGATACCCTTTACTCTGATGCATTTAAACAAACTTCAGTGCAACTAATTGCCTTCAGAACTCACCCAACTAGTAAATAAAGTCCAGCTCTGTTTATAATCTCATTAGTGAATGAACTGCTCTCATCAATTATCATCAGCAAATGGAATGAGTATTGCATAAATGCAAACCTACCCAGAAACAAAGGAGAGCTTCAAACAGAGACAGTGGTATGGTTTAGATAAACATGTTTTCTAAGTTAGAAAGCCGTGACCTAAATCCAATAAAAACTCTAAGACAAAGTGAAAAAAACCAGACATTTTTCATATATTTGGAAAGGAGATTTAGCTCTTTTACAAAGAACAATGGCTCTCTAATACTTTGCTTACGTAGCAGTAATGCATGGCCATAAAATCACCATAGAATTAATTAAGGTTTTATCCAGACATTTAAAAAAACATTTGTAAGAAATGTTAAGTCTTTTTCTTTTATTTATAAAAATAAGTTAAAAAAAATGTCCTCATGAAGGACATATTAGTTGTTAGTTTCTTACATGTCTTTACTATGCCTGCAGTTTTAGCCTGTCAGCTTGCAGCCCAGTTTGGCATTTAGCTCAAGTAAACACTTATGCATCCTGTTATTTTCCCAGTTGTGCTGTGTAAGTTGTTTGCCATTAGGAGGAAATAGACACCAGACAGCAGTGTCATTTCATACGTTTCCAACATCTGGCTTAGATGGGAATGCCAGAGATAGAAGCTGTTTTTCATTCTAAGACCACTATGGGTATACTGATCCTCTCCTCCTTTCTCTCCTCCTCACCTGTCCCGCAGCACAACTGAACCCTATGTCACACACCCAGCATTGCGTGACCAGCATGGGCGCTCCTTCCTGGAGCTGCTCTGGGTTAGAAGGAGATGAGGCAGATGGCAGCAGGGAGGAGACCCTGGACGGAGGGGAGTGTGTGACGGACGGTCGGCAGGGGGTCCATGGAGAAGGTGGGCTGAGTTTCCTGCTCAAACAGGAAGACACAGAGACGCAGGACGCCTACATTTACCTCTACAGCCGCTTGGATGTTGCAGTGAGGGAAATGAAGCAGTATGTCGCTCAAATAGATGTGTAAGTATCAGGGTGAGAGGGTTGGTTTGGGTTTTTCACCTGGACGTCTCAGCACTATTGTTTTGGTCAAATGTTTGCATCCAACAGGTAGCCTGGAAAATTATAGGGGAAAAAAAAAGAGGATGGAAAAATGTCTCTGCTTCTTTATTCTCTATTGTGTTATGTAAAAATATTTCCTTCCTTCCTTCCTTCCTTCCTTCCTTCCTTCCTTCCTTCCTTCCTTCCTTCCTTCCTTCCTTCCTTCCTTCCTTCCTTCCTTCCTTCCTTCCTTCCTTCCTTCCTTCCTTCCTTCCTTGCTTCCTTGCTTCCTTCCTTCCTTCCTTCCTTGCTTCCTTGCTTCCTTCCTTCCTTCCTTTACCGAGTCCTACTTCCTTACCTCCTTTTCTTCCTCTTCTCTTTCTTCCTAGTTTCCTCTGCTACTCTTGTGTCCTACTGCCTCCTTTTCTCCCATCTTTCCTAACATCTTCCCAGCCCAATCATACTAAAACCAGTTTTGGGATCACAGTCCCAGACGTATCAAAGGTTCAACCCTCTGACCCAAATTGTCCCCATCAGATAAAAGGAAAGTGGCATTTAGAAGGTATTAAAACAGCCAAAGGCCACAAAGGTGCAAGCCTTTCATTAGCTGGTAGTTAAAGGTAATCAGCTTTAACATGAACCAAGATAAGAAGTGCTTCTCATAAACAGACCTTTAAGCATCTCTGAGGTTTTCCCAGCTGGTCTAGTCATATTCTTTCATTAGGAAGATGTTTTAGTCAGGTGAGACTAACATTTTTTTTTTTTTTTGTGGTTCACTGACAAGAAATATCTTTCAGTCAGGATGAGGCATGGTGGTGGCAGCATTATTGCGAGGGTTAGTTCAATAATTAGTTGAATTTTCTCTAATTAACTGCTGGACTAATGGAACGTTGACTACTGTTTGTTTCAACATTAAAATATTCATAAATACATGTTTAACAAATAAAGCAGCTTCTGGAATAACATCAAACCTTAGCCAGTTTGATATTTTTGGGCTAAAACACTGAACTAGAAACAGATAAATCAACCAGTTAAAGAAAGCTCGCCTGTTTTTCTTCAATGTGATGCTAATTTAGATCTTCTGTAGATTGGAGAAAATCCACAATAAAGTACCAATATCAAGTTTTCAATCACCTTTAAAGTCATTCATTGTTTTAACATAATTCTCCTTGAACAGAAGCTATTCTTAAATTGCAGTGGTGCAAAAAGTACTCAAAAAAACACAACAAAACAGCATCTAAATAAAAGTTAAAACACTGCAAAAGAAAATTGCTTTGTTAAAATGCAATAATAAAAGTCCTTACGTGAAAATCAAATAATTGTTTACAATAATTAGCAACGCATTAGTATTTTTTTACACAATTGTAACATTTTACATGCATCTTTTGTTAGTTCAAAAAAAGAAAAAAAAAAAAAAAAAAAAAATCCACTCGATGTTTTTTTCCAAGTTTGAAGAAGTTTTGCTTTTTCAATTCAAAATTTTCAGTTCATTTTGAATTGGTGGAATTAGTTGAAAACAAGCTTTAACTAAAAAAAAAAACATTGTATATAAACAGAATTCAGAGTAACACAAAAGCCAACGTGCATCAACAACTGAGCTGCCTGAGAAAACTATAAGGTACCTTCTGTAATACGAGGTGTAAAAATAATTAATAAGCAAAAAAAAGAGAAACACTGTAGCACCACTGCTGCAGAATGGTTTCACGATAACTTTAGATTATCAACTTAAAGACCACATGTAGATTGAAATGTAAGATGTAAATCTACTCCGTAACTATAAACTTTTGTTAAATTGCCAAAAAAAAAATACTTTTATGAACATAGTGTATGCAAGCTGCAGTTTGCAACTGGAAGTTAATGTCAAGAAAGAAAAGGAATTCTGCATTGTTGCAATTATGCATTTCTTTATTTGTCCTTAGCTCTACCGTCATATCAACTATTGTCATTCCTGTGTTCTGTATGAGTGTAAACTCTGAGCTAACGATGCCAGCAGGGTCAGAGTTTGTGATCAGTCTGCATAAAAAGCAATGTTCCGTTATCACAGACCGCACCCACCCAAGGCCGTTCGTCAGCTTCTCTTTGTCTGTCTGCCCTTTGCCTTGTTTAAAGCCAGGGGTTTACAAAAGGGACATTCTTCAGGCCCAAAATATTTACGGGCCAGGCCCAGAACAGGAACAGGGACTGAGAGCAGGATAACGTCAAGAGAAAGAGACAGATGTTGTCTGTTTATGCAGAGGAAGGACTGTGAAAGCATCAATGAATAGATGTGTATATTTCCCTTTAGAGTGTTTATTTAAATCTGAACACAAGTACATCACATTAGGTCAATAATAAGGAATAAACCTTCATGGTTTAATTGATTTCAAAATAAGAGCTTCACATTGTTCAATCCTCCTCTAGCCTCCTGTCATCAATCACTGAACCCACGCAGCTTGAAGGGGAGAGTGGAGAGCCTCCTGCTGACGAGACTGGTCAGCCGCCATCTCTGGCCCCCTGCGAAGACGGCTGTGATCAGGACAAGGCGGAGCAAGGCGGCATCAAAAAAGTTTGCTTTAAGGTGAACGAAGAAGACCAGGAGGACTCTGGGCACGATACCATGAGCTACAGGGACTCCTACAGGTAATCACTGCACCACCTCCTGCAGCTCATCACCTAACAATGACATGCTTGCTTTTTACAAGGGTGCAGCAGATTAAAATAAGTCATTTATGAAATATTTACATGTTGTTTTTACACCTTTTTTTAAAGCTACTACACCTATAAACCATAAACAACATTCAAAGCCTCTTTTTACTGAGTTTTCATACTTCTCGTCTCCCTCTTGCAGACTACAATTAGTCCCAGATGTTGGCATTCTGACTAAGAGCTAAAAATGACTTCAAAATGTTTTGGTCAGGCCTGCTTATGTCATTTTGCTTGTTGTGAGTTAGTTCTGAGCGCGCATAGTTCACTGGGCCGAGCTCCACCTTCCACCACCCACTAAGATGCAGTTATTGGTCGATGGTGTGGTGGCCCCTGTGTAATACAGCCAGGCGTTTAGGGCGCGGCCTCCTCGCCAGCTCTGTCATTAAAGCCAGGCCTCGCCACGTGAAAAGCAGCGACCTCATCGTGATAAAATGTTAAAGGAAAATGTAAGCGTGTAATATCCACGAGCTCACACACGCGCAAGGTGTTTACTAAAGGTTTTAAAGACCAGTGGGGGCCGAAAGGCTCTGTATGGTAGCAGTAAGTAGAGGCTCTGTAAAAGGGAACGGATAATCTTAAATGCAGATAAAATATGCTACTGTGTTTAAAAGAGGTGATTAGTGGACTATGTTCCTGCAGAAAGAATAAAGAGGTAAATGCCAGAGGAGCTGGTGGACCACAGTAATACCAAAGTGCAAACTGTAGACACTCAGTTTTTAGATTGCAGATATTTAATCACATATATGCAAGATTTACAAAGGTGATTGTCAAATGAAGAGAAATAAAGATAATTAAGAGAAACACTTATGCAGGGTCCTAAAGGTTATTAACAGATACCTTCCTTTCATGCTCTATAAACTCATTAATACATCCAGATTTGCTAAACTGGGTGTTAAAATAAATTAAGAAGGTGGAGCCTTGTGTTCCTTCTGTGGATTCCCAATATGTGAGGATCTCAGATGTAAAGTTTCTGTTAGAGGGACTGCATTCATGCCCTCGTCTGACAGGTTTAGGAGTAGTGGAGGCCTAGAGGCTGGAGCTGGGTGAAGGTGGTTGCTGATGTTGCGTTCAGACCAAATGCTGTTTGAGCTCCAAGGCGTTTGACACCTCAGCTGGGACACCTTTTAAAGACAGATGCGCATGGGTGGAAGTTGAGCTGCTCTGTCCTTTTCCTTTGCTTCTCTCTTGTACAATAGAGGATGCAAACCAGAGGGTTGCTTGGCTGTATTTGACCAGTGAGCAAATACATCTAACATGTTTTTAAGCGAGAAAGTCCACCTCATAATATTATCTGTGCATTCAGTTCCTCAGGATTATGATCTTACTGAAATATTCACTGGTTCTTCATAAAGACCCCCCACATTCCGGCAGGCGACGGGGCTGGGAGTGCTCAGTGAAAGCTCTGTGCTGTGGGCAGGGGCGGATTTACCATTAGGCAAAACTAGGCAGTTGCCTAGGGCCCCGAGTTCCTGGGGCCCCCATAAAACTCCTTTTACATGGATGGTTAATACAGCTATTACTTATTTGTGCACATTAATTATGTTTTTGATCAAAGTACTTTCGCTAAAATGCCATCAGAACGCTTATAATATTAAGTGTGTCTCAGAGGGCCACCCTTTAGTGTCCACCATATTGGATCAGTCCATTTGCTGCGCATGTTCAGAAAGGTCCAAACAAACAGCAGCAAATAATTTGAAAACAAACTGTGGAAAGAGCAGTGTTGCTACCTTGTCGCTATTTTGAGCAACTTTTCAGACCCCTCTAGCACTTTCATTCCTGCTCTCCTCTATCTTGTCTGCTGTCATGATCCATGCAGCTATAATTCCATTTAAATGAAAAATGGAGAACAGATAAGCAGATCAATGCTTACACTGCTTTACACTGAAAAGAAGGACTGTTATTTACTTTTGCTTTCGCCTTTTTCGAAATATAGAAAGGAGCAATCAGCTAAGTTAGAATGGGCTTAGTGATTGGAAAAAATCTTTCATTCCTCGTGTGACAGCATGAAAAGTCAGCTGTGCACATTGCCAATATGAAAAGAAAAAGGGATAAAAGAAAACATAGAGAGTAAAACAGCAAGAAAAGGGATAAGAAGAGAATTCAGACGGCCCCATGCCTGTCTTTGCCTAGGGCACCAAATTTCCTAGTTCTGCCCCTGGCAGTGGGCCAGGCTTCACAGAGCAGCTGAAAGTTAATATGAAGGCTTAAAACTGCAAGTATCCGAATATAAAATATATATTTTTCGCTGACAGGTTTTAACATTTTTAAGTCATTGTAGGTATTATATTATTATTATATTTTTTATTATGTAATTTTAAACTGTATGACCATATTTCAGTAAGAAACTATTTTACGGGGAGTAATAATGATCAGAGCACCCTGACTTTTCTTTGTATATAAAAAAATACCTTCTGGCTTTCACTGTAAAACATTATAGTTTAACCCCTTCATTTATTTTTTATAGTTTATTCTGACCAAACTTCAGAAGCAGAGATCACAGCTTGTATATAGTGTCTATCTCAGCTTCTCTAATTGGTTGACATCAGCATCCGTCTACAAAGGTTAAGATTCCCTAACTGCAGCGTCGGTGGTTGCTCAAAGCTTAAATGCGTATTGCCCAACACTGGAAACGCTGCCAGTCTTGCCGCTCCTAACACTCAAATCATGCAGCTGACCTCTCGACGCCTCTTGGCAGCGTCCAGCGTAGACTTGTTAACCAGAAGACCTGATGTGTAAAACTCGCTTGGTGTGAACGCCACATTAAGGTCCTTAAAAATCTTTAGTCCAGAATTCCTCCCTGGCTCTGCCCTGTTGGAGCACATTGCTCCTTAAAGAATGAGTTAAATGTACACTATACATTTTAATTATTTGTACAGAATTGCTTTCCAAATCAAAAGCTGTAGAATTCTGTTTTTTGTAAAATGTTGACCTTCTGATTATGATTTAAGTTCATGCCGATTGCTCAGTCATGTGAGAACAGGTAAAGAGTATTTATCAATAATCAATAATTAGCTACAGAGTTTTCATCACATTGAGCGTGAGAGAATAATAACTGTTAAATAGGGTTAACATTTATCTTTAGGGCAATGATCACACATTGGATGTTTTGTTCTGTGTCCAGCGTTCTATATTAGTGGTTAGTGACTTCGTGCCCAAAGTCATCCTCCAAGGTCGTTGTCTTCTATGATTCCCTGCAGTATCACCCCTGATTCAGATTATTCCAATCCAGAACACTTCCAGCTAATCTCTAAATAATCATGCCATGACTGAAAAGCTCTGGAGACTCTCCTCCTGAAACTGACTTATTGTTGTTTGTTTGAGGAATTAACCATCAAATCTTCCTTTCCTGTTATCTGCTATTAGCTCTTTTATTAAGAAACAATTTATATTTAAATATGTTTTAAATAGGTTAAAGTTGCAACCTTCAATAGCTTTTATAACATTGTTAAATGCCTTTAAGAGGAAAACATAGCAGACATCCAGGATTTTTGAGCAACTTTCATTCAGACTTCTGAAATTCTGATTTAAATCAAACATCTAAACCATGAATGAACAAGAACTTTCTGCTTGATAATGATTATATTGTATTTTATTTTAAGAACATTACTCATTTTAACATGTATATAAACTTATGATGGTGTTTTTTTAGTTTTAATGAGGCTTAAACAGCCTTTCAGTGCAAACTGGGAAACATTATTTGACTCATCTCAGATCCAACTGTTGCCACCAAGAGGAAGCGTCCTGCTGTAGTGTACCCATATAACACAGATCGCTGGTTTAGGAGAGCAGGAGAAAGTGGTGTTTATTCCAAACGCTGCTCTGTTGTGTCTCTGGATCCAGTTGTGACAGATTACGGTTCAGCCTTGGTGTCAGAATCTGTCTGAGGAGATGTATGCTCCTTACATACCTTAGATGCCAAAAACTAATAAACCTCCTTCTCTTTCTTCAAAGAGGATTTTACTGTATGGCTGCATCAGCTAGAATTTGCTTAAATACTTTAAGAACCTTTTTATTTGCAGTAAATGTTATATAGGTCTAAAAATATGCATTCTTTAGGATAAGATCTTGAGGAACGTCTGTTGCAGAGATATTCATGCTAATCATCCGCTTTGTCTGCAGTTCTGTAAAGCTAAACAGACAGGAAATGTGTATGTGCTGCTCCTAGTCCACATACCCAGATGGGGGAACAAAAACCACATAATATTAACTCTCTTCCCTGAGTTTTATTGCCTCTGCGGTCCCACCACCCAACCAGCATAAATACACACTTTCAGTCACACATCAACACAGAAACCACAGAAAAACAAGGCAGGTGAATTCATGTCCCGAATTTTTCATCAATCTGAGCCTGATGCTGAAGGGAGACAAAGCTGCTGTTGTCATTTTTGCAGCTCATAATCGCTAGTCCTTCATTGGTCATGGTAAAACAAGCTGTGAATCATTCAGAGCTTCTCTGAGGGGGATTTCAGGAGTCTGTATAATCCTACACACGCTCCCAGACATCATGTTGGATCATGTAATGTATGCCTATAAATGCCAGGATAAGTTATTCAACTAAAACTGTCAGAAAACGGAACGATCAAAGCGATGTAATAGTAATGGTGGTAACTAAGAAAACTATTTATAAAGCTGTAAAAGCAGGAATGCATTCTTAGTGCAAGGGGTTACAATTACTGGAAACTCCTATATATCCAAATATTATAATTTAATTATGATGGTCTCACAGGCTGTAACTCAAAAGACTTATATGAGGGACTCCAAACTATGTAAGACACTTTTATAAGTCTGCTTTATGTTTGCATGCACACTCAGCCTGTTTCTGCATGTTTGCAGTGAATGCAACAGCAACAGGGACTCGGTTCTGTCCTACACCAGCGTTCGAAGTAACAGCTCTTACCTGGGGAGTGACGAGATGGGATCAGGTAGGAGAAATCTGTATTTTTAGTGCTGAAGTTGTTCTTTAATGTTTGTTCAGAGTACCTGTCTTCCACTTGAAGATGAATATCGTTTCAGTCACATCTTATTTCCTATACTAAGTTAAAAATGCCTTTTCTGATAAAAAATCAATCATTCTATGTGCCATAAAAGGTCGGTATTAAATGGAAATTTCCTGTTGATGGTAAATGTATTCAAGATGACGGATCATTTAACCTAAAAACTTTTATAAAGCCGTCTGCTACGTTTTTGGTTTTCCACAATACATTAGAGGAAACCGAATCCAGACATCTTTCCTATTTTCTAATGTTATTCCTTTATCTAAATATTTAGTATAAAAAGTGTTTGTTATTTTATCTGTTTCCTATTTTTTGGGATAAAAAAAACTAATATATTTTTTTGGGCCAAAAGGTGACGAGCTGCCTTGTGATATGAGGATTTCCTCCGACAAACAGGACAAGCTGCATGGCTGCCTCGAGCACCTTTTCAACCAGGTGAGTTCAGGAAGAATGGCTTTTAGATTCTAATAAAATTAGTCCTATTCCAAGACAAGCCAGCTGCTCATGCTAAATATTATCATAATGCCATCACATATAGATATTCACTTATATCTAAAAATAAAGTATGAAATTATAATATGTTGGGAAAGAAAACAACCCCGGTCAGCCTGAGCAGAAGGCTGTTTACAATGAGCCTAGTTCTGCTGCAGGTTTCTTCCTGTTAAAAGGGAGTTTTTCCTCTCCACTGTCGCTGCATGGATGCTCAGCATGAGATATTGCCATAGCATCAGCAACACGATGCAAGGGATTATTTACTGTTGCTACATGCTCACCTAGGAGGAGCAAATCCTGCAAAGTTAATGACTTGATGCAGTCAGTGCTTCTAGTCATAGAAAACATTTTAATCAATCAGACTGTATAATCTGATTTAATTGTCTCTCTTTAAAGGGCCTTCAGATGGCGTTTGTTGTGAATTGGCGCCATATAAACAAACTGAATTGAATTGAACCTGCCAGTGAACAGTGCCTCATTTTTCAGGTTCTTCTTAATCTACTGCTGCACTTCTTAGAATGTTTTGGATTACCAATTTCTCCAGATTTTAGATTATTTGATAGATAATTTACAAAGTGCAAACAAAAACCCCAATATTAATCAAAATATTAAGTTTTATGCAAATAACATTTTAAAAATTATTTTATGACATGCATGGACCAACAACAACAAAAAAAGCTAAGTTAAACACTTGAATAAGATGCTAAAGTAAAGTGTTTGCTAAACCAGAATGAAATGATGCTTGTTTAACCCCTGAGCAGTGAGGCTTCGGGTTTAGCTGCTGCATATCTCTGCCTCAAAGGGCAAATGGGTGGAATAGTGTAAAGTGTGCTAGCTGTCCTGAAGCAGTGGCTAACACGGTTTGCTTTTCTTTCATTCCACTAGTGAAGGGCTTCCTTATTTTAATAACACAGCTGTGAAATCGGAGACGAGCAAAGAGAAATTTATTTAAACAGATATGAACCAGATATATTGGAAAGAAGAAACAATTTAGGAGTGATTGATGCTGTAATAATCAGTCAACATCTGGGCTGAGTTAACTCATGCAGCTCGCTTTGCTCTGTCGAGGTTCCTGCTTTTATCCTCAACTTTTCCTGAATTCTGTCCCTCCCCCACCTGCAGACATGTATCAAACATACACAGGCTTTCCCTAAGATACAGACTTTCTTTGAACATTAGTTTTTTTTAGAGCCCAGTTGGGCTGCCAGTGTGTTCAGTTTTCTGTATGAAAACCAGAGCTGACGAAGAAGTTGGTGTTGAAAGACTTTTAAAAGGTTTTGCAGAGTGAAGTTTCTGCAAATTTAATTGAAACTTTATTAATCTCACACTGTAGAAATTTACCTCTGCATTGGCCCCATTCCATTGGGGGGCAGGGGGCTGCCATTGTGCGGTGCCCAGGGTGCAGAGTTAGAGTCTTGCTCAGGAACTCAGAGCGCAGGTGGTGGGGATCGAACCAGGTTATTGCAACCTTCTCAGAGCACAAGCGCACCGCTCCTACCACTAGGCCAACACTCCCCTTAATATAGAAAATTAGAAAACATTCTTGATTATCTTTAGAGGTTTCTTCGAAAGAAGCCAGGTTTTTTTAAGTGCTTTCATGTTACTTTTACCGGATCTTTTTTTGGACAAGTATTGCAATATTTTTTCAATCAAGTTATTTTGATTTTAGTTCACAATAGTTTCTTTTTTTTAACATTTTTGTTGTTGGTTCTCTTGACTGTTCTGGTTTATTTATCAAGATTTATAACATTTATCTTATCCATCTGTCCAACCATCCATCCACACATCCTTCCTTCCTCACTTTGTCATTTATTTTGGAAAGACTGATAAAAAAAAAAGGTTTCTAGAGCCTCTTTTTCACTGACTTACCAAATGCCTACATGTCAGAGTTCCGTCATAGCAAATGGTATAGATAGATTTTTGTTTTATATAACGTTCAAGAACTTGCAAAAAAAAAAGTTGTTTCTAAAGTTTTGAAGCAACAGCTTTCTTTTGCCTTTAATAAACAAAATAGAGATTTCGCAAATTACAAGCGGCCCTTTTAAGATTCTGCATACAGTGTCCAGATTAAACAAGTCTGACTGTTATAGCTGTGAAAATATACCCAATAAAGTTAGCTGGAATGGCCCTGGACCACACCAGCGAATCAGAGGCCTTGATAAAGGGATTGGGACGGAATAAAAAGTTCTGTATGCTTCTGCACAGGGATGGTTGATAAAAACCAGACCGAATGAGGAAAGTATGATGGATGGAAAACAAAAAATAGTGAGTTTTCATACAGATGTTCTGAATCCTTTTATCTTACTACAGGTTGAATCAATCAACTGCCTCCTCAAAGGATCTGTTATGACTAAGGCCTGTGATGAGACCAAGCACTTTTATTCTGACCACAGTCAGCCAGGTACTTGTTTACTACTATCTCTTCATCTTCTGCAGGCTGCCTGGGTCGATCTTTTTCTGACAGCCCAAAGATGGACTTAAATGCTTCTTTTTCTTTTGAACAGAGTTTCGTCAAACAGATGACTGGACTGCCCGCAGTCGTTATATCATCCACAAGAACATCCAGGAGGACCCGTGGAACCTGCCCCACTCAATCAAAAACCTGGTGGAGAGCCTGCAGCGATTTGTAGACGGTTAGTGGAAGATGCATCTACCTGCCAGACGCTCCCTCTCTCACTCAGAGACTATCAGCCATTTTATTTTACTTTCTTTTTACACCTACAGATGGGAAGAACCAGCTTCTTCTGGCTCTGCTCAAATGTACAGGTCAGTGCGAAGAAACGGTTCATGCTTAGAATGAAGCTGCAGGAGTTAATGAAAATTAGATAGGATCTGTTTTTAATTTTCCTGGAAATTGGTGGAAGATAGGAGCTCCTGCAATTACAGGAGAGTTGTGCAGGCAGTTTGCAAAGAGGTTCATCCATCACAGAAATTAGACACCTTATGACACTAAAGGTTATACATTGCAGCTCATTGTTTCCTATTAGACCTTTGTTTGCGTGTTGTCGCTTACGTTTCTTTCTCTGCTTTTGTTTTGTTTTTGTTTTTCTGTCCGTCCTCAACTATAGACACGTCCTTGCAGCTCCGTCGGGATGTGATCTTCTGCCAGGCTGCGACTGGTGCCCTCTGCACGCTGGCTGAGCAGCTGCTGACCGCCCTGCGCTCACGGTTCAACAACGCTGGAGAATACCAGGAAGACAGCAAGGAGACCAGCCGCAAGTGGCTGGAGCAAATATCCGTCATTGGTGTTTTGCTTCACTTTCAGTCCACACTTGCACCACACCTTGTGAGTCCAGATGTTAATTTTTTTTATTTTATACTGATAAAGAAAGAAAATAAACCAATATATATTTTTGCATTGTCTCATTTTGTAATACCTAATTTATATAATATCTGCTTGGTTTTGATATGACAGACCAAGACAAAGTAGTTGTAGATGCTTTATTATGAATTGGACTTAAAATCATACAAGGACACAGATATTTTTTTAAACAAATCAAAAGGTTGCTTTGTTATGCAGTCTGTGCATTTTTTAAATGGATGTTCCAGATCAGTCTGCTTTGACTTCAGAGCTTTGTTCTCCCTCCTCTGGCAGAAAGCGGAGCGCACCATGCTGGAAGACACCAAGGCAGCCCTGTTGGACTTGGACAAAGTCACTGTGTTCTTCAGGCCGCTGGAAGACGAGTGTCTGGTCGCAAGTAAGAGACGCTTTAAACAAAGGCAGACTTTTCCCTTTGTAGGCAGCTGTGACTGTGTGAACAGCTTTTCAGAAAGACCTGATTTTAAGCTATTTTTCTGGAAGAAGCCATTCAGAGAGGCAAACATGCACCTGCTTTACATCCTCCCTCTCTTAGCTGCAATCATCTCATGATGCATCCTGCCAGGATGTTATTTGACTCATGCAATGTTTGCATATGTGCATTTTAGTTAACAAGTTAAGTTAACAATTAAATTGTTATCTTATGCAGGCCAGTTAGTTATATGTCAGCTTGTACACCAAAATTTGGCTAATCGTATATCAATGGTCATCTGTCAATCAATTTTTTTCAGTCGTAGGATCTTAATTTCGGCTGTAAGCCTTCTACACCAAACCAAACTTCTGCCGCCCTGGCGTCCTCTTCCACAACAACTTCATTGCAATGCTTTTAAACAACTCCAGTTTTTACATTTAAATGCTTTATGAGCCAAGTTACAAAAATTTTAATTTTGCAGCAGAAGTGAAATGGGTTATGGTTGTTTAAAGTAGCCATTGTGAGCATGTTTACAAAACAGTCTATGTAAAGCTGAAAATCTGGATACATTTGTGCATTTTAATATCCCCTTCCCCCCTGTTGTCTGCATTTACTGAAGGTGCCCGTGTCACCAGAAATCTGAAAGCCTTCCCACACAAAAGATGTCTCCATCTTGCTTTGGTTCTCTTTTAAACAGCCTCAATGTGGTCAGCAAAGATTGCAGTTCAAGGAAAAAAAAAATCTGCAGGCACTTCCCATGTTAAAAGGCAAAGCTGTTGATTAAGCTGAAATTTGTTCTCTAGCTTTATTCTGAGCTGCAAGGAGGACATTGTGCACCGTTGAGAAAAACGCTCCTACTTTTTAATAATTACTTTTGTAATCCCATGCATACATTACTCATAACATCAGTTCATAATAAAGTGTAAAAATATATAAATTTTAAAACTTTAAAAGCTCAAACAGGATATAGACATTTGTACATAAACAGAGCTGAACAACCCATCGTTTATTTATCCTTACTGAAAAAACAAACAAAACAAAAACAGACGGTAACATTATCACACAATCAGAGTGGCGTGAAACACACAACCAGCCATACTATCAGATGTTGACAGGAACATTTTTTACAGTCTATAAGGATTCCTGGTAGAAGAAAATTCTTGTTATAACACCATCACCTTATGTCTTAGTTGTTCTAAATGCAGAAGTGATAAATTTCCCTCAACCATTAGGTAAAACCATTAGGAGTTTTTGTTGCCTTCCAATGACATAGCATTAACCTGCAAGAAAGTAACAATACAAATGCAATAAAATCTGCCTGAAAATGGCTGTAAAATATATTTTGACCATTGCTGATGGTACAAATGAGCTCAAACTGTTGCACTGGAGGTAGAGCTCCTTACAGAAGTGTTCACCCACTTGGCTTTGAAACATTTTTTGTTTTATGTTTTGTAGAAATTTAAATGATTTTTTTTTTATAGTACATAGCACAGAAAGGTAACTAGGTGACCTATTAACTTTGAAAAGCAAAATGAGAAAAATATATGTAAAAAGGGAAGAAGAAAAAATAACGTTTTTGTGAAATCATTTGCCTTCAGAATTACGAAATTAGAGGAATGAAATTAACCTGTGAGCAATCTACAGGTGCTGGTCATAAAATTAGAATATCATGAAAAAGTAGATTGATTTCAGTAATTCCATTTAAAAAGTGAAACTTGTATATTATATTCATACATTACATACAAACTCATATATTTCAGATGTTTATTTTGTTTAATTTTGATGATTACAAATGACAACAAATGAAAATCTCAAATTCATCATATCAGAAAATTAGAATATTGTGAAAAGGTTCAAAATTGATGGCCCCTGGTGCCACACTCTAATCAGCTAATTAACTCAAACCACCTGCAAAAGCCTTTAAATGGTCTTTCAGTCTAGTTCTATAGGCTACACAATCATGGGGAAGACTGCTGACTTGACAGTTGTCCAAAAGACGACCATCGACACCTTGCACAAGGAGGGCAAGACACAAAAGGTCATCGCTAAAGAGGCTGGCTGTTCACAGAGCTCAGTGTCCAAGCACATTAATAGAGAGGCGAAGGGAAGGAAAAGATGTGGTCGAAAAAAGTGTACAAGCAAGAGAGATAACCGCACCCTGGAGAGGATTGTGAAACAAAACCCATTCAAAAATGTGGGGGAGATTCACAAAGAGTGGACTGCAGCTGGAGTGAGTGCTTCATGAACCACCACACACAGACGTATGAAAGACATGGGTTTCTGCTGTCGCATTCCTTGTGTCAAGCCACTCTTGAACCGCAGACAGCGTCAGAAGCGTCTTGCCTGGGCTAAAGAGAAACAGGACTGGACTGCTGGTGAGTGGTCCAAAGTCATGTTCTCTGATGAAAGTAAATTTTGCATTTCCTTTGGAAATCAAGGTCCCAGAGTCTGGAGGAAAAGAAGAGAGGCACTTCATCCACGTTGCTTGAAGTCCAGTGTAAAGTTTCCACAGTCAGTGATGGTTTGGGGTGCCATGTCATCTGCTGGTGTTGGTCCATTGTGTTTTCTGAGGTCCAGGGTCAACGCAGCCACATACCAGGAAGTTTTAGAGCACTTCATGCTTCCTGCAGCTGACCAACTTTTTGGAGATGCAGATTTCATTTTCCAACAGGACTTGGCACCTGCACACAGTGCCAAAGCTACCAGTACCTGGTTGAAGGACCATGGTATCCCTGTTCTTAATTGGCCAGCAAACTCTCCTGACCTTAACCCCATAGAAAATCTATGGGGTATTGTGAAGAAGAAGATGCAATACACCAGACCCAACAATTCAGAAGAGCTAAAAGCCACTATTAGAGCAACCTGGGCTATCATAACACCTGAGCAGTGCCACAGACTGATCGACTCCATGCCACGCCGCATTGCTGCAGTAATACAGGCCAAAGGAGGCCCAACTAAATACTGAGTGCTGTACATGCTCATACTTTTCATGTTCATACTTTTCAGTTGGCCAACATTTCTATAAATCCTTTGTTTTTATTGGTCTTCAGTAATATTCTAATTTTCTGATATGATGAATTTGAGATTTTCATTTGTTGTCATTTGTAATCATCAAAATTAAACAAAATAAACATCTGAAATATATGAGTTTGTATGTAATGTATGAATATAATATACAAGTTTCACTTTTTAAATGGAATTACTGAAATCAATCTACTTTTTCATGATATTCTAATTTTATGACCAGCACCTGTATGTGTCGTACTGGTCAGGTTAAAAAGAGTTTTTCTGAAAGTCCTCAGAGTCATCAGCACAATAAAGACCAAGGAGCTCTTTAAATTAGTTAGAAACATTTAAAGTTATAGAAAAGTATAAGTCTGGGTGGGATTGTTAAAAATAATAATTATATAATTTTGAATCCCTAATCTTCAAATGTGAAGCACATGATACCAAAAACCTGGCTACACTGGAAAAGTAATCTAGAAATAATAAAACATTTCTTAAATGAAGTGTATTTACCCTTGATTTGAATTGGTATCTGAGAAAGTTTGCCAATGCAATTAGTATTTTTACTCTTAAAATAAGATAATTCAATAATAAGTACTTGAAATAAGTCAATGAAATTGTGTTTTCTATTATTTTAAATCTAAATTGTCTTGGCAAAATGTCTCTTTTATCTCCTTAATTAAAGAACAAATGCACTTAAGAAAAAATGAATAGACTAGATTTCCATTGTTTTCAGTGAAGAGAGGGCCGCCTACCCAAAATCCCACACTGAGGAATCAGGGCATTAATCAGTAGACCATAGAGGTCGGCAGTAAAAAAAAAACATTGCTTTGTATTTATAATAAGATTGCATTCTTTGCCAAGAGGCAAATTAACATCTTCCCAAATGTATAGAGAAAGGTGTTCTAGTCAGACAACACCAGAATATTCAAGATCTTTCACAAAAGTAAATCCTGTATCTGCTGGAAGCCCTACACTTCCCCTAGAACACCATCCCCACAGAGAAACATGGTAGTGGCAGCATCATGATGAGTGGATGGTGCTTAATACAGTTGTATTCTAAACGAAAAACTGAATTAAAGCATAAAGCTTAAACAACACTTGTGTAGTTTAAAGGGAAACATTTAAAAAGTGACAAGATTTACACCTCAATCTGATTAATAATGTGTGGTTAGGCTTGAAGTGTCCATCTGAAGGAGCAGGATGTGACAAATTCCCTAAGCTGCTGTAACTGCTGCAAATGGGGCTTTAGGCCCCGTCCACACGAAGTCAAAACGAACACGAAATGCTAATATTTTCCAGAACGTTTGTCGTAAAGACGGAGACGTAAAATAAATATGATCGTCCACACGAATGCATGAAAACGCTGCAAAATGTATGCCAGGCCTGTAAGTGGCGCTGTGGTGCCAAAGCAAAAATAGGCGACGAAATGTTGGGCATGTGCACTAATATTTATACATGGTTGCCCTGCGGGTCCATTTTCGTGGTTCAGTCAAATTCAGGTGCTGAACTATGTCGTCTATATTGCTCTGTTCTTCCTGGAGATATTCCAGAAGAAGAAGATTCTGTTGTAAGCCCGACAGCAGGGTGAGTAGCATTAGCAGCAACCATTCAACACAGTACGGCGCCATTGTTGTTGTGATACTGTGTCGCGCATGCGTGTTTAGAGGCGACGCTATGACGCATGCGTGTAAAAAAAAAAAGAAAATGCGGTTAGAGCTTAAAGATGGAACCGCGAAAATGGCGTTTCAAAATCTTTCACTATGAAGGCTTAATAAAAAAAAGATCGTTTACAGACCCCCAAAACGCCAGCTTAGTATGGATGAGAGGCTGGTTTGGTGAAAAATTGGTGCGTTTAGGCCAGGGTTTGACTTCGTGTGGACGGGGCCTAAAGAATAAAGCTTAAACAGCACGTGTGGTTTAAAGGAAAACATTTAACAGTGACAAGATTCACACCTCAATCTGAATAATAATGTCTGGTTAGGCTTGAAGTGTCCGTCTGAAGGAGCAGGATGTGACAAATTCCCTAAGCTGCTGTAACTGCTGCAAATGGGGCTTTTTAAAAGCACTAACTTTAGGAGGGTGGGTGATGCTTGTCCTGTTTGTGTTTTGCTTCAAAATAAACCAAATGACACATCTTGTGTCAAAGTGTTCTGTACAAAAATGTGCAAACTCCCACAGAATGCATTTGAAGTCCAGCTTGTGAACCAACAGAACATAAAAAAATGCTGCAAGTAACATCAGAGCACGCTGCAATGTATCGTTTGTTTTGTCTTGACCCCAAGTAAAGGCCAGGAGTCACTTATGTTGAAATGTTAAACAATAACAACTCTGCTTCAGATTTTTTTTGTAATGCATGCTATTTTATATAAGTGATTGCAACGCTCCTGCTTTGTCTCTGTTTTTCAGACACACCTGTGTGCTACCAGGTGGAGGGCAGCCGGCAGGCCCTGAGGGTCACCATGTACCTGGACAGCTGTCACTTCAGTGAGCTGCCCAGTCGGCTACAAAACGGAGGCAGTCTGAAGCTACACACCGTCCTGTTCTCCAGAGGTGAGACTGGGTCTGATGGGACAGTTTAGAGGGACGATGTAGAGGGATACATTAATACATTAATAATCCACCCTGTCCTTTTCTTATTATGTAAAGAAATGATTGATAAATGAAACAGCACTTTATATCATTATTTATGGAGGATCTCTCTTTCTAAGAGAACCTTTTCAGGTGGTACAGCATCTGAAACAACAGATCATACCCAGAGAGAGTTTGTTTCCCAGACTTGTCCAATTCCTCACACCTTTCCTTAATCCTAGGTTAGGGTCCCACCAAACGGAACCAAGCCCCTAATCACAGCCCCTCACCATTAAAAGATGAGAAAACTTATAGATTCAATTCTTTTCCCCAAACATTCTAAATAATTGTAGCGCATTAAATAATTTCATTATCTTTAGCCTTTTTACTCAAATTCCTCTGGAATGTAAGGATGACACTTTCAACTCGGATGTTATATATTATTTGACACATTTCTGGAGTTATAACCTACTTTGTTGAGATCAACCCCGCATCACTAACCAATCTACAATTTAAAATCAATCATATGCATTACAGATACTATGAAACCATTTAAAACACTCGATGCATTTCCCTTCTTCGCATGTACATTTACTGATCGCTTTAACTCTTTTTATTGGGTTAGATTGAAGCGCTTTATTGGACGCTTCCACCTCTGCACTCTCCTTCACTCCTTTTAGTTCTCCATCAGTGTCACTCAGAAGGCATTATGCATCTCACCATTCTGCCAAACAGCCATTGGTTTTCTATACATAAGTGCTAGGTGGAAGACTAATCCGATGAAATGGCTCTGATTGTTTCATGTGCTTGAAAGTGCAAACACAGCCCAAAGATTTTAAAGCTCCACAGCATGGTGGATAAACATCGCCACCTGCTGGAAACCAAACCTCACTGCAAATTAGGGGAACTCATTGCTTACTGCAGGTGTTGAGGTTTTTGTCTTTAATTGTTCTGCTGGTAAAGATTTAAAGATACAGGTTTATTTCCACACAGCTTTAAGTCCTGAATTCATGACAAGCTTGAAATACTAATGTTTAATTCTGTGGTTATAGAATAGTTTGTTCCTCTAATATTGCTGATGAAGGTTCTCAGTCATCCAGGTCATAGTCATTCCGTAAAAATTCAAAAAATATCCACTGGACTTGGTTTTCAAGATTTGAAGACGTTTCGCCACCTTTCCAGGAAGCTTTCTCAATTCAAATGTCTGGATCCGCAGTGAGTTTGAGTCTTATATAGACACGCCTTGTATCGCTTGGAAACATGCAATGGTAACCGATGAATGGGTCGTTAGTTCCATCGTTAGCCTGTAATATCTGAACCTGTCTATGATTCTAGGGGTCGGTCGTTAAAGGGGGGATTGCCATTAACGGGGGGGATTGTCTCCTGTAATACCTGAAACCTGTCTATGATTGTTAAGGGTTGGTCGTTAAGGAGGTATTGTTCACCGGCTGGGGCGGGTAGGTCCCTCGTTCCTCTGTGATGGGGTGGGGGGCTTGGTGATATCTGGAAGGGATCATGTCTATGATTGAATTGTATGTTTTTGGAAGCTGGAATCTGAGTCCACCACCTCTGTTTAAAGTTGGTTTTTCTCTCTTAACATAGATGGCTTCCTTCACGCCCCTCTCAAACCACCTATTTTCTTTATCCAGAATATGGACATTCTGGTCCTCAAAAGAATGTCCTTTGTCCATAAGGTGTAGGTGTACTGCGGAGTCTTGTCCAGAGGCGGCCGCTCTTCTGTGTTGGGCCATGCGTCTGTGGAGAGGTTGTTTTGTTTCGCCAATATAAAGATCAGAGCATTCCTCGCTGCACTGAACAGCATATACCACTCCGCTCATATTCGGTCTGGAGGTTTTATCTTTAGGGTGCACTAGCCTCTGTTTAAGGGTTTGGTTTGGCTTGAAATGTACTGGGATCTTGTGTTTGGAGAAAATCCTCTTGAGCTTTTCAGACACTCCAGCAACATAAGGGATTGTGATGTTTTTGCGTTTAATTTTCCCATCGCTGTCTTCTGTTGCGTGTCTTTTGGATTTCCTTGCTGATTTGATAAAAGCCCAGTTTGGATATCCACAGTTTTGGAGAGCATCTTTGATGTGTTTCTGTTCTTTTTGCTTCCCATCTGTTTTAGTAGGGACATGTTCTGCCCGGTGTTGTAAGGTTCTGATGACTGAGAGTTTGTGTTCCAGTGGGTGGTGTGAGTCAAAAAGAAGATACTGGTCTGTGTGAGTAGGTTTCCTATACACTTCAATGTTTAGGCTTCCATCTCCTTCCATGCTCACCAGGCAGTCCAGAAAGGGTAGTTTGTTGTCCTTGGCATCCTCTCTGGTGAATTTGATGTTACGGTCAACAGAGTTGATGTGTTTGGTGAAAGCTTCCACTTCCTCTAGTTGGATTTTGACGAAAGTGTCATCCACGTATCTAAACCAGTGGCTTGGTGGTATTCCATTGAAAGTGTCTAAAGCTCTCTTTTCCATTTCTTCCATGTAAAGATTGGCTACAATTGGTGATACTGGAGATCCCATTGCGCAGCCATGCTTCTGTCTGTAAAAATTACCTCTGAATTTGAAATAGGTTGTGGAAAGACAAAGGCCCAGTAGTGTGCAGATCTGGTCCGGAGTGAAATTAGTCCTGTTGTTTAAATCACTATCTTGTTCAAGACGTGTCCTGACTGTTTCCACTGCCTCTGTTATAGGTATGCATGTGAAAAGTGAAGTAACATCAAACGATACCAAGGTTTCTCCTGGAGCCATCCTTAAATGTTTGGCTTTGTTGGCAAAGTCTTTGGAGTTTTCTATGTGATGTGGTGTGTTCCCCACCAAGGGAGCTAAGATATTAGTAAGCTGTTTAGCAATGTTGTATGTTACTGAGTTAATGCTGCTGACGATGGGCCTGAGTGGTGCCCCTTCTTTGTGAATTTTTGGAAGTCCATATAAGCATGGAATTTCCTCCCCTGGATATAATCTGAAATAGGCTGTGCTGTTAATTACCTTGTCTTTTTCAAGTTGTTTGAGATAGTCTATTATTTTCTTTTTGTAGCCGCTGGTTGGATCTCTTTTCAAGGATTCATACGTATTAGTGTCCTTCAGTAGAGTGATAATTTTGTCTTGGTAGTCTGAGGTGTTGAGGACTACGGTGCATCTTCCTTTGTCTGCTGGTAATATGGTGATGCTTTGGTCCTGGCTCAGGGATGTTATGGCTTTCATTTCCTGGGGTGTGAGGTTGGAAGGAGGTGGTTTGGCGCTGGACAGGGTGGCTGTTACCTTCATTCTGAGTTGCTCTGCCTCCGTTTCAGCCAAGTTGTTGTTCCTAATGGCCGATTCAGTGGCCGTGATCAGTTCCACAATGGGTACTTCTTGTGGAGCAATGGCAAAATTCAGGCCTTTACTCAGTACATCCATCTCTGGTTTTGTCAGTGGTCTGCTAGATAGGTTTTTAACCCACTTGTCTTCAACCTTGATGTTATCCTCCTGAGTCATGTTGCTCTCTTGTTTAAATGCTGCTTTCTGTTGTAATCTTTTGAATTTGGCTTTTTGTCTTTCTTTTGTTTTATGATGTTGTGAAAGCTTGGCTTTATTGACCAAAATAGCAACTTCTTCAAACAAGGTTTCGGGGAGAAGTTTGGATAGCTTCTGCCTTATCTGATCTATTTTGTGCGAGATAGCTTCAATTGTGAAATGAGTCTGTCTAATCCTCTCACTAAGCAGCTTTTTGTGCGCATTCCTAAGAATCTCTTCTGCCCTGTGTCCTTTGATAGTAGACTTCAGTCTTAGACTGTTGGGAATGAGACCTTGCTGTCTACATCTTAAATTGAAACGTAGATGATTCCTATAATCTAATATTATGTATTATGTTTTATGCGAAAAACCTTCTGTTTTGTTTTGAAGCCCTGGAGCGTCCAGAGGGAACATCCTCGCAGGAGAACGTGGACATGGTGGAGTTCCAGCAGCGCATCAATGCCGTATCGCTGGAGAAGGTCAAGGCGTATTACCGCAAACTCAGGTATTCTACGCTCTCCACTTTATCAGGGTTCCCCAGTAGGATCCCAGTCAGTCAGGGAAAATTTTATTTCGCCTGAAGTCTTGGGACTAGTATACATAAATCAAGAATACATTATTTTTAATAATTCAAAGTTCTTTCAATATTTTAAGGTTAGAACTTCAATACGATTATCCACTTGTCCTTAAGGTCCTCGTACCATAAAGCACAACCTCCTTAGTGGGGTTTCACAGAATTATTTAATTATTAGGCAGCTCAGTGTAAGTTATTAATATTGACCAACTAAGCTTTTATTTAAGCAAACACTTTAAGCTATTTTTCATTAAGTTCTTAATATTAGTTAAAAACATATAACAAAGGGTATTTTCATATAAACAAACATATTTCATATATCTGAAGGTAATATGAAACGCTGAGCAGCTCTGATTTGATCCTAATTAAGAATTTCTAGAGGGAGCCAAAGATTAGGGTGATGGTAAGGAGGCCTTGCAACAACAAAGGCTTGTAGCTTCTCTCCAAAGACACTCTTGAAACCCACTAGAAACCTGCAGCAAGGTGCTCACTAAATATAAAAAAAGCCTTTAAATAAAGCAAGTAAAGTTTATTTCCGGTGATTTGATTAGAAATTTGCAAAAAATATTTGCTGTAACGTTTAATATCAAAACCACAGCAAACTGATTTTCTTTTTAATGATCTCCTAATCCATTTACTAACAGAAAACAAATTCCAATTTTTAACAATTTTGGATGTACAGTAGGAACATAATAGCAAGTGACTCTAAATTGGCTTTAACTGAAGCTACCAGATTAGTCCAATATAGAAATTTTTAAACTTAGTTTTTATTTCCCTATTTTATATTTTTTTTCAAAGTAGGCAGACCCTTGGAGGTGGTGGCCTAGTGGTTCCACTTGGATCTCTGAGGTTCTGGGTTCGACTCCCACAGACTGCCCCTCAGGGTCGTTGAGCAAGACCCTTAACCCCAGACTGCTCCTTGGTGCCGCACAGTGGCAGCCAAAAAAAAAGACAGTAGGCAGACCCAAGAAACGAGATTGAGTGAGAGAGGAGGAAACGTATGGACTAAAGTAAAAAAATAATGAAATAAAAAATAATAAAGATTTTGGGCCAGTGTCGGCCATGTTGAGGACTAAGGTCATCTTTATAGGTACTTGTACGTGTACCTCTGCTCCTCTGTCACGCCCCAAGATTGAACTTTTAAGACGTTTTAAGACGACAAATGGTCAAAATATTGTAGAAAACCTTTCCAAATATGCGGAAAAGGAACTCACTTCCACTCTGTGGAGGTGTTATGAGGTTGTGGGCTATTTTATTTCTGTCTTAAGTATTTCCCCGGACTGAAGTTTACCCAAATTAAGACTGAATGTCTTAGTTTAGGATTAGAAAACTACTTTTAAAGATTCATGTGATTTGAGTTTTTCCTCATCTTTTTGACAGCTCCAAGTATGTGTGGTGGATGGGAGTTTTTCAATCCTTGTCACATGATGGGTTTTATTTAAATTATGAATACAGTCCTGATCTCTGATACATTATATGCACATGAATTCCCAGAACATCAGGAACACAGGGAGCCTGTACTGTCGCAGATCAATGCTGTGAAGCTGTTTTCTCTAGATGCTTCCTGACTCAGCTCTCAGATAACATGAGTCATTTACTAACTTCATAAAGCCCAAAGAGTGTAAATCTAAATGCTTTTGCTTCCACAGGGCTTTCTATTTGGAGAAGTCTAACCTACCTACAGACTCCAACTCTACAGCGATGAAAATAGACCAGGTAAATATGCACTCATGAATTTCTCTTTACTGCCGTTACTTTTATCTGTTTCATTTGTTATCGCACAGCTTCATCTTTGCAATACAAGTCAATTTTTATATGATGTTGTGACTGAATATAAATGCAAGCACAGATACTGGGCGTTGAAGTTAGAGACCTTCAGCCAAGCATTTCCAAAGTAAGAGGAACTGGTTTGTCTTCCTGTCCCTGTGGAAATCCCCACTAGCTCGTCAAGACCTCCTAATTAACTCTGACTAACCTCAGCACATCAACATCCTGCACTGATTTAATTTCAGCCTGACCTCTAGTGTGCCAACCTGACTGTAGCTGAAATAAAATCAGTACCACATAGTTAGTTTGATCTAATCCATTGGTATTTACATTTATACGAGATCCGCAGAAATAACCCTATTAAATGTGTTTGTTTTGTTATTAGTCTTATATTTACTGATGCTCCATCTTACAAGTCAGTTACTCTACTTTGCATTAAAATGTGTGGAAATATCTTCAGCATGTAAGTTAAGGTTTATGTTGTAATGTTTTCAGATTTTATTTTTCTAAACTTTAATTAACACTGCTGACATTTTGCTCAGTATTTTTCTGGTATTGTTTTTTTTTTTTTGTTAAACTTAAGTCAAACAGGAAAAGTCCTGATTAGTTTATTCATTTACCTTTCAGAAGGTCCGGGGAAGTTTTTATCTGAACTTTGGCTTCTTAAATCATCCATTCATTATTTTTACCTTTGCTTTTTCTGAAGCATGTAAACTAAGAGTTACAGCCATGATAAAAAAGTAAAAAAAAAAGGAAACGTACACCTTATTTTAATTCTGAGCTGAACAAACAGTTGAATACTAATTTAACCCACTATAGAAATTCTTTTTTTGGCATTTTTTTGTATGGAACAAATTACTTTCAGAAAATAAAAGGAAAAAAAGATGTTTCAACTCTTTGTATTAGAGCAACAATTAATTACGATTGATCAATTATTGAAAGTACATTCAGCTATTTTAGTAATCAATAAAGGATTCATTAGATTACAGAATAACAAAAGCAAATAGCTGAAAAAACGACCCACTCAGAGCAGAAATTATGCCAAAACGGTAAAACGCAAAACGGCTTGCATTTAAAATAAAAATCCTTTTTATCTGTAGATAAGCTCAAATTAGAACTCCTCAAGTTTCATAGTTTTAGCTTCATTTTCTATATAAAAAAAATCCGTACAGAAATTTTCTAATTCTGTATAAAACACGTCTTTAAGGCAGCTTTTACTATCCCAATATTAAAAGTATAAAGGATGATCTTTTATTTCTGGGTGGATCATCTAAATAAGTGGTCCTCTAACTGTCAATCATTCTGGTGATATGTTTACGTAAGGCCGTTTTACACGATAGTTGGCTATCTTTTTCTGTGCATGCGCACTTTCAGCCACATATCTGTCACTTCGGTTCTTTGAAAATGGCCGAGGGTCGTAAGAGAAAAAGTGTCTATGAAGTGTATGAGAAGAAAAGAAAGGCCTCAGAAGAGGCAGATGTATCCCATAATGTTTTGCATGGAGAGCACTCCTCGCAAAGCATTATGGGATTTGCTGTCAGAGCAGCCAACTGTCGCCATAGGTTGTTGCTACCTGACAGTGGCGACTAATAACATAGATAGCACAGGAACCATGCAAAGGAGGAGGAGTTATGTGATCAACAGATCAAAAGGCAGTGATCATCTATCCGAACGGTCAGTTAACAGTCCACTATACAGTCTCCGCTGTATGTTGAGCGTGCTTTGGTGGCACACTGGTTTGCACACACAACCCACGTACGGAGGCCTTGGTCCTCGACACGGCTGACCCAGGTTCCAATCCGGCCTGTGGTCCTTCGCCGCATGTCTTTCCCCCTCTCTCATACCCCCTTTACTGTCAGCCTACTGTCCAATAAAACAAAGAGTGTGGGTCTTTAAAAATCGTCCACAATACCTTTAAGTTAATGGTCAAACAAAACAGCTGACAGATTAATCGATAAGCAAAATAGTCTTTAGTTGCAGCCCTAAACTCCACCAGTCATACCAATCATGTTTTTTTTTCACAGAGGCATTACTCCCATCCAGAAGCATCGTTAGAAGCTCTGTTTGGTCAAATATTAATGAAACAATAAATATTTATGGTTACTCATGTCACTTTATGCAGCACCAGCAACACATGTGCTATCGTCAGGTCTCTTGGTTCGCTCTTAGTAAGAAATCAATCCATAGATATTTGCGTCTGCCTGCACTTCAGATTGTCACTAGGAAAACCTTTGGGAATACATGGACTGTGCACAGTGAGGCTGCTATTGTTCCTGGCATGGCCATCGGTCTGCATTTTATCTGTAGTTTTACAAAAATTCTTACATTTGGAGAGATGACTGCAGTTTTAGATGTCTTGGCTTTTTGCCTTAACCATTTGGGCTTCATTTCAGCTCTGTGCAATGTTGTGCCATCTAGGTAGAGGCTGATTCCAGTACAAAATTAAACAGAAGGTCTTTTTTTTTTTTTGATGAACATTTCTACTATTTGGGGTACTTTTAATAAGATGGTTAGACATTTTTAGAACCAGATAATACATCTTAAAAGCCAGAAATTGACAGTGCTTGTCTTTTTTATGGTTATATCTTTATTACTTTCCCTGGGCTTTCCTCTGTGGGACTCAATGAAAACCTCAAAAGTATTTAGACACAAACAATCCATTTTTTTTTTTTTTTTGCACTATTGCAACTTGCATGTTTTGATTTCATTTATTTACTACTTACCATTGAACTATTAAATTATGATGCGGACTATGGAAAACTGGAGTTCGATTCCTTGTTTATGCGCACAAATCTAATGATAAAGTTGATTCTGATTAGTGCCTTAAACAATATAACAATTATAATAAATTAAGCATGATTACTGCAAATGGCAAAAAAAACTGCCAAAATCCAAAGAAAAACTTTTTTGACCTCTTAGAGAACCTTAAATTAAGACTACTTGTAAAGATTAAAAGAAAATGAGGCTCCTGTCAAATAAATTTTAAAGCTAATAGGGATGACTCTAAACATTGCACAGTTTTGTTCTTTAGTTTTAGGCTTATTTAGGGGAAAAATTCCAACATTTAGTAGCTTAAATGACTTACCAAGATGGCATCCTGGTGATGTTCCTCAATCATTTTTTTGACCCTATTAAACCCCTTCTTCACCTTTCACAGCTGCTGAGACCCCTCAACACACTGGATGACCTCTGTCGACTAATGCAGTCATATGTCAACGTGCGTCCGAGCGCCCAGGGCCACCCGTCAGGCGTCAGCGTGCTGTGTGTGTCCTCCGAACTGTGTAACCGCCTGGGAGCCTGCCACATCACCATGTGTGGAACCGGCCTGCAGAGGTCAGTCTGCTACTAGCACAGGATGTTTTTTTCTGCACAGCTTCTTATCTTTGAGCTTAGAGACTTAGATCCTTAGACAAACTTTATTGTCATTTTGTTTACACAGAGTGTAAAGTTGTCAGTTTTATTCCAGATTACAGCTACCCACAGTCACCTATAAGCACCAAACATCAGCTCGCTGTCTGAATCCATTTAAACTCATACATGAAAACCAAACAGGGTTAAAATCAGACCTCTTGTTGCTTTCAGATGTTCCCTGAATGTGACCCTGGAGCAGGCAATGATCCTGGCCAGGAACCATGGCCTTCTGCCGCGATGCATCATGCAGACCATGGACATAATGAGGAAACAGGTAAAACTCAGACCCAGAAAAATGGGGAATTGTTATTCATATGCTGTTTAAAAAAAAAAAAAAAAAGGTTTTGTTTAGGGAAAGCAAAATGTTCAGACTTATAACCTTCTACTTACTACTGTGCATGCTTCTGGAATTCAGCTTTTACGTCAAAGAACCTGGTACTTTGCTGGATGTTTTTGTCAATAACTAGTTATTTGAATTTAAGGGTTACTTTTCAGAAATGTATTTGGTACTTTCTTTAGACTTAGACTGCACAGATTGTATGCAAAACGAAATTCAGTTGCATACAGCTTACAATATTTTTTTTTACATTTTGCGTACAATCGTGCCTTTGGCTGGTTCCTTACAATTCCTTTTTAAACATAAATTTTTGTACTGAAATATTCTTTCTGTTATGATTTGTGCACATTAAGATCTTAAGAGTAGCATCATCTCCTGGTCAGACCCTGTAATTTAGTGAAAAGGTGGAGTCAGAATAAAAAGATATGCAAGAGGGCATCACTCCAGTGGCTGGAAGTTGGAGGGGATTTTGCTGGGAGCTGCAGGGAAGTGGGCTGTCATTCTGGCTATTTTGAATGGCTGCTACTCTACAACAGTGAAATGACCATTACCATTTATGAAGTGCAGCAGGGATCGTAATTTAAACAGTGTAGAAGAGAGAAACCAGTTTAAAAGTAATGGTGTAAATGGGCATTAATATGAAAAGGTTCAGTGAAGTGCAAAATAAATATGGTACAAAATCCAGCAGAATACTGCTTTGTGTCCTATTTAAAAGGATTATAAGGTTAAGCACATTGGGGGTGCAAAACAGTGTTGTAAGTGTGGTGAAGATTCCAGTTTAGAGTTCAACAGTTGGGTGGGAGCGGCGGGAAAAAGGCTGTTGCAGGATCTGTAGTGAATGCTGCAAAACATCCGCTTTTAATTAAAAGTTACTATTCCATACTTTACCTATAACTTTATACATAGAACCCTCCTTTATAACACATAACCTTCCTGGTTTGAACTCTTAAACTAACTAAGTGCTTTGTTTAAACCCCGGGCTTATTTTTCTTGAACTTAAATGGAAAATACTAGTAATTTAGCTTGAACATACCAACTACTTTTATTAAACTTAAGACTTATGTTACGTTCAGATCGCATGCGATAGAAGCAGCAAAAAAGTGCCTGCTGCTTCATTTTTGATGCTTGTACACATTGAGATCTGATGCGCCTCAAGAGCATCCTTGATGCTCCTGAAGAGTGTCCAGTAAAGTGTGTACAGATGCGTCTGATGCCCAATGGCAGAATGGCTTTGCTATATTTGCTGTTATAAGTGGGTAAAACGTAGTTGTAATGTGTTTTTAAGTGAGAAAGTCCACCACAAAACTTCCATCTGTGTAGTCAGTTCATCCAGATTCGCTGTCTGAGTTGCTCAGACCCCCGTACACCTGCGGTGCTCTGTCACGGGAAATCCTCTTCAACAGCAGCCTCTGGCCCGATCGTCTCTTCAGGGTTTTCCGCTACAGTTTGTATTCATTCATGTACTTAATTCAAACTGCAGGCACCAGATTAATAAAAGCAAACCTATCTTGCTGGCAGTTTTCGACATTTTAAGTTAATTTAGGTGTTCAAACACTATATCGGGAGTAATAATAGCCATTATCAACCTTTAATTTTAAAGGAAAGTCATTAAGAACAAGTTCTTATTTACAATGGTTGCTTAACAAGGAGAGTAACCACTTAGGGAAAGGGAAGTAGGGCTAAAATAAATGTAATACATACATAAAATACAATTTAAAACACAACAGACAACCCAAAAATGACCATGTAGAGAAGAAGTTGCAAGTTTCTGTGAACAAGTATTACTTTTTTTTTTTTTGAAGGATGAAATGGAAATTAGTCTTTCAAGTTTAAGAATATTTTGCATACCGTTCCAGTCAGGGATTAAAAAGAAGCAAGACCAAAAGTATTGTTGGTTTTCAGATCTGCATCAGCAGTGCTGTGTCCGTCTCCCTGCCAGCTCCCAGATCAGCTACTCTGATTGGTTGATGTGCCAACAGCAGCCAACTCCAACAGCTGCTGCTTCTGAAGCACGTCACGCTGCTCGAAATGTGCTGCAGGACCTTTTGATGCACCTTGATGCTCATCAACCATTGACTTTGCATGTAAACCACCTGCTTTTGCTGCTTCCACCACGTATGGTGTGAATGTAGCATAACTCTAAACTTAACCAGGGTCATCCTTAGGGGTGGAACGGTTCACAAAATCCACGGTTCGGTTCAGTTCACGGTTTCATGGTCACGGTTTTCAATTCGGTTCGGTATATGTTGATTGTTAGCCCTACATGTTGGTTGTTTTGTTGTTAGCATAAACAAAACGTGTTGCACAATGCTTGCACACTGTTGCACTTTTATCCACAACTTTCTTTCCGCCGTCATCGTAGGTCACTCTATATGAAAAGCGCTCCCATACAGCAGACCTATAAAGTGCTGCTGGCGCGTCTTCCAACTCCTGTTCTTTCCCACTCGCCATACCCACACAATTCTCCACAACAACTGATTTTTGTCTGCTACACCCGGCCACGCTGCTTCGCTTCTTTTTCTTCTTGTTTACTACTGGTGGTTGGCTTTGGTCGCAGTACTGCCACCTTCTGCTCTGGAGTGTACACGCTTCGCCTATGAGAAAAAGGAGCAGCGCATGAACCGAACGCAACACACACGAACCGAACCGAGACAGTCGAACCGAACGGTTCGGACGGTTTTCATAAACCGTTCAATGCCTAGTCATCCTACAACATGTTTCGAACATATTGCTTAGCTTTCCAGAAATTACTCCAAGCTTGAATTGAAAAAGCTCCCTGGATGGGAAGTGAAGCGTCTTCAAACTTTGAAACAAAGTCCAGTGGATTGTTTTTAATTCGTTTGGAAATACTTACATTTTTATTTTTTGTTTTAGCTTTGTATCAACATATTCACTTATTCTCATGGTTTAACCTTCATATGACTACTCTTATAAACCATCAAAAATCACTCATCTATGCAGCCTTACATATGAACTTAAATCACATCCTATTATCCTATTCCACCCTTTACAACTAAACCGGTTTCTGCTCTTGTGGAAAGGCAGTCTACAGGGTTTAGGAATGTCTTTATGGGGATTTTAAACTGTTTTGTCAGAAGCATGTTTGATGAGGAGGACTAGATTTAAGTCTGTGCTTTAATGAAGCCCAAAACTTCTCTTTTAAGCTCAGGACTAGTTAAACTCATCTACACCAAACTCTCTTTCCTATGTTTTAAGTGATCAGTGGTGCGCAGTCGTGTTGGAAGAGGAAGTGGACAGATTTAACAAGTTCTGAGGCATTAAATAGAGTACATGTAATGTCTTGTTCTCTGTTTCTAGTGGAAATCATCTTATATTTCTTTTGTACCACCAGGGGGCTAGAGTGGAACTTTCTGCTAAAAATCTCAAAGTAATGGACCAGATGCCTCCTTCAGCTCCAAGGTATGAACCAACCCCCTACCCCCGTCGTATATCCAATCTGCACGTCATAAACATAGACCTAAAAGCCTGCTGTTTCTCTTTTTACAGGCTCTTCAAGTTGTGTTTGCCTCCCTCAGATGGAGATCTCTAGAAACGCTTCAAAAAATCATATTTCTTGGATCGTGAATGCAGAGGATGGGTTTTATTATCATCTCTTCTTCTGTCTGACACTGCCAGTACAAACAAGGACCATCTCAGCGTATACACCACCAGTGTCCTCAGTAAAAGCTTATAAAGACTGCTCACACACCAGACAAGGGATGAAGGACCAACTAAACAGACACTTATGGCCAGAGACCAAGGACTGGTTATGTAAACTTTATTCTGAAAGTATTATTGTGTTTGCCGTTTTCTGACATATAGCTCGCCATTTTTGATTAACAAATGGTGGGCAGGCAATGTTCTCAGTGATTATGCTCACAAACAAGCGGTGTTGTTAACTGGATTAACACAACTACCTGTATCTGACCAACGTCGATCGTACCCATTTTGCCTTGGACTGCAATCTCCAGAAAGCTGCCTCATTCTGTCTGCATCCTCCAGGGTCCCCCAGGGCTCAGCGTTCAGACCACAGGTGAAGAAGAACATTTTAGCATGCTGGTAGATGCAGAAAGACAAAAAAAATGGACAGAGATGGAAGTAGAGACCGAGAGAGGGGGGCTGACTGTTTATTTCTATTTTTTTTTATTTTCAGCCCATTGCATGTGGTTACTGTGCAATTACTGTAGGCTTAGTGTAAGTACTGTATTAATGCAAAAAATGAAGGATAGCTATTTATTATATCCAGAAGGAGCTTTTTTTTATCACTTACTTACTCTATATCAGGTATTAAAGAGTCTAAAAGCATTCCAGCTTGCATAATGATCAGTATTTAATGGACCAATGGCATGCCATTTTTTTTAAAGCTGTAGCTGCTTGTGTGTTTCTTTTTATTTAATTATGTGAAATTGGATTTTGTCAATAATTGTTTGATTAATAATCAGGGCATGTAACTTATGGAGCAACTAAAGCTAGCTAATGCAAATCGAAATAAAGGAAAAACAAAGAAACCAAGTCAAAAAGTTAAGTATGAATCATTTGAAATATTAATATATTAATCTAAGTGTACTTGTAAGTTTGCCTCATTTTTTTTTCTAAAATCTGAATTTTAAATTGGGTTTTAATGTTTTCCTGTGTACTAAAGTGTTTTGAAAGAACCACGTGATTGGTCCATTCAGTGTTAGCACGAAGTACTGTAATCAGTTTTAGGTTGAAATTAAAAAAAGGGATTTTTGTGAGGACTGAAACACAGTTAGTTTACTGGAGATTTTATTTTCTTGTAAATAAAGGCATGTAACATTGTCAGAGCTTAAGATAGTGCTGGTGATACAGCAGCAGAGTTATGCTATAAATTATATTGGATTATTTTTTATGGAAATAATATAGTCTATGAAAAAATATTTTGTATTGATGCATTTGAAGAGGCGCTGCCTGTCTGCTTCTAGCATCACCTCATCTGCAGCTTGTTTTGTTGACTGTGCTACATGCACACCCAGAGCCTCTTACACTGCTTTTCATACTCCCATATCTGTTTACTTGAAAGCAGCCTGACTCCATATTGGCATGTTGCTATAATCTCAGCTTTCAGTTGTAGCTTGAATCGTCCATCAGTTTCCAAATGGCTTGGAGGTATTTCTATCAACATATCGTAGCTGTATGCATTTTTCTTGTTGCATCAGTCATCATAAACTGTCCGTTTGTGTGCGTCACCAGTTCCAGTTAATGAGTGCAGCATGTTGGTGTAAGTGGACAAACACATTGTCTGATTCGAATGCTTTCATCTGTATATATTCTTTATTTGCAATTTTATTTTGCTTGAAAATATCTGTACAAAGATCTTGTTTTTTGTTGAATCTTTCTAAAATTATTGTAAATGGTATCTTAACAAGATAGTAAATAAAATGTTCTCGTTATGATTGTGTCCGTTTTTCAAATGTTTTCTTTTTTTGTTTTCTCCACTAGTTTGTCCTAACCATTAAAGGTATTGTGAAGGATTTTCGTGAATTCTTTAAAAGACCTGCCCTCTCGACTTTAAAAAACAAAACAAAACACATGCACAACCCTCTACCTGATCCCGAGAGGGAACGACTATTAAACGCGTGCGACAGCATACACAAGCCCATTCCTCCTCATGCATCGTTTAAAAACTTCTCTTCTCATAGCTCAGGGGTCGGCAATCTGTGGCTCCAGAACCGCATGCAGCTCTTTAGCTCCCCCCTTGCAGCTCCCTGGAGCTTTTTCAAAAATTTATGAAAATTATTTTTTGTTTGTTTGTTTATTTTAATATGGTGTGAAGGAGGTCACACAAACATTCATTTTGTTATGCAATGTTTTGGAATATCCATCCATCCATCCATCTTCCTCTTAAGACGATGAATGTTTTGGAATAAATACATTTAAACAATACACGTAAAATAGAGATCAGTGGTCATAGCCTGCAACACACTTTTCAGCGTGGGACGGTGCCAGGCAAATAAAGCGGCGGGTGTGTCTTGAGCCATGGATCCCAAAGGGGAAAAAAGGAAGACAGCTGATGAGAACAGAGGATTCAAAGAATAGACCGAATAGTTTTTCTTCATTAACAACGCAGAAGGATTGCCTGCATTTTCTCTTGGTAATGAGAGGTTGACAAAAAAACTAATAAAAAGAGTAATTTGGAAAGGCATTTCCAGGGAAGGCATTCTTAATATGTAGCCAATCACAAAGTTGGGAGCAAGAGAAAAAGTGCAAAACTTCTGGATAAATTAGTGGAGAGCAAAAACTGATTTAAGAAGTGGATTGCATCTCCAAACTCCACTACTGCTGCTAGTTTAGTTACAAACGGCCTTACATAAACATATCACCAGAATGATTGACAACTAGCAGGACCACTTATTTTGAAAATCCACCCAGAAAAAGAAAATTCTCCACTATACCTTTGATGTGCTGCATTTAAACTAATACACTATACTGTAGCTTCAAAGGGAATGAACTAAAGATCCTTACGACTAATTCCTGGCACTAACTCGATCATCAGCTAGTAAGTGCTGCTGGGATTTTGATATGGTTTCCTCTTTCACTCCTGATACACTGATATCATTGTCTATTAGGAAAGCTGAATTCTCTTTCTTCAATTCAAAATGTTATTTTTTTATGTAGAAAGGAGAATAATTTACCACCCTTCTTGTAATCCATCAATCCCACTTATAAGGCACTTGGCATTTTGTTTGAGCTTGAAGATATCTTCTAGAAGTGATTGAGATGGAGAATATGGAAAGGAGTCCATGTTACAGGCGATGAAGTTTCTAATCTGTAAATATCTGAAGAAATGAGACCCAGGGATATATTTTGTCCTCTGTTGCTCAAAAGAACTGAAAACATTGTTAGTGAAGAGTTTATCCAACAATGTTATTCCAGGATTTTTCCAAACACTGAATGACTTACCCAGTAATGATGGGGAAAACATAAAACGTATTTTGCAGCGTTGCTACGAGGGATAGTTGAAGTCCCTTCTAAATTGGTTCTGCTGCTTGACTGAGTGAATAACAAGATGGTTTGAGGTATAGTTGGAGATCGTTTTTTTTTTGGAGGTAGCTTGGCACATAACAAAGATATAAGTGCAACACATTCTACTGACAATGTTTGTAGGGCTACCCATGATGGTAAATTATCATTCTCCTCTGTCCAGTATAATATTGCTTTCATGTTGGACGCCCAGTAGAGATTGAAAGTCGGGGAGTGCCAAGCGTCCTGCACCCCCTTTGTAGTATACTTAGTTTCGAACGTGTAACAAAAGTAATTTCCCTCTGGGATTTTTAAAGTATGACTGATTCTGATTCTGATTCTTGGTCTTTTTTTATTCCAAATGGAAGAGGAGATTTAGCTATTTAAATGCTTAAAAAAGGTTTTGGTCAAAAACTATGGAAAAATATTAATTTGATTGGATTTTACAGCTGCTTTTTGTATCTCTGCTTCTGTCTCCTTGAACCCCAGTCGGCCTCGGCAGATGGCCGCTCACACTGAGCCTGGTTCTGCTGGAGGTTTCTTCCTGTTAAAAGGGAGTTTTTCCTCTCCACTGTCGCTACAAGCATGCTTAGTGTGAGGGATTGTATTTGAGTCGATGCAATCAACTGGTTTTCCTTAGATAGAAAACTTTGTATCAATTTGACTGTATGATCTGGTTGAACTGTAAAGTGCCTTGAGATGACATGTGTTGTGAATTTGGCGCTATATAAATAAACTGAATTGAATTATTCCTGCCACCAAGCGAAAGAGGCAGCAACTCGCACCCCTCAAAATTCAGTTTTAGCTTAGATATGATCACCTGATAATTTTCTTTAAATAAATATTTGTGGTTGTGTGTAATCCATATACCTAGATGTTTTAGTTTATTGTAGCTAAATGTAAAAGGATCTAACATAGATATATTTCCTATTGCTCTACCAATGGGCATTTTTTCACTTTTTGCAAAGTTAACTTTATATCCTGAGATTGCTCCAAATTCCTTAATCAAGTCAAGAGATTTTGGGAGATTTTGTGATGGGTTTGAGATAAAAAACAGCATATTATCTGCGTAAAGTGAGACCTTATGTTCCGTTTCCCCCGACGAATCCATTTGATGTCCATGCATTGTCTCAAAGCAATTGCCAGTGGTTCAAATGTAGTGCAAAAAGGAGGGCTGACAAAGGGCACTCCTGCCTTGTGCCAAACAGGAGAAAGTATTTAGATAGATTGATGTTTGTTCAGACAGCTGCAAGAGGAGATGTGAATAACGCCTTTATCTAGGAAAAAAAATGTACCCCAAATCCAAACTTTTTCAATGCATAAAAACTAAAATCACACCTCACCGGATCAAACGCCTTTTCAGCAATGTCTGCATTTAGAAATGATATTGGCCGATATGAGGTACAATTTAGGTTTTTTGTTGTCTTTTTCTAGAACTAAAGAAATGACTGCTTGATGCATTAATGGGGGCAGAGACTGTGAGATAAAGCATTTGTCAAATGTTGATTTCAGCAATGAGGTGATCTGAGGGGAAAATTCTTTATAAAATTTAGTGGGAAGATGGCAGCACCAATTCACAACTCATTTCATCTCAAGACACTTTAAAATTCAACCACATTATACAGTCAAATTGATTCAAAGTTTTCTATCTGTGGACTACCAGCTGATTGCAGTCCCTCACACTGAGCATGCTTGTAGCGACAGTGGAGAGGAAAAACTCCCTTTCAACATGAAGAAACCACCAGCAGAACCAGGCTCCGTGTGAATTTGCAGAGGCCGACTGGGGTTCAAGGAGACAGAAGCAGACATACAGAAAGAAGCGGAGATACAAAAGGCAACTGACAACCAGCTCCACAGGCCGCCCTGTTCAGGAAACACACAGCCAGGCAGATGAGCTACGAGCCAGCTCCCATGTTAGAGGATGAAGAGAGCACATCCAGTTAGTCACAGTAAGAGAAACAGGACTGAACTGAAAAACAGGCCGAGTTTGAACATCTATAAACAAGGCGTTGATGACAGCAACTGATCAGCACTGATCTGTGGTGTCACAGCCAAACAGGAACAGACCAGATGAAGCTACTATGAGAAAAAACAGAGAGAGCATAAAGTTAGAGATTGAACCAACAATCTCAAATGGCAGAGTGGGAGAATAGAGATAGAATAAAGCAGAATGATGAAAAAGGGGTCCCTATGTCCTCCAGCAGTCTAAATCTATAGCAGCATAAGAGATAGCTCAGGATAATCTGAGCCACTATAAGCTTTATCAAAAAGGAAGGTTTTAAGCCTACCCTTAAGTGTATACAGGTTGTCTGCCTCATGGGTTAAAACTGGTAGTTGGTTCCACAGGAGAGGACGCTGATAACTAAAAGATCTGCCTCCCATTCTATTTTTAGAAATTCTAGGAACCACCAATAAACCTGCAGATTGAGAGCGAAGTGCTCTTTTTGGAACATAAGGAACAATCAGATCTCTGATGTAAGATGGAGCTTGGCCATTTATGTGAGAAGGGGGATTTTAAAGAATTACAATAGTACAACCTTGAAGTAACAACTCCTTGGACTAGTTACTCAGCACCACCCCAGTACAGGATATTTCTAATTTTTGCAATATACCAGAGATGAAAGAAGGAAATACTAGAAACCTCCTTGATATGAGATTGAAATGACAGGTCCTGAGCGAAAATAACACCAAGATTGTTTACTTTATTTTGGGAGATCAGTTTAATCCCATCCAAATTGAAGTGACTGACTAATCAGCTTCTTTTTCAAAGACTCTGGTCCAAAGACTATAACTTCTGTTTTGTCTGCATTCAGGAGCAGAAAGTTAAGAGTCATTCAGGTTTTTATGTCCTTAAGACATGCACGTAATCTGAGTAATAGGTTAGCTTTATCTGGATTTATAGAAAAATATAACTGAGTATCATCCGCATAACAGTGGAAATTAATCCCATGCTGTCCAATAATTCTACAGAATGGGAGCATATACAGGTGCTGGTCATAAAATTAGAATATCATGAAAAAGTAGATTGATTTCAGTAATTCCATTTAAAAAGTGAAACTTGTATATTATATTCATACATTACATACAAACTCATATATTTCAGATGTTTATTTTGTTTAATTTTGATGATTACAAATGACAACAAATGAAAATCTCAAATTCATCATATCAGAAAATTAGAATATTGTGAAAAGGTTCAAAATTGATGGCCCCTGGTGCCACACTCTAATCAGCTAATTAACTCAAACCACCTGCAAAAGCCTTTAAATGGTCTTTCAGTCTAGTTCTATAGGCTACACAATCATGGGGAAGACTGCTGACTTGACAGTTGTCCAAAAGACGACCATCGACACCTTGCACAAGGAGGGCAAGACACAAAAGGTCATCGCTAAAGAGGCTGGCTGTTCACAGAGCTCAGTGTCCAAGCACATTAATAGAGAGGCGAAGGGAAGGAAAAGATGTGGTCGAAAAAAGTGTACAAGCAAGAGAGATAACCGCACCCTGGAGAGGATTGTGAAACAAAACCCATTCAAAAATGTGGGGGAGATTCACAAAGAGTGGACTGCAGCTGGAGTGAGTGCTTCATGAACCACCACACACAGACGTATGAAAGACATGGGTTTCTGCTGTCGCATTCCTTGTGTCAAGCCACTCTTGAACCGCAGACAGCGTCAGAAGCGTCTTGCCTGGGCTAAAGAGAAACAGGACTGGACTGCTGGTGAGTGGTCCAAAGTCATGTTCTCTGATGAAAGTAAATTTTGCATTTCCTTTGGAAATCAAGGTCCCAGAGTCTGGAGGAAAAGAAGAGAGGCACTTCATCCACGTTGCTTGAAGTCCAGTGTAAAGTTTCCACAGTCAGTGATGGTTTGGGGTGCCATGTCATCTGCTGGTGTTGGTCCATTGTGTTTTCTGAGGTCCAGGGTCAACGCAGCCACATACCAGGAAGTTTTAGAGCACTTCATGCTTCCTGCAGCTGACCAACTTTTTGGAGATGCAGATTTCATTTTCCAACAGGACTTGGCACCTGCACACAGTGCCAAAGCTACCAGTACCTGGTTGAAGGACCATGGTATCCCTGTTCTTAATTGGCCAGCAAACTCTCCTGACCTTAACCCCATAGAAAATCTATGGGGTATTGTGAAGAAGAAGATGCAATACACCAGACCCAACAATTCAGAAGAGCTAAAAGCCACTATTAGAGCAACCTGGGCTATCATAACACCTGAGCAGTGCCACAGACTGATCGACTCCATGCCACGCCGCATTGCTGCAGTAATACAGGCCAAAGGAGGCCCAACTAAATACTGAGTGCTGTACATGCTCATACTTTTCATGTTCATACTTTTCAGTTGGCCAACATTTCTATAAATCCTTTGTTTTTATTGGTCTTCAGTAATATTCTAATTTTCTGATATGATGAATTTGAGATTTTCATTTGTTGTCATTTGTAATCATCAAAATTAAACAAAATAAACATCTGAAATATATGAGTTTGTATGTAATGTATGAATATAATATACAAGTTTCACTTTTTAAATGGAATTAGTGAAATCAATCTACTTTTTCATGATATTCTAATTTTATGACCAGCACCTGTATATAGTAAAGAGAATTGGTCCTAGCACTGATTCCTGTGGTACTCCACAGGTAATCTTTGAGCATGTGGAAGATCTATTATTAACGTGAACAAACTGAAATCAGTTAGAAAGATACAATTTAAAGCAGTCTAGTGGTGTTCCTTTAATTCCCACAAATTATTCAAGTCTTTCTAAAAGAATATTATGGTCAACTGTATCAAATGCAGCAATGAGATCTAGTACAGATACAAGTCCATTATCTGAGGCCATGAGAATATCATTAGTGACTTTCACCAGAGCTGTTTTGAGTGCTATGATGAGCTTACAAACCAGACTGAAATTTTAAACAGTTTATTATGGTGTAAGTGGTTGCACACTTGTTTGACAACTACTTCCTCAAGAATTGTAGATAAGAAAGGAAGATTGGATATAGATCTATAATAGACCAAGTCATATGGGTCAAGAGATGGTTTCTCAAGTAAAAGTTTGATCACAGCAACCTTAAAAGCCTTTGGTACATATTCCTATAGCAGGGAGAGATTAATCACATGTAAAATGGAGGAGGAGATCATAAGGAATACTTCCTTAAATAACCTTTTTGGAACTGGATCTGACATACAAGTTGAAGGCTTAGATGAAGACAAAAGTTTTGCTAATTCTGAAAGTTCAACTTAATCAAATAAATGCATAGTGACAATTTTTGAAATAGTAGTATGACTATTTTTGGGTTGTACTCTATTTCTAGATGGAAATGACAACTTTTAGTCATTCATAAGGACCCTTGTGTCCTTAATGTTTCCTGGGAAATCCAATCGTATTTCATCTTGTCATACCTTTTGGTTTCCATTTATCATAGTGTAGGAAGCTGCAGCTATGAATATTGCATAGGCGTGCATCATCCAATAAAAGCTTTCACTGGAGCTTCTTTGTCTCTTCTCCTAGTTGAGTGGAGAGGGTGTAGAGTTATATCAGGGTGTGTTTTCAAAACTAAAGAAAATACTTTTTCTTATTACTTTACTTTATAAAATACTTTTTAGTATTTTATTGATTCATTTTCTTTTTCAAGTTTGCAGCTTTAGATGATTTTGCAGAATTTTGTGTGCTTAAACCGAAAAAAGAAAGCTTGATTTGAATGTTGAATTTGGATTTACATCCTTGTCCATGTTTTTAGTCTATACATCCATTTCGTTTAAGTTAGTTTGCAGAAGATCGGAACTATTACAGAATAATGAATGTTTATTCACCTCTGCCTTGCCAGCTTGCTTGAAGGAAAGACAAGTAGACAGGATACAGATTGCACATTCGCCCCGTTGTAGTGGTGGGCTTTCTACAGAGACTGAAACGGACTGCATCCAGCAGCAGCAGCAGCAGCAGCACACACCCCTCAGCGCCGAGCGGTGATGCAGCCCCGCACGAAGGGAACCGAACACTCCTCAGAGTTGCCTCGACTTTAGGATGGTGCAGAAATCGCTCAACGGCGGGGTTTACCCAGCTGAAGCCGGAGAAAAGAAGCACAAAGTCGGGTTCGTCGGCTTGGACCCCGGTGCTCCGGAATCCACCAGGGATGGGGCGCTGCTCATTGCGGGCTCAGAGAGCACCAAGCGGAGCAGCATCCTCAGCAGACCAAGGGCCAGCATCTCCTGCGGGAGACCCAGACCATCGAAGAAAAACGCCAGCTATCGGAAACTACAGAGTTTCCTCTACAACGCACTAGAGAGACCGCGGGGATGGGCGTTTGTCTACCATGCTTATGTGTGAGTGCGTTTCCAGGTTTACCGGCATGTTGGGTCGATCATTGTGGCCTTTGTTTCTGATTCGGGGTGGGGGAGCTTCCTTACGAGTTTCAGAGCTTGTGTGTTTCTAGAGTATTCAAATGGCGCATTACAGGGTTAAATGTCACCGGCTGCTGTAGCCTGAACACCTGCAGTAACTCTGTCAGTAATAATCCAGCTGCTTTTAAAATTCTTTATTTTAACTCACAAGCAAACTGCATGCTTCTATGACACGTGTTCGTATGTGCGCGTTGTTTGATGCGGCAGGTTTCAGCACCACGGCCGGTGGACAGCTCCTGGCCGCTTCGCTACTTCCACTAATTGGCCTAACATCGCAGTCTGGCACTGCGCTGTGATGACTCCACATATATACAGCAGCGAGTTTAGGCAATCCCATCAAAAGGAAGCTTTCTGCTTTTTACAACCACAGGCATGCAGGTCGATTTTCTGCCTTTTGCCGAGTTTTTTTTTTTTTTTTTTTTTTTGTAAATCTGCAGTGTTTTCTGGCTTCTTAGTTAATAGTTTAAAGAAAAAAAGGTTGGTTATTCCCATCAATCAATCATCATGGCTTCAAAGTGCCTCACAGAATCAAGGAAATAGAGTAAAAACAATAGTTTAAACTGTATTTTTTGCTAACAGAAAAAATGCTATCTTTAAACAAGGAAAGTAGTGAACACTCATTGAGCACACAATAACAGTGAACTCTAATGTTTTTAGTTTTGACCTAAAGAAAAATAAAGTGTTCAGAACATCTAAGGTTTTCAGTAGTTTGACTCCTGCGGTGAGAGACTAAATCCTTCTCCCTTTGTGAATAGCTCTTGTTCTGTGAACATTTAGTTACCACGCCCCTGATGTCCTGAGATATTGGTTCATAACGCTCTGTTCAGCATCAATAATCTCAAGATTATAACACATGTTGTCACAACAAAGGAGCTAGAGCATTATTTAAGAACTTTAATATTATTAATTTTCCCAGTTTAGCCTGGAAAGGTTAGAGATTTTAGAGCTACAACTGCCTGATAATGTTTTTACTGACTCATTACAGTAATCTATCTGGTGAAAATGAAAGGATGCATCCATTTATCCTGTGTCCTGGTTTGACAGGATATTGTAGATTTTCTCTATGCTTTGATGATGATCATTAGCAGGCATTTATGTGGCTGTTATGATTAGTTTACATTGTGATGCCTAGATTTGCAGCATTTTAGTTTTGCAATATTGAGTCACGTTGACTTCTAATCTCTTATTTTGCACACTTGGAGCAAATAGAAACCAATTTTCTCATTTTTGCATTAAGGTGTAGCTTCTGGCCCGTTCATTCAATGACACTTTAGATACACCAGTGGCTGTATGTGAATGTGGTCATTGTTATGAAAAAAAGAAAAAAAAGATAGTGTCAGCACAACAGCTAAGTAATGTTTTAATCATAGTACTGTATGATCTGATCTAGATAGCAGGGGCTTAACTAGATGGGGAGCCTGGAGTGTTCATCATCATGGAATGCCCTAATTAAGGGTATATTTTAACAGTTAGTTTATTAAACTATACACCTTTAATTAAGAGAGCATGTGTGAATAAGTTTATAAGGAAATACTTTAATGGAAAATCTGAATTGTCTTCAGGGATTTATTTATATACTTTTGATTCTGTGTTCATTCATTTTCCTGTTTGTACAGTGTGATTAGTGCAGATTGACTGCATTGGCTCTGACACCTTAATGTTTTTCAGCCACACTTAAGTGCACATTAGTCTCCACAAGGCTACAAGACCTCACCTTAGGGCTTTGACATTTGATTTCCAGATTTATAGATTAAACAAAGTACTCATAGTATATTAGTTATTTAACATAGAGGAATCAGACCCACTTGTTCTTTTAAGTGGGATATAGCCAGCCTTTCTTCAGTTTTTTACATCTTAAGATGTTAAATTCACAATACTATCAAAGAGAACAAAAATATTTAGAGTAAAACCATAAAAAAAAAACACTTGCATACAATGTGGACTGCACAGTGCCTAGTTTTTACCTGAGTCTATTCGTCCTTATCCATGGATTTGCATGTTTTCTTGAATAAAAGGATTGGTTCCCTACACCGCAGTGGTTCAATAACATTTAGATTTCAGTGTGATAAATGTTCTTTGTCCCATGTTCTCCATGTTGCCCTTTGATGGACTGGGATGCCTGCAACCCTGACCATTTAAAAATGTTTATTGATAAATGGATGGCTGAATGGATTAGTGGATGGATGGATAGAAGGAAATTTGTTAAAGCAGTCAATTCTTTACATAAGCAACTCCCGATACTTCTCATAATACAAAAAGTGAATGTTTAAACTTCAATTTTCAAATGTCCCAAATCTTTCTCCAGTGCATTGGTAAAGCTTTCATATGTCCTGAACTTTTGCAACTCTTAATCTAATCCTTTTATGTATTTTGCTTAGGTTTCATCATTTAAAAGCATAATATAATTGATTCCTGGTTTTCAAAATCGTTTTCAAATTAAAAGATATAGTGTTCATTTGTATTTACACCCCCATTTACTAGTTTATGTTACCTCTTTTTTGCTGCTTTTAGAATATTCTCTAACAGGTTTTCAAATGTGGAAACATATGACTCAGATGGTGTGTCCAGGGTGATAAGTGGTGTTATGACACATATGTGGGCCTCAGAGTACAGTTTTAGTCTTATCTAACTATGGGAGCTGATTACATACTGTAGCATCAAAGTTTTCAATTTAAGGTTTTCCCATTGAAGTATTTTCTTACTTGAGCTGTGGATCTTTCCAGCTCCTTCAAAGATAAAAGAACCTCTTGTTTGCCACTAATCAATAAGTTCATGGCACAATAATTATTTTACTAAATTTAAAATTAACCATGGATCTTTTTTCCACTACTCCATAGTTCTGCACTACTTTGTGTTAAATTATCACACAATATCCTTATAAAACACAAAAAAGTTAGTGTTTGCAATTAGAAAGCATGTAAAAAAGCACTAAGGCACTTTATGGACTTACCTTCTGTATGTTTTACATCCCTAAAACATCATATATTTGCAGTTCTGCCAGGCCACACATCTTAATCCTATTCTTCAAATGAAGGTGTGGTTGGTGTTTCTTCAAAATGCCCTTCAGTTATTGCCTGACTCCTTCCAGTTCAATGATATGAGCAGCATGATTGGTAACGAGCAGAGAAAATAGCTACAGAATCATGGAATTCACTGTGAACAGCAGTCGGACTCCCCTGGAATGCTTGGAGACCCAGAAGCAGAGCTTTGCTTTAATGTGAAAATACACACACACAACGACCCCACACACACAGACTCAAACTTATCTCACTATCTTTGCGGGGTCTGTCCATTGACTTCAATTAATTTCTACAAACCCTTACCCTAAAGCTAATCATTACAGGTTCACACCTAACCCCAACCTAAACACAATTCCCATCGTAGTTCTAGAAGTGACGCATGACACAAAAACAGCAATTTTCCTTGTGGGGTCCAGGCGTAGTGCCCCAAAAGGAGCAGTTGGTCCCCAGAATGTGCTATCTTTCCAGAAAATGGGCCCCACAGTGTATAAAAACAAGAACATACACGTACACACCCAACTAAGAGACTTCTGAAATATCAATTGCATATCACTTCTATTGAATAGAAAAACTACGTCTTTGTTTAGCAATTGTGTTTTTTCTTTGCATATTTATGTTTCTAATGGGATTACTAGACTTAAAATGAGACCTAACTGTTAAATCTTAAAGAACAAAGGATTTCTATTACAAACACGAGCCTGTCACAAGCTAGGCACACAAAAAAACACGCAATCTCATTATTATTGCAAATGAATACAGCACAGTAGACCACAATTTTGTGCATTCTATGAATTTTTTATAGCCATCATACTTCATTTAATCTCCCCACCCTTTACCTCTGCTCTGATGATTTCCAAAGTGATCATGTGGTGACTTCAGTCTTACGTATCTTTCCCTGCTTCTGTTCCTCCTCTGTGATCTTAAAGAACAACCCCTTTGCATTCAAAATGACAGCACTCAGTGTCTGAAAGGTTTTGATAACATCTGCTGGCTTTTAGATCGGGTTTCTGTAGTGGACCAGTATGTGGAATATGGGTAAATGCAGTATTCCACCGTTGTTACATTGCTTGTCCCTAGCATTTTTGCTCAGCTTTTGACTTCTTCTTTTTATCTTTTTCTCATTAGTGAAGTGAATATGGTGTTTTTCAGAGGCAAAGATGCTGTTGTCAGCTGTAACATTGTTGTACAAAATAAAAGAAGTCAAATAACAATGCTGCTTAAGCCTGAGCTGCTTTCCCTCTGAAAAATGTGAATGTCTGCTTCAGTCCCCTTGAACCCCAGTTGGCCTCGGCAGATGGCCGCTCATACTGACCCTGGTTCTGCTGGAGGTTTCTTCCTGTTAAAGGGAGTTTTTTCTCTCTACCCACACTACATGCATGCTTGGTGTGAGGGATTGCTCTAGAGTCAAAAACAAAATGCAAGTAAAAATCATCTCCTCAATCTCATCCAGGAGGAGGATGTCTTGCAATCAATGACTGGATGCAATCAACTGGTTTTCCAAACCAATCTGATTGTATTGTCTCTGTTAAGTGTTTTTGGATGAGATGTGTTTTGAAGTGGTGCTCTATAAATAAACTAATTTGAATTAAATTGACTTGAAATTAGCGGGTATTTAAATCTGGGTCGACACACTAACAATCGGCATTTGTCTCGCCTCCCATTGGCAAACAAAAAACAGCTTTCCAGCATGGCAACCGTACCCCACTGCTGCGTGACACCATCAAGATGGGTTAGCACTGATGATGTCATCAGTGGGACAGAAAACAGGAAAGTAAAAAATTGGAGACAGACATGGAAGGGAGCCAGGGGTAGTCAGTGTGCTTTGTTTTTTGGTTCTTTTGTCCGTCCAAATCCCTCTGACCAGTGCTGCTTCATGTTTATCGAATGTAAGCAGTTTTATTT